GACTATTTATCAGCCCACCCTCGTATACATATATATTTCTCCAAGTGGCCACCTGGACTCGGTAGAATCAATAGAAATTTCTGTGTGCCCCATTGCACTGAAAGTTTTGTGAAAGGAAGGGGAAAATTGAAACTGAAAAAGTTTCAGTTGCATTTGGCTGTTGTCTATGCAGCTCGGAAAAGTGGCTTAGACTGTCGACACAAAACTTCATTCAGACCATGTTTAAATCTTGTCAATTGCAATTTTCGTCCTTCCTTTTTTCTACGTGGATGTGGCTGCTTACTGCTTCTCTGTGGGTGTGGGTGTGGGTGTGTGTTTGGTGTCTCTGGCTTTCCTCTATTCCGCACAAGTGACAATAAAGTTTTTAGTTTTTGGCTGAGAGTGCGTGACGAGTTTTTGCCATTAGCCAGAGCCGTATAAACTTTTTGGTTTATAGAGAGGCAGAAACAGCGAGCTGCGTGTTAATGAAGCCATAATGAGGCGCCGGCTGCCTTGAAACTTAAATGAAATAATGGCCGGCAGCGGCACCGGGTGCGGTTCAGACTCCGCAAATCGAAAGAGAAAACTCCCATTTGTAGGAGACGTTTTTAGAGGCCATTGTCGAGCCACCTTTGGTAGTTGTGGGGGAATTGCTTTCCGCCCTTCTGCCACTAATCACAAGTGCCCAATCATCTTTATTGCTTGACTCGAACTCAAATACGGCCTGTCGAAGCCAAGCAAGGATATGCCGTAGAAGGACAAGGATTTGGGTGGTCTCAGAGCCTCTGAAAGCCGCTGAAATTCGTTTTGTTGGGCGAAATTCACTTGCGATTGTTTGTCAGAAGAGCGGCTGCTGTGGTGGCGGTTCTGTACGGTTGGGTGGTTTTTGGGTGGCTGTGTGGTTTTGGGGGTGGAGGTTTAGCGAGAACAGCCAACGGTGAAATACCCGTGAAAGCCGCAGCACACACACAGACACACATACGCCTCCAAGGACAAGCAAGAATCTCGAGCAAAGGTGCAAACCAGCCAGGATAAACAGAAAACACGTTGCGTTTCGCCAAAAGGAAAACAGTTACAGCTTTTCGTAGTGAAAGCAAGGGGAAAGCCTGCCCCACGGCACAGGCTCTGGCAAAATCCCAAAAATGAAACCAAAGTAAAAATAAACTCAGGCGGGCAAATCGAATCCACAAAAAATGCTAATTTGGTATCCGTTTATGGTTTCCTCTTGGTTATTTTGTTTTTTTTTTTTTTTTGTGCGTTGCTCGGTGGCCAGAAAATTGGGCTAAACATGTCTATCTGCGAAGGCACGTACATTGGCATTATCTATAATCCATTAGGGGAGACCCAACAGAATCAATTGCAGGCACTTGACACATGAATAAATGGCATTTAAACTGACACCCAAATAAATTAAATAATAAAAATCTCAACAACGCCCCGGGATTTGTTGTCGCCAAAACCGTAAAAACTCCAAATGTTTCCCGCTTCGAACAAGGCAATTTGCGTTTGATTCGAGCTTCCTTTAAAATCCCTCCTTTGTGTACTTCCCGCCTAAGGATAATCCCAACTAATTTCGTTCTTCTTTTCTCTCATTCTCAGGAAGGAGATAAAAAAAAATCAAAATTCGAAATTACAGAAGCCACCGAGCAAGCATCAGAATCCACTCGCCAAGCCGAAACTAGTTATGCATTTAGTTTGGCCGATTTGCCGATTTGCGGCCATGCCAAAGCCAAAAGCCAATTACCACGAAGCGCCATTGAGTAAGCCATTTGAATGCAGGAACAACAACAACAACAAGAACAGACCCCTCGATGCGACGTAGAGTCCTCTGTCTGGGATGCAGAGCCCCAGATACCCCAGATGGCGGGGGACCATTCAAGGGGCCAAAGTGCGGGGAAAATTACTTAATGCGGTCATTAGTTTGGCGCATTTGGCCAACTAGATTCCGACTGGTTGCGATGTCTAAGCTACTCTACGTGACTGCACGGCACAAAATATGATACGGTTTGTATGGCTTCATTTAATAATTTATACAAGTGTATTTATTATTTTTTGTGAATGAATGAATTTAAATAAATAAAATATGTAATGTATGTTACATATGAGATTTTCACTACCTGTACTCACACACCTGAACCCTTTGACGAAGGCAAGCACATTCGTTAAAGGACGATCCAGAGAAGACCTTAATCAACAGAGAAAAAGGACGAGTGGCCCAGAGCGTGTACAGGGAAAAGCCGAGGCTGTGTTTGGTGAGAGAGGGTTAAGAGAAGTCCCAGCTAAGTCCAACGACAACACTAAGAAGGTTCTCTTAAATAAATGTAAAATTCCCTTTAAATAGTATTTTTTATATATTATGAAATGTCTTATTATTTAAAATGTCTGGCTGTACTTTTATTCCACTTAAACCCAATTATTATTCATATATTTTCAATCAATTGCATATTTTCTATCCAAATATTCCTTATTAAATGCCATTGAAATAATTGAATTAAAAGAACATTGGCAGCTTCGGCTGCCCAACTAGCATTCCTGTAATGATTCAGTAAGCATTTTATGGTTTTTGCTAAGGGAATCCTCTTTTCTTCGTGCCAACAAACCACTTGAATGTCTGAAATATCCGTGCGAAAGTGCAGTTAAGCTCCATTTGGAAAATAAACTCAATTGAGTTCAGGTGGAATTTTTAGTTGGCAAAGATGGGGAAGATGGATTATGAGTTTGCAAAATGCTTTCAATGTGTAATGCCCGCGTGTCAATTGCTGGCTGGCTGGATCCGCTTACACTCAAACCAGAACCCCTGACGGTGCCATTGAGGGGAAAAAGTCGAGGTGGGGACGCAAAACAAATGAGAGTTTAGGAGGGACAATCAAACAGATTACCAACAACAGAAAAGTTTGATATTCTGGGCGGGGGAATCGAGGATGTGGGCAATGGGTCACTGGCAAGCACGAGTCCGCTAACAAATGCGCGAATGATAAAAACTAAACATGTCCGTGGCTTGGTGTTTTGTTTGTAGTCCCCCGAAAATATTTCCTGCTGGTTGATGGCATTCTGAGCGTGCCCGAAGCTCAATTTAAGCACTTACACCACCTTACACGCCGCCCTTGACACCCGGGCAAGTTAATGTTCCCAGAACATGAGGTAAATTCACCCAGAATATCGTTGAAAATTATGGAGCGGAAATCTATGCGAGAGATGGTTAGGAATAAACTCAGTTGAATTAACCCTGCAACAAAAATAAAAGTGTAAAAATTATTTAAAAGAAATCATTTTTTTGTTGACATTGCAATTATAGGTCACCTTATTTTTAAGAATCATATAACCTAAAGATGATTAGATTAGGCTAATCTATATTTGGATTAGCCACATATTGGACCAATAAGTTTTCGTATTTGTTGTAGCCTCGTTGAAGAAATATTGTAAATTTCATATTTGCTTTAAATAATTTATTATTATAATTTTGAAGATTATTGCAGGTTAATTCGGGTTGTTAGATAACCACAATTCTTTTCCTTATCTAAGTTTTGATATATACATATATTTTTTTGAGACCCAATTCGAAAATAAATTAACGTGAATATTGTAAATTATATATTAATATATTTTATTATTTAATAATTATAATATTTCACAAATTATATTGATTAATTTATTAGTATAGAAAAAAACGTTGTCTTAAAATTCTTTTACTTTCTTGTTGCAATTTTCGGAGTTGTCTCCATTTTTAATGCTTACCCAGCAGCTTATTTAGATCACATTTTTTTGGGACAAAATATTCTATAAATAAATGATTATCTCTTACTGACTTATACTGTGTAAATATCTTACAATGACTGTAAAACTGCCTTTAATTATCGCTATAATATTCTCTATACAAGTTGCTATGTACAAGTTGCTATATACAAGTTGCTTTATACAAGTTGCTAGATTGTTAACTTTTTTATTCATAGATACATTAATAGCAATGACTGTTAAACTTTAAATAATTATCGCTATAATATGCCAAATAAACTGCTTTGATTCAGTTACCATACCACTAACCTTACATTTATATCAATGACTCTAAAACTTGCAATACCTGTCATTGAAATATGCTATAAACAAATTGGTAAAATTTTAACTTCTTCCCAAAAAAAACTTTAAAAATCTCATAACCATTGCAATAATATAATGTATACAGGATGCTGATAAAATATAGAATAAGCTGCATGACTGTTCCCAGCATCTTACAGCATTACCTTAAACCACCCCCAAAATGCAAGCAGTGTTTGTTTTCGTTTATATTTATTTTTAGAATAAATGTAAACATCAAAAAATTATAGTGACTGTAAGACTTGCAATAATTATCGCTATAGTGTTCTCTATACAGTTCATTTATAATAATAACTTTTAAACCTTTAAGAATCTTTGCTATAACGTGCTATATACAAGTTGCTAGAATATCAACTGCTTTAAATCTATTAACAAACACTAACGGTACATTTATTACAATGACTCTAAAACTGGCAAACGCTGTAATATTCTCAATACAAATTGATTTCATGTGAATTTCGCTATATTTATAGCAATGACTATTAAACTGTTCCTGCCTACTAAACTGCTTGGATTCAGGTAACAATACAGTAACGGTAAATTTATAACAATGACTCAAATATCTTCCAATGACTTAAAAACTTTTTATTGCTATCGCTATAATTCATTATTTAAATTTGTAGCAAGTGAATTCCGCCATATTTATAGCAATGACTTTAAACCTACAATTATTATCGCAATAATATCTTAATTTGCTACCTACTTAACTTCTTAGAATGTTTTAACTTAACAAATTGGTAAATTTATAAAAAAAAAAATACTCTAAAACTTACAATTAATGTCATATGCTATAAACAAATTGGTGGAATTTTAACTCCAAATTGCTGATAACAATATTTCAATAGCCATTGCAATAATATTGTGTATTAAAGTTGCTGATTTTGTATCTGAATATCCTTATACTTCTTACAGCATTACTTATAAACCTTAAACCACCCCAAAATGCAAGCAGTGTTTTTTTCGTTTATATTTTTTTTAACAATAAATGTAAACATAAAAAAAGGAAAATGTCGAATATAAAAAGCTCTACTTGACAAAACTTTGATTTACGAAGCCTGCATTCCGTGTATTCGCCGAAAGCACAGGCGTGGGACTCGGGATGCTGTACACAGGATACAGTGGGGCGAACTCGTTGGTTCCAAAGGCGTTCAACTCCTCCTCATTGATGTTACCGCGTTGCGTGTGCTTGGATTCCTCGTAATTAGGAAGACCTGAGGTATAAGAAATTATAGAATTTAGTTTTTATCAAAGGAAAATATTGCGTTTGTAGAGAGGACATTCTTGTTAATTTTAGATATTTTTTCATTGCTTTTATTTCTGTATACGTATTTTCCTGTTTAACTTTATTCAATAAATTATGTATAAATTAAAATAATATCAAAAATATTTAATAGACTGATTATCATTTAAACAATGTTTTGACAGCACAATTAGCGATATCTGAAGATAACCAAGCTCCGATTCCTTTCAAAAGTTTTCAGATAAGATTGCAATTAATCATTACGGGTTCATGGGCACGTATTTGCTTCCCGACAGACACTTTATTCCTATTTAAATCTATGCACAGAAAAAATGCAATCATTCACTCACCCATATCTGCTGAACTGGGGGTTGGATCGTTGGGAACATTGCCAAGTGCCGTCACCATGGGCAGCTCATCGGGCGGATCCCTTCTGGATTGTGGTCCCTCGTAGTGGCCACTTCGACGAGGAGGCTGTTGCACCACTATGCCGGCAACCGGCAATGGAATGGTACCAATGGTGACTGGCATGACCATCAGCTGCTGTTCCCGCAGACTCTTCACAAGCGCCTCAACCTCCAGCTGGTAGGCGATCTGAATGAGGTTGCTCAGCTCCACGCAGGTGGGTGGAGTAGAGGGCACAAGCAGGTCGATGGTCAGAGAGCGGGTGCACTGCTTCAGCACGGAGTCGCCCTTGGCCCGTGAAATGATGATCCGTTCTACGCGCGAGTGCTCTGGACTCACGCTATAGTAGCGCACCAACATGACGAGCGAGAGTCGCAGTTCGGAAACGGCCACGGCGGTGTTGTTGACCACCACCACGGTCACGGGTATCCGCTGGCCAGGCACATAACCAGCTTGAGGCAGATGCAGCTCCAGTTTCAAAGGATCTGTCTTGCAGGGACCGCAGCAGAAGGTGCGATAGCCCTCGCTGTGGGCAGCCAACTAAGGAAATTGAAGAAAATATATTATAATATACAAATTTATTAACCAAATTACAACTAGACTTACCCTTAATTGAGGCGTATCAAAGTTCAGATCCAGCATCTTCAGCACTGTAAAGCCCTTTGTGTAGGCCTGATCAAACTTCCAGGGTCGGATGAGCAGGACTTTGACAATGTAACGGATGCAGCCATGGCGGCCTTCAAAGGACGAGGGACACTGGTAGGGCAGCTGGCAGGCAAAGGTGTAATTGTGGACGCCGGCCTGAATGGTGTGTCTATTGTTGTCTGGCCCGGAGATAAAACCCATTAATGAATGCAAACACCTCTCGAAATACACTCAGCTTCACTCACTTTGCTCGGAGCCCAACAGATAAGTGTTGGATGATAGATAATCCTCACGGCCCGCATATAGTTTGGACGAGCCCAGACTTTTCTCGCTCCATTTGGTTATGGAATATCCAACCACCTTTAGCAGAACGGCTAAAAAACGAAGAGTTGGGGGGAAAAAATGAGAGTGAGAGTGGGTTGAGCAATGGAGATATTTTATCTTGAAAGCTAATATATAGATAATCCCAAATAGCAACTGATAGCGGCACACATAATCAGGTAATATGAAGAGGGGGTAATGCTATGCTATAAATTAAAACCGATGCACTTAGAACTATAATATTAACTTAAAATTCTATACATTTAAATATGCCTCTTAAATTTATTCAATAACCTTTGCCATGTGTTTGTAAGTTTAAAACACAACGGAAAACCCTTCTCCTAATCTCCTTATTAAAATAATACCAAGACATTTACGCTTTGTTATCAATCAACTTCATACATTCCGCACTAAAGAATGCCCGCTAAAGTCAATGTCGTCATAAACATATATATATATTCCCGACATATACTACACACAAATCGTTATCGAGCAAATATTTATAATACCCTGGTCAAATAAAGCTATATTTAAACAATTAATCAAGCCCTATTGCGATTTGGTTTTCGCTTGCAAATTCTTTGATCAATTACCTTGTACCTCCTTGGATCTGTCACACTTGAGGGTCACGCATCCGTTGACCAGTTGACCGGCGTAGAAAGTGCCATGTCTATTATTATCAAAGCTGATCTCACACGTAACGACCATTTTTACTCCAGTTCGAGTGTCCGCGCAGGAATCCGCTAAAACCGATGGCCAGGGCAACGAGTTGCGACTAACTTAAGTACAAAACTGCCGGACTGCTTGCGGTGCGAGCGATAAGAACGATAGCCCCGAACGAGCTTCTCCGGAAACGATATGGAATCGGAATGGTAAGTAGTATAAGAGCCGGTTAGGGGGGCTCCGCTTTAGAGAAGTCTTATCGCTGCTGGGAGCGTAGACCTTGGCCCTGGAGAAGTTTTCAGCGAAGCTTTTATGTTGGTAGGGGCGACCCGATAAGGGAGAGACCTTGTATTACCATAGCTACAGCATCTCATTTGGAAATGTAAATCTTTGAAGGACATTGTGAACAATGATAAGAAGTTGTGTTTGAAAATGTTACACAATATGGAAAATAAGTGCCGTGTTATTCAGCAGCTGAGAACGGAATTCAGTAAAATAATAATTATAATATATATGTAAATATTTTGCATTCCATTTTATTCACAACAAACATTACGGTAATTAAATTTCATATATTTTTTCCATAGCTTATCCCTTTATTTTTTATTTTTATAGCCAAGTTCCCTTGTCCTTGTCCCCATCCATTGCAGGATTGACAAAGGCCCTCTCGGCCATATAGTTCTGAGTGTAATCCGATGGTGGAGGAGCCGAGGGACTTGGAATGTCGAAGACTGGATACAGTGGCCTATAGTTAGTGCCATCCAGATTAAGAGTATTGGGTTGTACTGGCTCTGGATCGTCGATGTCGTCGGTCTTTGTGTCAGCAGTGGAGCGCATGTGCAGAGCCTCCTGATAGTTGGGAGGAGCTGTAAAGAGCATTTCATTGATTAAAATGTAAGAAATACTTTAAAAGTAAGCCAGCTTACGAATAGAATCATCAATAGCCCAGGGATTGGCTGCGTTTGGTGGCGGAGCAGTGGCCATGTGTCCACCACCCAAACCATTTACATCCAAAGGTTGATGGATCAAACCCCGTGGCTGGATCGGCACATGCTGGGACAGCGGAACACTGCCAATGGTAACGGGAATGCTGACCACCTCGTTGTGGTGACAGCCCTTTACCTGGGCTTCCACTTCCACTTGATATGCGATCTGTATGATGCCGCACAGGTTGAAGCAGGTGGGCGGAGTGGCTGGCACTTTAATCTCGTAGTTGAAGAGTTTCTTGCAGTTCCTCTGAACCGAGTCTCCCTTTAAAGTATTGACCACCAGTCGCTCGGAGGTAGTATTGGGCATCGAAGGAGGCTTGCTGTGATAGGTCACCAGCATTGCAAAGGTCATCAGGAGCTGTTCCACGGGAATGTGGCTCTCGTTGGTGACCAGCACACTGAGCGGAATGCTTTGGCCAGGCACAAAGCCAGTTTGAGGAAGCGTCAGCTGGAGGGACAGAGGATCCGATTTGCAGGGCCAGCAGCAGTACGTCTTTGAGGTCTCACTGTGGGCGGGAACCTGGAAAATAAAAATAATTATAAAAGTTTACAAGTGTTGCAATTTATATTAAAATTTATATTAAACTTACCCTTAGTAATGGGCTGTCGAAATTGAGGTCCATAACCTTCAGTACTGTGAAGCATCGTGTGTAGCTCTGGTCGAATTTCCAGGGTCTGACCAGGGTCACATTGGTCATATAACGAACCCTCCCATTGATGCCCTCAAAGGACGATGGACACTCGGTGGGAATCTGGCAAGTAAAGTTGTACGTATGAATTCCTGCTTCAATGGGAACTTGGGCTGTAATGACATAAACAATTAGAAAACGATCCCAGCACACCCTGAATGACTCATACTTACAGCTCAAATTGGAGCCCACCAGGAACGTTTTGGATGCAATATAATCCTCACGACCATAGAACGTGCGACGTCTCCTCCTACGGTTTGTGGTTACCCTTTCGCTCCATCGGGTCTCGGCATATCCGGTTATGTTTAAGGTGACAGCTGTGAAGGGGAAAACCATATATAAACACAAATGATAAATATTTATTTTACCTATTTATTTGTATATTTTTAAGTATTTTTTTATATTGATTGCACACAAGATAGTGGCCCCATTTTTATTGCCAAACTACTTCTTTTAATGGAGTGTCCCTGCCTCTAAATCATTGCTTCCTTGCTGGTTGCGTAAGGAGAAGAAGTTTTTTAAACAAATAATTTTAAATTTAAATATTACCTCTCATTCTTTTTAATTAATTAACTTGCTTCACTTGCAACTACTCATTGAAAAACGATTCCTATTTAAAGTTTATTTAGTTGAATGGATATCTGATTCTGCTTTTCCCAGAGTGTGTATGTATATACCCATATTTAATGTCAGTTAATGCGAAACCATTGATTATTTTAAAAATATATTTATAATCTTATCGGCCGTAAATATTTATCATTAATGTATTTGTGTTTGGCCATCGAATACATCTCTCTCTCTCTCTCTGTTGGCGTTAGATTTTGCACGTGTGGTCGACTCGCAATTATAAATAATATGAATCACCCTGGTCGATCTTTGCTGCAAAACCATTTAACAGCACTCAAAAGTACGCCGATAAGATAAGCATGAGTCATGCTAATGGTATCGCCAAAAAACCAGAGTTTTAAATTGGAGAATGCCACCCACTCTCACCTTTCACCATCTTCACTTTGTCCAGACGCAGCGTTACCCTGCCGCTCACAACCTGGCCACCAAAGTAGGTGCCGTGGGGATTGTTATCGAAGTCGATCTCACAGGTAACAGCCATAATTGTAATTGATTCTGTAATTGCTATTGTTTGCTATTTATTGGCCGATCCGCTCCTGATGCCGTTGCAAACACAACTGATTTGATTTCAATGCCCAACTTTGCTGCGTATTTACTCCGTAACTTCGGAGAAGCTATGGGAACCACATGCCCAGTTGGCTGCCAGAAACGAACTGAGAATGAAACAAACATTGCGGCGGTTCTATATATTGGTAGCGATGGCCAGGCCAACTTTTATCTTATCGCTGTCACAATTTTGAATTATACTCGTACATTTCGCCAACGGGAGCCACGCAACAAAGAATCCGGGGAGCTGGGAAAAACCCAAAGAAATCCTTGATAAGCTGGTGAAGGACTGTTCAAAGTTTGTCTCTTGATACGAAAATGTTTATCCTAGGTCCTTCATTTCTTTTCCTCTTTGTCCAAGGCAGGATCTGCCTTCTTTTCTTCAGTTGGCTGTGGTAGACTGTAAATGGGATACAGGGGCTTGAAGGGCTGCTTCTCTTCCTCCTGCTGCATCTGGCGAGACTTCTCTGGGTGAGGTTGAATATGCATAGCCTCGGCATAGCTAGGTGGTGCTGTAAATAATATATTATAGTTTTAACTTTATCAATTAAGTCGCTAAATTACAATTTAACTCACCCAAAGTGGCGTCCTCCGACCATGGATAGGGCGGAGCAGCTGGGCCCCAGGCACCCTCGCCCTCAAGCAAAGTCAAGGCCCCATCACTTGGAGCTCCTGCAGCGCCCGATCCTTCAGGTACGTAATGCACCATTGGCGGCATAATAGGAACCCCACAAATGGTAACCGGCATTACCAGAGTTCCATTGATGTGCATGCCCTTGACTTTGGCCACCACTTCGATCTGGTAACCGATCTTGATAATGCGACACAGATGCATACTAGTGGGCGGCGTGGAGGGAATCAAGAGTTGGAAGTCGTACATCTTCCGAGAGTTTCTCATCACGCCATCAGCCTTCAGTTTGGCCACGGAAATACGCTCTGCGTTGGTGCCGGAACTCAGATCACTGTAATAAGTGATCATCATGGCCAGACCCACCTTCATCTCGTGCACCCGAATGCTGCTGTCGTTGCCTACCAAAACCTTCAGGGGGACAGTTTGACCGGGCACAAAGCCAGTTTGTGGCAAGGTTAACTCCAGGCTAAGTGGAGACGACCGGAAGGGCCACACGCCAAAGGTCTTCTCACTCCTGGCCTGAACGGGAACCTAAACAATCGGAAATTAAAATAGTAATTATAAACTAAATTATTATTTTCAAGGTAACCCAGAAACTCACCTTAGAAACCGACTGATAAGTTTGCATATCCATTACCTGGACTACAGTGAATGGCCTTGTAAACAGACTGTCGTACTTCCAGGATTGGAATATGTTCACAGCCACCGTATAACATATACGACCGTGAGTCCCCTCGAATGAAGAGGGGCAGTGGATAGGAATTTGGCAAGCAAAATTATAAGTTCTCACTCCCGGCTCCAAAGACATTTCTAAAGATGTTATTAAGGTTTATCAAATGACAATAAATAGGTCTAAAGATATATCTTACCCGAACTTGTGGCTGAACCCAACAGATAAACTGTGCTGGAAAGATACTTCTCAAAGCCATTATATGATTCGGAGGTGGACTTGTTGTTTGAATCGGTTTTACTTTCAGTCCAATGGGTTTCGGCGTAACCTTTTACCTTTAGTCTGATGGCTGATAAGGGAGTAATCAAGAAATTAGTCATCGTTACTATTCCTCATGAAATCCGTACACTGCTCACCTTTAATTGCTTTGACAGTATCCGTGCTCAGAGTCACTTGGCCAGATATAGTTTGGCCCGCATAGTAAACACCTTGAATATTGTTGTGAAACAGAATCTGGCAAATAATACCCATGGTTTTCAATTGATAATTTATTAGAGTATCACGCGGTTGTTATTGTTTATGGCTCCGGTCAATTGTTGAGCTCTTTCCTCTTTAATGGTCACAAGCAAACTGAACAAAACAGCCTTCAATCCATTTCTTTTATGGTTTTGCGACATTTCGGTGGACTTATCTTATCGGTACAATCATAGTTCTTGGCCAATGAAATATATTTTACATTGATTAGCAGTATGATCAGTTTTACTACTGATAACAAAGATAAAAGTTTGCCACAAAAAAAAACCCCAGCTGTGATGGGACTCACTCAAATATTACACTCAACTCAAATAAATCCTCCTGCGGCGCCGTATCAGTCATTTGCACTTGTTTCTGGGTAATATTATCGATAAGATAGAGGCCCAACCCAAACAAATATTGCTCACTGTAATCCTTCTCAAAAAGTGTTCCCAGTACACTGCCAGCTATGATAGTACAAGGTTTAATTTATTTGATTAGCTAAATAATTATATAATAATTTACAATGTTGGTATTACCCAAGTCAACTCTTTTTAAAGCCAAGTGCTTCTATCCACATCCTCGTTTACATAGCCGCCTTCAGTCTTTACTTCATTGGACCTCAGAATCCATTCGTCCGTTTGATTTTCTAGATCAAAGACAGCATATAAAGGGGTAAAGTTAATTTCCTGTCCTTGTTTGTCCTTTGACTCTCTGATGGACTTTTTTATGGATTTATTTTTAGCTTTGGAGGATTTCTGGGTTTCTGGAGAGATGTGTTTGGCCTCGGCATAGTGGGGAGGGGCTGAAAAATAAAATAAATATTTAAACTCACATATTTAAATATATGCAGAAACTATTTTTAAAAATTCCTAGATAAATCTTAAAGGTATACTCACCAATTGAGGTATCTGCAGCCCAGGGATTCAGGGGACCAACTGGTTCCATGACCTCTTCATTTTCTATTAAAACCAATGCCTTGGCATTCAATTGTTGCGGCGCCATATCTTCTCCCCAAATTCTGGCCTCCTTTTGCAGCTGCTTGGTGAGTGGAACACTGCCAATGGTCACTGGCATGTGAACCGATTGATTGGCATGACATCCCTTGACCCTGGCTTCCGCTTCGACTTGGTAACCAATCTGGATAATGCTGCACAAGTTAAAGCAAGTGGGCGGCGTTGGCGGCACTCGAATGTCAAAGGTGAATTGCTTTCGAGACTTTGCAGGGGCTCCCTCGCCTGTTTTTTGGACCATCACAAAACGATCCTTATTGGTGTCCGCCGTCGGTGGTTGACTGTAGTAAATCACCACCATGGCCAATGTCACTGTTATATCCTCAACGGCAACGCCACTGCCATTAGAAACCATTACGCCCACCGGCACAGTCTGGCCGGGCACAAAGCCACCCTGTGGTAGGGAGAGCCGAATGCTGAGCGGATCTGAACGACACGGAAAGCAGCAGTAGGTTCGCTGAGATTCCACCTGGGTGGGTACCTGGAATAGTTAAACGTATTTAATTACTAAAAATAAACCTTACTCCCTTAACTTACCCTCAACATCAGACTCTCGGTATTCAAGTCCATCACCTTGAGTACAGTAAAGCATCGACCAAAATTCTGATCGAATTTCCAAGGCCGCAGAAACCTCACATTGACCAAGTAACGAACACGTCCATGGGTTCCCTCAAACGATGAGGGACATGTGATGGGCAACTGACAGGCGAATCTATACGTGCTGGTGCCCGGCTCAATAATCACCTCTGAAATGGAGCTTTGATTTCTTTATCTCTTGATTTATTGAAATTTATCATCTTGAAACACACACCTATGCTAGAGCTCGAACCGTGCAGATAGGCCTTAGTGGCCATGTAGTCCACATGCCCCTTGAATGACTCACCGTTCGACTGATCCTCCGAGTCGAATTCGGGATCCCTCCAGTGGGTTTCGGCGAATCCTTTGATCTGAAGAACCACCGCTGCATGTAAAAATAAATGTTATTTTTAGAAATTGCACTTTAAATCCAATTAAGACCTCACGCAAACAAAGTTCCCCATTGAAAAGAGATAACACGGACGAAGACAATGAATCAGACTCTTACCCTTAACTGGTTTCACCTTCTCAGTTTTGATTACCACCTGTCCAGAAATCAGTTGCCCCGCGTAAAAAATCCCCCGGGGATTATTGCTGAACTCAATCTCACAGACTACCATCTTTTGTATAGATTTCTAGTGATAATCCCGGAGAGCTAGTGAACTTTTGCCCTGTCTGCGCTGTGTCTACCAGCGAACTGAAGTCCCCCACGGGTTCTGGTTTTATTTTTTTTTATATATATTTTTTTTTTGGCCAACATTTTTATTTTATCTTATCATAGGCGATAGGTATTTATGTATTTAAACACAAATTTGTGGCAGTGCTAGCAAAATATTTACATATGTAAGTGACAGCGATAGGAATGATATGAAATTGAGTGGTAAAATATTAATCGATGAGGGGCCAAGACTCTCAAGGCTCAGATAGCTGTGAAAAAAAGATAATGTAACTATCATGGGTGTACTTCGACATTTGGCTACCGAATTCTGCTGGAAGTTGAGGAGTTATTTATTTATGGCCTTATTTTCACTCAACCGTTCGCGTTGCCAACCATCCGTGATTTTTGCACCCGCTCAGCAAAAGGAAAACATTGCAGTGGGTTTTGTAGAGAGTTAGCGACGGCGATAAGATAAAACTCGGCCAACAGCAAATATTGAGCAAGAACGGAGAGCCCTCTAGGCCCAGTTGGTAATGGCAATAGCCTCAGTTCCCGTTCAGCAGCGAGCGCGTGCGGACCGATCGCATAATTAATATTACTTCTGGTGGAGGATAGCCCCCATTCCGATACCATGTCAAAGAACTGCATGATAACGTTCGACCAGAACGAGCACGGCACCTACTTTACCGGCCAGGTGATAACCGGCAAGGTGATCGTCAATCTGAACAAGACCAAGAAACTGCGCGGTACGTAAGCCCGGCCAGGACTCCGGAATATTTAATTAACTTATCTGCACGGCCGTATCTTATCGCATCGTTTTGGATAATGTCAGGTTATGCCAAAAGCAAAGTTTCAACAAACCATTCAAATGGGTAATTTAGTGATAACCAAGCGGACACTCCAAATGTGCGATAATTGATGATGCCCGCAGCTTAACAATCATTTTTTTCGCCATGGGATCTACCTACCGAAGCGATTTTATTTTGGTTTGAGGAAATGCCAATAAGAGTTAGTCACGGTTTTGTGTCTGGGCCAGGCGCTATCACAGAGAGGATAAGATTAAGAAAATAGAACGAGTTTGAGAGAGGAAGAGACTGGTAGATTTTAACTTTAAGAATTGTATGACAATTAGCCGGCTTGTCCTTAACTAAACATAAAGGTTACTCCTCACTTTAATTTAAACAAGTAAAAAAGCTACAATAGAGTGTGCTTGACTAGATATACACTACTTGAAGGAATATGTTAAAAGACAAATCCGTAAGAGTTCTAAAAATAAGGTAGGGAAATAAAAATAACAAAGTTTGATTTTGTTTCGTCTGAGTTCAAAACCACAGTTCGTGGCTCGACTAGCCTTTTAGGGTGAACCTGAGTGCGAGGTCGAGATAGGTCAAAATATAATATTTAAATATAAATTTAAATAAAAACTAAGTATTACAATACTTTCCAGTCTAGTTTCTATCATCTGGTTATCTTTTTATTATCTCCTGTGATGAGTAACTAAATGTTAAGAGGATTACGAAGCGGTAATTAAAGATGTAAATATTTAATTCCGTTTAAGATTAAACTTACGTATACATATTATATATAGTATATATATTATATATATTAAATATATTTCTTAACTCAGGTATCAAACTACAAATCAGCGGCTATGCCCAGGCACAGTGGCGAGTCCGCCGACATGGCCGGGCGGTGGCCATCCAAAATCCCAAGAAACGATCCAAGCACCAGTACAGCGGACGGGAGGACTATATAGCCTCCACCACATACCTCATGGGCTCCGAACAGGGCAGCAACTTCAACATGGACGCGGGCACGTACACCTACACGTTCGCCTGCCCCATTCCCAGTCACTGCCCCTCTTCTTTTGAGGGTGCCTACGGCCATATCCGTTACCTGGCCAAGGTGACATTCCTCAAGCCGGGAGCCTCCAATCGCACCCATAACGTGGGCTTCACAGTCCTCAAACTGCTGGACCTGAACCAGGAGAGCAAGATGCTCAGGGAGCCGGCGAGCAACGAGGCCGTCGAGTACTTTTGCCTGATGCACACGAAACCCGTGCAGCTGAAGGTGACGCTGCAGCAGCAGGGCTATGTCCCGGGTCAGTTCATGCTAGTTCACGCCCAGGTGCGCAACGATTCCAGCTCCGACTGCCGCAAGTTGCTGATTATGCTGCACCTGCGGGCCACCTACACCGCCGACCAGCCCTCGCTGCGCACCACCTCCGAGAAGATCATGCTGGTGAAGCGAGAGTGCGGCCCGGTGCCCCATCATGGCCAGAGAACCTACACAGAAACACTAAGGATTCCAGCCACGGCGCCCACTTGTGAGCACCTGAGCAAGGTGGTGCGGGTGTCATACGAGGTCCGAGTGGTGGCCGTGATGAATTGGTTAATGGCCAATCCCCGGGTCATCATTCCCGTGACCATTGGCAATGTTCCTCTGGCTACGGCTGTCTCAGGACCAGATTTTTTGCCCACACCCAACACGGCTTACGCAGCTGGAAGTCCGCTGCCTGCCGATCTGCCCTGCACATCAACGAGGGCCATGGAACTGGCTCAGATGTCCAGCAGCGGAGTAAGCAACTCCGGCTACGAGATGACCGAGGATCTTGAGGACTTTGAGCTCCCAGAGGATGGGGATGACGAGCTGGAGGCAACCGACGAATTCGTGCCAGATTTGCGTGAGTTTTTGTTTAAAAGACAAGATTATATATATTTAGACTGTAAAGTGCCTTTTTACAATATTGTTTTATAAACATTTCATTTTATTATTTTATTCAACAGCTCCTCCCACCTACGAACAGGCCATGTTTATGACCACCGACATTGCGGACACGGATGCAAACACCGTCAGCGAGGCCTCCCAGTTCACGCCCCGCTACCCCGTCTTCGATGTGGACACCTTCCAGAGTCCACCGCCAAATCCGCCCCAAAAGAAGCGTCGTCGTCGCCGCAGACGACCCGCCAATCCTGGCCAGCAGAAGCAGCTGCCGGAAAAGCAGCCCGTAGAGTCACCCGTACAGATTTGAGAGAGCTTTGGGTGCTCAGGGCAAATCACGACTACTATATCTTATCTCGGCAGTATTTATTTCTTCTTCGGTTCGCCTGTGTACTAACCAGAATGTTAATGTATCCACACACGTATTCATATACCTACGCAATGGTAAATAAACAAACAAGAATATAAAAGTGTCTTCTGGGTGATACGAGCGATAAATGGCTATAATACCCTAGACAGTCAAGAGATTTTATACGACATTTTTTTATATCAGTAATTTTCAGTTGATTACATTTTGAAAAAATGAAATCGGCATATCAGTGGCGCTTAAAATAGTAGGTATGACATAATAATAATAAATAAGTTACTGGTGTTCTAGCGAAAAAGGAACTTTAAATTTCTTAATAAAGTACAAAACAAAGTAAAAGTATTTCTTTATCATAGGTTATGGGAATATAATTTTAAATTGCTGTTTCTGTACTAGAACATACTTATATACATAATCTTGTCGTTAAAGAATATCGGTTGTCTGACCTCCTGTAATTTATCTGAACGATATACTTAAACAGAATGCTGTTAAACACTGAATTCTTATTTAAATCGCAATATCATACAACACAATTTTCTCAAAGCTTACGATTTGCCTTTTATACTTTTTTATGCCTATCTAAAAATAAACTTTAATTTTTCCGAGCCGAAAAAGATTTAACAGGAAGTTCATTAGTCGTTCTAGGCAACCAAATTTATCTGTCCGCCAAATTTGAACAGAGTGGATGAGGAAAAGGGAGCTAAATTATTTAGTAATGTTTGGTAATTAAAGCAAAAAAAACTTAAAACAAACAATATATTTTATTTTATTTATTGTTAAATTATCTACTCTTTGTAGACTGCGACTACCCTGGCTACAGCTGAAATAAGAAAATCATCGCCATGAGCTCGTTGAGCTTTCAATATAAATATACACCTGCTTTTTGTTTACAATGGTCTGATTGTCTTGGGCTCCAAATTCGTAACAAAAACAGCGAATATCGGTGTAACAACAAACAACAAAATGCAATATTCTAAAAAAAATAGTTTTAAATGAGCGCAGGTCCCAAAGCTTTCTTTCTCTCTCCGTAGAAAATGGAGCTTTCGTTCTCTGGAAGTGATGATGTCACACATTATCCGACTCTCCCAGCCGGCGATTCTCGGCCTTAGTTCTCATTTCGAGTGCGACGCTTGTCTGGTGCTGAATAAATTTTTGGTTTGCGTGCCAGCACCAAATAGTATTTAAGAATTTTAAATTGTGAATTTGGAAGTCGCCAGCACACCTTATAGTTTGTAGAGATTTTAGTTGATTAAAAAGGGCGGTAAAATGCCGTCAACTTGCTTATTTGAGCTGGATCGTCCCGAACCGATTTACTATAGCGGAGAAACGATCAATGGACGTGCTATACTCACTACAACATCCGAAAAGAACGTAAACGGTAAGCTAAGACGAAATACCTGTTGAGAAAGTATAGCTACAACTAATGTGATTCTTATTATCACCTCTTATCACTTTCGTGATTAATATGGACCACTTGATAGTACTAAACCGGTTCTAAAGAATGCTGTAAACCAAACCAGTTTATGGAAAACCCACAAACACTAGGGTTCTATATATTATGTGTTCTTAAGTGTTTGTTTGATGGCTTATTAAAAAAGAAATATATATTTTTTAATTGTTGCCATTCTCTGATGAGCTCAGCTCGACCCCTAATACCACAGCAAACATCATGTCTGATGCGAATTTGTCTTTTTTCCCAATTATTTTGGCTGAACCAAACAAAAACAAAGAACCAAAAAGCTCTATTTAAAAAAAACATTTGTGTGTATACTTAAAAGTGCCGACGATAAGAGAGCAACAAGTATTTGATACAGTGGACTTTGCGTTTCTTGTGGATTTAATCGAGTTCTGTTGAGTTTTATTTGTATATGCTCTGACTTTATCCCACTGTGTGCCAATCAAAGCTGAAAGCGATAGGGTATATTCATATATGCACATATGTATATATGCATTTAAAGCCATTCATAATAACAAACATAATTCTTACTTGCTGAGCTAAAAATACTCTGGCTAAACAGTTAGTGGATCGATTAACCCAGAGCAGTCCAATACTCCTAAATACCCCCTTAAGTCTATGACATTCCCAGCCTTATCCCTGATCATCCCATAGCTCAACATTGACTCATTCATTTCCATTTTTTATCTTCCTACCAGAGGTTTACATACTCTTCGAGGGCGAGGCAAAAGTACGGTGGGATGAGCGCAAGACAAGGACCCAAAACGGGAAGACACACCACTACACCGAGTACTACCGGGGCAAGCAAACCTATCTAAATACCCGGACCACTGTCTTTGGATCGGGAACACTGCCCCCCGGCACCCACACCTATAACTTTTGCATTCCTCTACCGCTGGAATGCCCCTCCTCGCTGGTTCAAAAATACGGAAAAATCTGCTATGAAGTCTCCGTGGTCGTCGATCGTCAGTGGAGGTTCAACAACGTCTTCAAGCAACCGCTGACGGTGCTGCAGACCTATAATCTCAACATGAGCCCACAGTTGCTGGTGAGTCCAAGCCAAGGCCACAATTTCGATTTAAATAGAACTGAAATAGATCAAAAAGATAGATAAAGCTATATACTATATATCACAAAATAGCCTCGCGTGACGAATGCAGTTCCTATTTAAAAACTGTTTTTGAATGTGCTATAAAAAAACAAATACAAGTTGCATGTTTCCTGATATTAAACAGAATATACGCCCCTTCTAAACATTATTTATTAATAACCTTTATTAAATATCTTACTCCACAGATGCCCCTGGTCCGTGAGGATATTAAACACTTTTGCTGCTGGCCCTGCAGCTCGGGACCGGTACTCTCGACGCTAACCATACCCTTCGGTGGTTACGCTCCCGGCCAAAAGATCCATTTCAGCCTGGAAATCGATAATCAATCCTCTGGCTACGACTTAGAGGGCATTGATGTGAGCCTTAAGCAGACCTACAAGTTCCGCGCCCAGACACCTCATTACAAGGAGCGCGAGAAGGAGGTTACCTTGAATCAAAGTTGTCAGGGGGAGCAGGTGCTGCGACTCTCGAAAAAAATCATTAACGGAACGCTGGCTATACCGCCGGTGCCACCTTCTTCCCGTAACGAAGGCGGAATCATAACGGTTGGCTACCGGATCATTCTGACAATCTGCATGGGTTCATGTCACGTCGATACGGACTTTGATGTGCCAATGGTCATTGGAACGATTCCCTTGGCCCAGAGTGCCGAGAATCCAGAGCATGCGGCCGAGTGGATACCCCAAACACCGGACACTCCGGCTGGAGCTGCCGGGGATCTGCCGCCCAGCTATGACAATTGCAGTGAGTTCTTATTAAATAATAATAAAGTACAAATATTCCAAACGATTCTTTTTATTCTTTTTTCTAGAACCACCGACCTTTGAGGAGGCCACCAGCTCAGACGACAGGTTCATCGATATCGATGTGGACGAACACAATCGCACGGATGACTTTGTCCCACGTTATCCAATGTACACCAACTTTGCCATGCCCTCGGCCCCGCCGCCTCCTTCAGAGGATGCGGAGTCTGCACTCCTACCAACGGCTCCGGTTCTGTCTTTACCACATGCCGCAACGGCACCATCGAACGGCGAGAATCCTACCACATCATATGGCTGGAACGCCAACCCATAGGCAACGGCAACTACCTCGAATGGAATCTCAGGACCAGCACAGCAAATTGTAATTGTGAAATGTTTTTTTTTGTGTGCCTTGAAACGGCGAAGAATTCGCTACCAAACTTAATTTTTCCGAAGTGCTATTTATGAATCTAAGCTTTTAACCAACCGCTTAAGTAAATAATAAAATATTTAAGTACTGCCTTGTGTCAAAATTATATTTAAAATACTGTGTTTTCATCAAGATTAATATTTTTTTAAAAATGTTGGAGGAAAACTGAGTTTTGTATACTTAAATTTACAGTTTAAAAAGATATTGAATTAGTTATTTAGCTTAGATCCTTGTGAAGCCTATACTTATGGTAAATTTTGATGGTTTTTAATATTAAAAAAAAGCGTTTCATACATTTTATGATTATTTTCAATTAATTCCTGACATTATAATCTCTTTCATTTTTTAAATGTTAAATTTAAGAACCTTTAAATTATCCTTACCCATATAAAATACAAGTTCAAAGACCTCCATGTGGTGATGAAATAAATATTTAATTAATGTAGCTTTGCATAAAATTTCTAAAAAATAAAATAATTTATATGATTGTGCGATACAAAAAAATACTGCAGTTAATGCGACTTGACTTCCTCGGATTGGGCTTGATCCATTTCATAGTAGACATAACGTGGCCTAAAGTCCAACTGCTCTCCAGACAAATAATGCTTGTTGGTCTTGTTCAGGTTGGTGGCCGTCATAAATTCGGCTTCGCGGAAGTTCGAAGCTAAAGAGATTTAATATTTATTAAATAATGTTTAAAATAATTAAACAAATTTAAAAAACCTACACAATGAGGCCATAGAACCACTGAAATTCGGAGCCAACTTTTGGGCTGTTTCTACAGGCGGAGTTGGTTCCGGAGCCGAGGCATCCAGCGGTTCTTGCATGAGGAGTCTGCCAGGGCATGGCGGTGTTACATTTCCAATAATGACAGGGATTCTGGCAGAAATCAATCGCTTTTCCTGCTGGGTCCTCACCAGCACCTCCACCTCGTAGTTTAACTGCAGGCACGAGCACTGTGTCACACTCAGAGTGGCTGCAGTTTGAGGCACTTGGAGCATATGAAGATGCTGAAAATTCTCCAGTTCCGTCTTGGGCAGACTGACGAGCTCGTGGCTTCTGCTCAGTATTGTTTGTCTATCCACTTTGGTATCCGTTCGCTTGGGCTTGTTCTTCAATTGAGCCACGTAGGTGGAGATCTGCACCAGGGAATAGGTGACCTCTCGAAGTGGCAGCCTTTCCGGATTGTGAAGCTTCACATGTACCGAAATTCCCGCTCCCGGCGAGTAACCCTGCCTGGGAATCTGAAGCTGTAAATGTAGCGGTTTCATCCAGAACTTTAGGCGTGGCGTCTGCTCATGAATCTCCACTTCACTACTCCTGTTCTCCTGGGTGAGACTATTTTGGGGAAAGATCAGCAACTGCCGGACATGAAGCACTTGCAAAGGACGATCAGCACTGCCGTGAATAAGCACTTGAAGTGTGTACCGGACATGTCCGTGGGCACCCTCGAAATTCCCGGGACAATTCTGGGGCAGCTTCACATGGAATCCATAGTTGTAGGTGCCCGCCTCCATTATCTGCGGCTGAGCAGCCTCGGAGCCCACAAAATAATCGATTTTGGCAAAATAATCCACTCGACTATCTAGGTCCAAAGGCTGACCCTGCACTATGGGTTGCGTACCCTTGGGTTTCTTGGTCTTTTGAGGCAACTGCCAGGCAGTGCAGGCATAGCCATTAGCTTCCAGGCAGATTGCTGTAATTATACAGAGATTCATTGGATTAGTCCCAGTATTTGTAGCGTCCTATAATCGATTACTGATAATTTGTATCAAATCATGGTGATTTATTTAGGAGGTATTTCACAAGAATAGCTAGCAACGTGTAATCTAATTATGAACATTATTTTAAGGCTTAAATAGAACATTTCATTGTGTAATTTAATAGGTAATAGGTAATATAAAGGTACAAGTCTTGGTCAATGAAAGTAGTATAGTTAAGTGAATGATTTTTAAATTAAAAAGGTTAATTATAAGAAAACTGCATAAATTGTACTTGAATACCTACTAACTACAATATTAATTTAGCAAATACTATTTCTTGTTTAGATTAATTATCTTATCAACCGGTTGACTTATAAATAAATTAAGTTAGAGTCCATGCCGCGCCTTAACAATTTGATTTCAACTCGACAATCACTATCAGCCGGGCAGTAAGGTAATCATAAATTGATCTTGATCGGTGAGTCACCGCCCTCAAGAGGTTTTATTACACGGGGTAGCCCCATGAGTCACTGCACTCGCTTACCTTTGATTAAAGCACGCTCCGAAAGGGTCAGATAGACGTGACCATTGACTGTTTCACCGGCCCGATAGGCCCCCCGGGGATTGTCCAACTGGATGTCGCAACGGTGGCTCATCCTTAACGCTCTGTTGCTCCCTGTTGACGGCTCGACTGCTAACCGATGTCTGGCGGTTGTTGACAATATGCTAGCCCATTAAGAGTGGAACTCGACGCGGCCTTATCGGCCTAATGCTAGGTGTGAATGCTACCACAGCCATGGCTATTATCGGCAAAGCGGCTATCTAATCTGGCCAGGAGAGAGCGGCGGCGTGCGACGACGACTACTACGACGACGACTCTTATCGTAGAGCTAACAATTTGTAATTTAATTAAAATGCATTACATCGGGTGTCAGGTGTAGCCTACATATGGGCGGAAAGTTGGCGAGGATGACGGATCCAAGGCCACCTTGTGCCAGTGATGAGGAAATTTCTAGGTGGTTGAACTTTGCCATGCCTCAAGGGAGTTTATTTCGTGGGTATTTATTAAATGAATACCCCAACTTTCTTTAGTAAAATTTTTATAAGCAAATTATTTATCTTATTATATTTCCTGACATAATTAATTGTCTTTGCTGACTTTCCCATCACTATAAAAAACAATCAACAAATTGATTTTGAATTTATACTTTATTTATTGTCCACTTCGGAACGTTTTAGTCGGTACTTAGGACAATTGGTAAATGTATCAAGTCGAATATTTAAACCGTAAATGTTTGATGGATGTAGAAAAGCAGTAAATATATATGGTATATATATAGATTTTGGCACTCAATAAGTTCGATTCGATCAATTTTGGATGGTACGCGGCGAGTGTACAAATCTTCGCAATGAAAGCTCTCTAAAACTAAACGACGGACTCGGGATCCAGCCTAAAAATCTCGTATAAGCCTTAGTCTTGAACACTTAAGTTACTTGTTACTTGGGTTTGTTAATACGTAAATAAGACACTACTTCTCCACTAGAACAGATGTTCGTCCAGCAGGTCCTCCTCGGCCTCTGCCACTTGAGCCCTTGCGGCTGCCACCTGATGCACTTGGGCAGTCACATCCAGCGTCTCTGCCTCTTCCTCAGCCTCAGCCTCTGTCTCAGCCTCAACCTCATGTTCCTGCTCCTCAACGTGCTCGGAGAGGGGGCCGCAGAGCGATCCAAAGGTATCCAGACTCCGGCCCGTGTGGTCAGTGTCCAGGGAACCGTACGATCTATACATATGCATATCCAGGCCAGAGTCCTCCATTCCGTGAGCCGGAGCTGTCCCAATGAGGGTGCTGAAGCCCGGAAACTTTGGTAAGTGAATGCGCTGCAGGACCACCGCGTGGTTACTGCCCAGGGTCTGCTGACTGCCAGCCAATGTGGCAAAACTGAAGGAGGGTGGAACTGCAAGGGGAGTAATATTTATATTTATAAATTATTATTAAAAAATAAATTTGTTTAGCTATACTAAAAACATTAAGTAAATAATTCTGATTTTCTAGGTTTGTAGAAATAATTGTAATAATTGTAATATTTGTACCACTCAATATAATGAAATATAATGTATACTAAAAGAAAATAAAGGTAATAATATTAATAAACTTTCCTGTATTTTTACTATTTATTATTAATCATAAAAGTACATTTTACAATCAGGGATTTATTACCCATTATTTATTTCCACAATTGTATGTTTCAACGTCAATGTCAACAGGTGCTTTCTGATTGCACAAGTATGCATTGTTTTTAAACTTGTTTACAAGATTTTTCCCTGATATTTCTGCGCAAGGTTATTAGGCTATTATCATCTGCTTAATTAAGTTTAAACAACTGTTTATGAACAACAAATTATCAGAGTGAATGGATAAAATTACTGAAGTTTCTTAAGAATGAAGCATAAAACATGTACTCTTGCACCAGTTGTGGGGCAATTATAAAATAAACACCTGGCATTTAAAAAATATTTTTAATTTTTATACCCAGACACAGGATTTCTAAAGTAATATTAACATATTAAAATAAAAATATTATTTATGATGAAAAACTGAAAACTTACGGCAACTATCGTAGCTCGGCGGCTCATCATCATCGAGGGCCTGGTGCGGTTCATCGGTTGTCGTGGCAGCCGCCTCTGCAGCTGTTTCCTCCTCCACCGTTGGCGGTCGCGGAGTAACCCGCTCGATTAATCGCTGCCTCTCCGGCGTGGTCGTTCGCCGCGCCGGTTGATGGGTGTGCACCGAGTTGCGGAGATGCTGCAGAGAGGTGGTGCCCACAATAATGGGCACCGAGAGGTCCGTGTCATAGTGGAAGCAACCTGTCTTCAACTTCACCTGGAGCGTGTAGTGAATAAACACAATGTAGTTGGGATTAAGCGTGGATCGTGGCGTGTCCATGGGCACACAGATGCTGGACTCGTACTGCCGCTTGGACAGACGCAGGGTACGATCCGCAATCAGCTCCTTGACCAGTGTCTTGGTATAGAAATTCCGCTTGACGGGATTCCGCGACAGGAAGACAAAGTGCTGTTTAATGGACACCTCCACAGCATTAATGTCGTAGTGCGGCGACTGGTTGTCCACCTCCAAGCGGAAGGGCACCTCCTGCAACGGAGTGAATCCAGAGGCGGGCAGGGCCAGGGTGGAACTGATGGGGCCCGAAATGCAGGGCCAATGACAGAGATACTTGATGTTTTCATCCTTAACGGGAAGCTAATGGAGGGAAAACGATAAGAAGGTATTTCTTCAGAGACAAAAATGCATTTATTTTTATTTCCGAAAATATATCTAAAGATAATATAGATTTAGAGCGGGAACACAGGTTCCAATCCAAAAGAAAGGCCACTTATGCTCAATATATATTCCTTTTGTAAACTTCCTTACTCATCTTTCCGGGTTCCTTCCTACAAAAACACCCCTAAAAATTCCAACAAACAATGGCTACTCACCGTAAACTCTGGGTTGTAGTTGAGGTCCAGCGTCTGCACCACGTTAATGGGCTTCTTGAAGACCTCGTCGAAGCCCCAGGGCTTGTCGATGGTCAGGGACAGGTGGTACGCTATATAGCCGTACGGACCCTTGCAGGTGCTGGGACAGTCCGGGGGAATTCGCAGGGTGAGCACGTAGACGTGGACGCCAGCTCGGAAGAGGGAGTTATCGAACACATTGGTGCGGGAATGTAAATATTGCTGATGGCCCGAATAATTGGCCGTCTCGCTCTTGCCGCTCATCGACCACTGAACCTTGGCCTCGCCCTCCAGGGTCACATAGACGGCTAAGGAATACCGGAAAGCACAAATTCGTATAATCCCTATAAGCGACAGGGTCTCGAGAGAGAAGTGCCAACCCACCATTGACGCGCTTCACCTTGTCCGTGCGCAGCAAAATGCGACCACTGATGTACTCGCCGCTGTTGTAGCCAGGATTCAGGCGATCCAGCTGAAAAACACAAGTTGTGGGCATGGCTGCAGCACTTCCTTCCGGTTAGGATTAAGGGCCTTTTCACCAATGCCTCTTCACTGACACTTTCATCACCTCGCAGCACAGGAGCTACCGGAGCAACCCAACTTCCACACAGCCAGACGCGCACTGAGTTCCCAGTTCCGAGTTGCGAGCTGCGAGTTGCGAGTTGTTCTTTGTCAGCCAGCATCCGACGCCATGGGGCTTTCGCTTTTCGGGGAGGAGGAGGCCATTTGGGGGCGTCCGAATCAATAAGCTGGCGCCTTGCGTCTGTGTAGCCGTCTACTGTCTGCTTCTGGTCTAATATTTCAGCGCGAAACGTTCGGAAATGGAGCAGCTTTTGGCCGTGGGTCCTTTCGGTTTCCTTTGTTTGGTTTTGGCTCTGGCTCTGGCTATGGCTATGGCTCTGGCCAAAACATAAACACACACTCACACATGGGGCATACATGAATGGGCCCGAATGCTGGGCGAGGTCAGGGGGCAATAGCTACATATATCTGCCTACATTGGATATTACCATATATCAAGCATCGATACAGCGCCTGAGCGAGAGTGTCAACAAAACACAGGACACGGACACCGAGTCGCGAACTGCGTCACAACAAGTACTCTATTTTCGGGGTGTTGGCCACAACCCTTTGGCCGCATAACGTGGCACAATTAGGGCCTCAAAATGATTTCGTCACTCACTCCATTAATCTCGCATGCATAATTGCGATAATGAGAGAAGATGGCCCGAAGGGCTGGAAATATTACAGATGGAAGCTAAATGAAATGGAATATGCCACAGGAGGGATATGAGGACCTTGCAACGGTATTTTAACTAATATTTTTGGGGTTTTCAATAGTAATCTTCATTTAAAACATTAATTTTTAGGCAATGAGGGTCTAAATAAAAGTAATTGTAATGTTTTTTGAGTTATTACCTTTTGTTAATATATGTTTCATATTGTATATTCATATTTAATTGAAGATGATTTTATACATCAAATGAAATTAATTTATTTATGAAAAGATCAACCTGCAGTTAAATCGCTTTAAAATTAAATACAAAAGATAGAAGACGAACCAAAGTTATAGGATTCTTATAAGAATATTCTATTAAGAATATTCAAACTTAATCTCGGAACATCTATATTGATTCATCAATGAATGGGAATAGGGTATAGGTATGTATATTTCTTTAAAATAATATATAACATATTATTTTCTAGTAACTTTTTGTCTCATTATTATATATGTACAATTTTGTCGCCTCAATAATGTTTCTTTAGAATCCGCGTTTCAGCGACCGCCGACTTAGTTCGATTCCATTGAATATCATGTGTATCCAGTGCTGGTCACTGGAATTCCAATCTCGACACGTGTTAGGGTAGCACTTTCTTATGAAAATATCGCAGTGCCAGTTGCACGTACGACTGTTTTCTCTTCGGACCTTTCAGTAACCTGATGCCTTCGCAGTGTTTGTTCAGCGCCAGGGCGCCAATTTCCCGGGAACAGCTTTGGGCCAGCAGTTGATTAATTGGCGAGAGCCAATCGCCATGACTCAGCGCTGAAAGGAGGCCGGAGCCCGTTTTTAATTAGGTATTAGAACCGATAAGCTGGCCGCATATAATGACTTACCCAAATTCACGAAGCAAAGGCGGGAGTACTCGATGCAGGGGAAGTGAGTAGGCGGCGCCACAGTGGCCACAAAAAGGGGCAGCCGGAGTGGTGGATCCACAAAATTATAGGCCTCTATAAAGTAGCTAATGTGAATGGGCCCGAACTGATCAGGATGGCTCATAATGGGAGCAGTCAGTGGCAGGCGGAGATCCCCTTTGAGACGGGAACACTCTGCCAACACTTTTTTCACTGTTTTGGTCCTATTCTCCGGCACAGAACTCTGGTAGGTAATGCTTTGATACAACCGGGTGAGAATATCCAAAACTCCATCCCTAGAGTCAACTTCAAAGCCCACGTTTTGGCCAGGAACAAACACACTTCGGGGTAGAGAGAGACTCAGCGTGGAGGTCTTCTTAATTTGTGGCTTGAGGTCAGCGAATTCCAGGCTCCTTCTGACCACCAAACGCTGCTCGAAAGACTTACTATGCTTGCTTCTCCTCTCGATGACCACCTTTAGGATATACTCCACACGGCCATGGGGAACACTACATGTAGCTGGCAGACTTTCAGGGAGTTGGAACTCAAACGGGCCTAGGTCCTTGGGACCAGGCGGCAAAACAAGTCGACCCACCAAGTTCTTTGTTTCATTTATGTGAACCTTGCCGCCTTTGTAATCCACTTTGGCACACTCCACCTGCCTGGCGCTGTCATTATGTTCGATTTGCGGAGGCCCCGGGTCGGACTCCCTCCAGTGAACCGTGGAGGTGCCATAAAGAGTGATATTTACGCCTGTCAAGAGAAGGAGAAAACACATGGAGATCAGTGCCATCTATTTGTAGACTCGGCTCTTATCTAATCACCTGGCGGAGAAGGTGTCCCATAAACTAATTTGCCTAATGGCATCTTTCACTTACCCTCTAATGGGAAAGGCTTTTTGCCGCCGACTGTCACAGTGAGTGAGCCCGAAATTCGCTCGCCGCAGTAATAAATGGCAGCGGCACGCGATAGATTAAATTCACAATTTATAAGCATTTTCACTCACTGGCATGGAAAATTATGGCCTTTGCCACGGAATCACATACTATTAAGTGGGCTTCCCAATAATTTGCTGCCACGCGACTCAAGTTGCGACCTCGTCGGCGAACGGCGAACAAGTGACTGCGCCAGCTTGAGGTTTTAGCCGAAGTCTGAAAATCTGTTTCCACTTGACGCGATTCTCAGCGAGAAAAATTATTGCTGTTGCCGCAGTTTTACTGCTAATTTAAACCCAAAGTCTGGCGATATAAATTTAGTTTATTGCTAAGCTTACCCGTCCCGAGATTTTCGTCTGCCGTTATCGGTATAGGATCTCCAGAGCCAACTTAAAACACTTGTTATTTAGCTTTCGGGGTATACATAATATATATCTTGCTCATTTAGCTTTATTGAATCGGATTGAATCGAATTGAAGACAGTTTAGACTTAGGAATAGACTTTTGTGATTGCTGGTTAGACTGAGTTTAAAATCAGAGGAAGTACAAAGTATAAAGAGGAGGTTATACTCAATCTAGATACAAGGATTTTTGTATATAAACTAGAGCAAAAGACACTTTTTTATATATATTTATATTTAGTTTTAGACACCTAAGGGCTAGGATGATGATGATGATGACGACGGATTGATCCAACTTGATGATAGAGTAATGTGAAATCATAGAAACTAAGTAAAATTTGGCTAATATTCGCTTGTAAATTTCTCATAGATACTTTATAAATACAATATTCAATATTGGAAAATGTTAGTTTTTGTTTTTAATTACTCTTCTTCTGGTTAAAATTGTGCAGTTTTCTTGGGAGTTTATCTTAATTATAGGGATTTGGGGAATTTAATCTACGTTTCACTACGTGGTTCGTATATATGTTTAGCCAGTGATCACTGTAGTGTGCGGCCCCTATAGAATTGTAAATTCAATTCTGCTTGCAATTTCGCTTTCCCTTAGAAAAAAACTAAAATAAAAGTAGATTGCTTTTAACTCAGGGAAGAGAAGGAGAGATAAATTAAGCTGAAGATGGCTAGAAAAAAGACTGGCTGGCCGTAAAGGAAGTACTATTCTTACTAAAATTAAATCCGCTTAGTTTAGAGAGATAGTTTATAGCTTTCTGCAAAATATATATTGTTTCCGGTTTGATTTTTATAAAAATGTCCTCGATTTACTATTTCCAATTGTCCACCTTGGCTTCAGACTTAAGAACTACTATACTTTAGCGCCTTGCTTTGAATTATCCTTTTTTTAAATATATTTTGATTACGAGTAAATATGTAATTGTTGTTTGCGGTTAACTTTTGAAGCAGCTCAGATCCTCCCATAACTCGTTCGCCTCACTTCTTTTCGCAGCTAAAGGACTCTCCGCCGGGCGTGTTCGTGTTCGTGGTGGCCTCCTCATCCAATTCCGCATCCGCCGGCACCGGAGCCGGATCCTGGCAGCCGAGGGTCAGGCGCAGCTGGGAGCTGGTCTCATCGTAGAGCGTCTCTGGATGGGGTTTTCAAGCCGGTGAGCAGGGGGAGAGCGGGGATGGTGGGGGTCGTGAATGGACGGTACAAAATGTTGCATGTTTTGGGGGCGGTAACAAGAGAACAAATTTACAAGTTAAGCACATTTTGAAAATGTTTCAGCTCGGCTTACGACTAAATTGAATAGAGAAATGCATAGTAGGAAAAGTTGAGAAAAGCTTTCAAAACGTATAAATATATATTGGTTCTTAAACGGTAATGGGTTAATATATAGCTTAGGTGTTAAAGAATGCTCTCTGACAAAGCCTCTGTAATAAATTTGATTAATATAATTTCAAATCGATAAGGGTTACAATTCTATATTAATTCAAATATTATTTAATAAAAATGTATAATTTATAAAGTAAAACAGATATGTTATTTAAAGATAAAAGGGAATAATTTAAATACTTGGAACAATTATCAAATTTGTGTGTTTTAAATTTAGGGAACAAATCTTGAATACTTTTGTTTATTATTGAATATATGCAAAATGTAATAAAACGTGCAATTAATTATGAAATACATATTCAATTATATAGTATGACGACGATATTTGAGTAAGTTATAGTAAGTAAGCAAAGAGATTTAAGTTTAAGAAGATTGTATTGCAAACAGACGGACTAAACAATCGGAAAATTACTTTTCTAGAAAGGTAAACAGCGGACTATAGTTTAAGAAGGACTGACTATATCTATATATGAAGGATCAGAGGTTCAATTGCAATTATCCTCTCATTAGTTAAGCAGACAATGGAATTGAAAATTCATTCTTTTCACTTTAAATCTCTATACTTTAACATAATAAAAGACATTGAAGAAAGATGCTCTAACTACGTTTAAGTAAAGGAATAAAATTATATAAATATATATTTTTTTTTTTAGAAAAAGCCACTCAGCCATTCAATTGATTAGTTCATTTTTCGAGTTTTTTTTTTTTTTAGCTTTTGCTTTGGTTTTTCTTTTGTAAACAATTTTTGGTAGTTTTTTGTTTTGTATTGGAGGGGTTTTATGTGTCGGATTCATTGGAATCATCACTACCGGGCGGTATGGTCGGTGTCTCATAATCGTAATAGACCGGATAACGCGGCTTAAAGGGCTCACTTGTGGTGACATCAGCCTGAGCGGACATAATGCTGCTCATGCTAACGTTTGTCAAGAACTCAGTATCATCGCTGAATTTCTCACTCAGAGCCATGGCATCTTCATATGAGGGCGGCACTGTAATATATTAATGTAACATTAAAAGAACAAAAATATATTTTTTAAGGAGGACTCACTCATGGGTATATAGTCCGGCGGATTATCGCTATCGCTGGTCACCAGTATCGCTGGCATTGCCATGGGCCTGAGGGCGGCAGTTGTTGGCGTTGATGATGGCGTGGAGCTCGTGGGCGTGGGACTGGCATTCACTATCATATTAATATTGCTATTGGTCGGCAGTAGTCCACCCACAAAGCGTCCACGATTGTTGTTGTTGTTATTGGTGATGCTGCTGAGACGTCGCTGCTGATTTGAGGCACTTGTCCGGTCCCGATCCCGATCCCGCTCGCGATCCCGATCCAGATTACGATCCCTGTCCCTATCTCGATCCCTTTGATGATGTCGCTGCTGCGTGGACATTTGTAAATTTTGACTAACTACTTGGTGCTGTTGCTGCTGGCGATTGAAGCGCAGCAGGGCCTCCGGGCCATCCATGATCGGTATACTGCCGATGGTCAGCGGAATCTTCAGCTTGAGCTTCCAGTGGAACTCCGTGGGATTGACTATGATCTTAATCGAGTAGTTAACGCTAATCGGACACGTGGGCTTCACCGAAGTGGGCGGTATCGAAGGCAGGTCCAAGTATCCACGGTACACCTTCCGCGACCATCGCAGCACGTTCCCAAACTGCTTCCTGGCGATCAGGTGCTTGTCGTAGCGGTACTCGTGCTGCGGATCATGCGACTCGTAGCTCACCTCCTGCTTCAGCTTCACCTCGCACTCGGTTATGTCGATCGAGGACTCGTTGTTGATGTACAGCACGAAGTGGATCTTCTGGCCGGGCGCATAGCCGCAGTACGGTGTCGAAAACTTCACCGTCAGCGGGCCCGTGGGACAGCAGAAGCTCCAGAAGCGCTTTCGATCGAGAATCTCCAAGGGAACCTGTGCGAGAAAAAGGAGGTTAGTGAAGTTATATTAAGAATAAGAAGCTGTTAAAGGGATTCAGAATCCTCATTATCTTCGTTCCTTACCCTGTATATGGCATCGGCGTTCAGGTCCAGCGGTTGTATCACCGTAAATGGCAGCTTGAAGACCTTGGGATATCGCGCCGGCCGTTCGATCGTCGTTATAATCTCATAGTGAATCTGGCCGTACTTGCCATCAAAGGACGTGGGCAGGTTGTCGGGCAGAATGACATGAAAGGTATACGAGTACTCGCCGGCCGGCCAGTCGATGCTCGAGTTGTTGGCGCAGGAGCCGAGCACGTAGGACCGCGAGGACAGGTACGATCGGTAGGCACGACACATGGCGCGCTCACTGTCGCGCGGATATCCCTTTTTTATCCAGCGTATCTTGGCATAGCCGCTGACAGTGACGTGGATGCCTGCAAGAATATTAAAATAATCAGGAAAAATAATGATTGCCAAATTGAAACCAAAGCTTTGGATAGAGTATACACTAGAAATAAAACGGGCATATCAAGTAACCGGTAGCCTAATATCTCATTCTGTTATAGCGGTTCTCGAATGTCTATTTTCAGAAAAAAAAACATCGACCTTTTAAAAATTTTGTTTAAATGTTTGGTAAGATCCAGCCAAGTACCCATGGGCGTCTTAAAAGGGAGATAGATATATGGTTTGAACATTATTAAATTAAAATGCACACTTTATCAACTAAATTTAATAATTAAACATTTACAACGGTCTTTCTTTGTTAAAAAGTATTTTTTCAAGTTAATCTACATTTAAATTATTTTATATATTTTTCCCTTATATTTCTATTAAATTTCAAAATGGGTATTAGACTTTTTCCCCCAGTGCATTAGCAAAATGCAACCATACACGTATTCGCCACGCCTTTAACGAGTTCATGGATAACTAAAAATGGCGGCATGCCAAGAGGAGCACAACAATAGTGGAATATTTCACGGTGACAGCTCAACAACCATAAATTGTGTGGAGCGGGGACGCCAGAAACAAGGATTAATTGCAGGGACCCTGTAAAATGGCGTCGCTATCCGTGGGGAGATACATTTTAATAATGCCATTAGCCCGGGTCCTTCGTGCATTTGCAATGCAACCAAAATGCCGAACCGCAAATGCCAAGTGACCGCATCACTCATACGCCCCGTGAGTCATGGGCTTCGTAGTATTTTCCGTAGTATACATTCAGGGGCGGGGATGGAAATATTGGGCAAATGGCTTACCTTTGATGCGCTTCGTTGCGTCGACGCTGAGATCAACAACGCCGGATAGCTCCTGTCCGGCATAGTAGACACCTTGTGGATTATTATCAAATGATATAAGGCACTCAATGGGCATATATTGCTATATAGTTGCCGTGTGTGTGTGTGTGTGTGTCTGGGTGAGTGTTGGCGTCTGTGTGTGTGTTCGGGTTACTTTGAACTGTGCAAAAAGCAGGCCACAGTTTTTGTATAAAATATCACTTTTCCCTTGTCGGCTGGAGACGATGAATCGAAGTGTTTGGGAAATGGGCTGCTGGTTCGTTCATTTGCTATATATTTTTATCCTCGCTATTCGCTATTCGCCATCAAGCCTGGATTTGCATTTCGCCTTTGTCGCACTGCATTTTCTAGGCACCCCGTGGCCCACACACATGCACACGGAAAATTTGTGAGCGTTTTGGCACAAACACACACCGACCGACCGTCCGACCTCCAAAATATTTCTTTCCTTCTTGCCGTAACCTACTTTTTAGCACGCACGCACGCAAACACTTGGAGGCGGTTATGGGAAATTCGTAAATAATATTCGCAACATTAACACGGGTGAGGAATATTAATTATTTCAGCCGTTTTTGCGTTCCTCCTCTGCTGTCTGTCGTCTGTCTCAGCCCCTTGGTCCTTTGTCGTCCGCCTTCCGCTACAATTTCTGGCTTGAGGCTCCGCTCGTTCGTTCTCTTGTCGGTTCGCTTCACAGCCGCAAACACGTCCAGCAGCCGTTCGTGTCGGATTTGCTCTATCCGCATGCCATCATCGTCGCTGGGGTCCAAGCCCCCAGCCGAGCGCAGGATATATACGCTGCTCGCACGAAGCCGACAGGACTCGCAGCTTAAGCGGCCATAAAAACAACAACCCCCAGAGAGCGAGAGAGAAAGAAGGCCGCTCAACGGAGAGTCACGCACACGTGCTTGGCTTGTTTGTTTTTCTATACTTTTTTTTTATTTTGTCATTTTGGCAGGTCCTTTTCTTACAATGGCAGAGTTGACAGGGCTGTATTTATAATTTAGCTATTGGCTTTAATTGTTTAATTTGTTTTTATTATTTTGGGCCAGCAAGGACAAACTTTTGGGAACTTTTATAATTTAAAAAAAAAGGATAAAACGGAAGTACAAAATTTTAAGGATTTCCTAACTGGAAATTCGATTCTGTAATGCCAGACTGTGCGAGAAAGTTCCCGCCTAAGGTTAATTTTCCGACTCCCCCAGATTCCTTGGCGCTCTTTAATGTCATCAAGCTGCTTGTGCAGCTACGATTCTCAGAAAAAAGACACAAAACTCTCAAAAATTAAAAAGCTTATAAAGTGCCCATGACCGTTAGCAAACAAGCGTTGCCATTTTTTCACTATCTATGATTCAAGCCGTTAATTCAAAGTCTTGAACTGTTTTATAAGGGAGTTTTCTATATTATACACCTTTATAAGAGGTTGTAATCAAGGTTATCCCCCTAGATTAGGGGGTTTCAATTTCTGCCAACGGTCCGTATAGAATTAGAAATTAATTTTTAGGAGCTCTGAAGAGCCGCCCCCAAAAAGTTATCGAAAGCTGCCCAGCTCCGGCCGAGGGCCCCACAAAGGTTATCGAAAGCTGCCCAGTTCTGGCGATTGACATTGCCAAAAACAGAACACAAAATTAAGCTGCGAAAGATAACGATTTGGCGAGAAGATAAGCCTGTAAAAGTACGTGTTTTTGTTGATTTTACAAGGGTCATTAATCAACATCCTAAAAACCCTCAACACTAGTGAAATTCCTGCAGGCTGTGCGCAAAATGAGCCAATCTTCCCCAGAAGTTCATCTTTCAGGTGAGTTTTAATCATTTTAATATTTGCCTTTATGTATCAAGTTTTTTATTATGATACAAAAGCCCTGCGCCTCAAGTACCATGACCGCAAGGATGCCTTCCTGGAGGACAATATAAGCGTAAAAAATCCTTTTTGCGTATTCCGCGATTGGCTGGACCTAGCCCTTAAGACGCCGGAGATCCTGGAGCCTAATGCCGCTGCCCTGGCCACCGTGAGTGCTGATGGCAAACCATCCAATCGCTTTGTCCTGGTAAAGGATGCCACCGCCGACGGCTTCACCTTCTTCACCAACTATGGCAGTCGCAAGGCAGCGGATATTGCCGCCAATCCCAATGTGGCCATATCCTTTTACTGGCTGCCGCTGAGGCGGAGTGTGCGCATCGAGGGCGTGGCTGAGAAGATTTCCCGCGAGGATTCCCTCAAGTACTTCCACCAGCGGCCAAGAGCCAGTCAAATTGGTGCAGCTGCCAGTCCGCAAAGTCAACAGATTCCGTCCCGGAGCTACTTGGATGAAGTGGAGGCTGGGATCAAGGAGAAGTTGGGCGCCAACGGGGAGGTGCCCCTGCCCAATTGGGGCGGCTACCTGGTGCGTCCAGACCTCATAGAGTTCTGGCAGGGACAGACCGATCGTCTGCACGATCGCATTCGCTTCCGACGCGGTGCTGGAGTGGAGTCGGAAATCGATGGCAAGCATGTCCATAAGGGAGAAGATGGCTGGATATACGAGCGATTGGCTCCTTAGGCTGGGGAATTATTAAGCTTGTAACAGATGTCTTCCAAATGTTGTTTCGCAGGGCGAAAAGTTAAAGATTGCTTTTAATATTTAAGAGATTATAATAAAGGAGTTTGTTTGCGTTTACCAAGTTCCATGTTGTTCTTTAATTAACAACTACAAATTGGCACATAAAGAGCTTATGCGATGAATTTCTTGTTCGTGTTTTAACATTAATCATTTTTTTTAATCACGAGGCTTTCACTCATCTCTAAAAAGTTAATGTTGATAAGCAGAACGCGCATTGAGATAATGCTATTACATTAGACATTATCCGGAATTAATATTAATAAAAACAGTTTAAACCTCAAAGCTATGTCGACAACCGAAGAATTCACATTTCGCCGAGCTAATGCTGAAGATATAAAGGATGTGCTGGCCATGATACAGGTTTGAGCAACAATTTTCCCATAAAAAAAACTAACTTAAAAGTCGAGAAATCTATATTTAGGAGCTAGCTGACTTTGAAAAAATGAGCAATGGTCCTCAGCTTACAGAAGAAGGTATAGTTTTACAGTTTTAAAAAGAAAATATAAGTTTTATTAAATATAAAAACAGATCTTAAGCGTGATGCCGGACTAACTGGTGACCAGGAGTGCTGTGAAGTCTATGTCCTCACAGATAATGCCACAAAGTAAGTCAGAAAACCACTTGGTAAGCTTCAAATAAATATATTTATATCACCTTTCCAGCCAGGCCATTGGCTACTCCATTTGCTACAAGGCTTACTCCACCTGGCAGGGTCGCTACTTCTTTGTCGAAGACATTTACGTGCGCCCAGAGCACCGAAAGCGAGGCGCCGGCAAACGAATCTTCCTGGAGGTGTCCGCCCGGGCCGTGGAGCTTAAGTGCCCGCGTCTTGAGTTCAATGTGCTGGAGTGGAATCCCGCTCGCAAGTTTTACGAAAGCCTTGGGGCAGTGGACTTGACCGCCAAGGAGGGCTGGCACTACTACCGCGTGGAGGAGCAACAACTGGCCAAATTGGCCCAGGATCTGGCTTCATCCAAGTCTTGATTTTTCATTTTTACTAGAGTTAACACTACAAGTTAAATAATACTTAAAGCCAAAGCTTATAGATGCTATATAATTTTATGTTTAATTTTTGGCTTCTCACTGATCCCCGGCTACACTGGCTATGACATGGATCTGCATGCTTTTTGTGGAGTTGTAGACTTGTCCGGGCGGAAACGGATGAACCTTGGAGTGAGCATCCGTCTTGCTTTTACCGCCGGCGGTATATTTGGACAACCGAATGCTGGGCATCGGAAGAAAGCCGGTACTCAAGGGCATCACATCCAGCGATATGGAATGACTGTCAACGTCCTTCATGGACACGACACCTAAAAATGTTGGAAAAACATTGTTACTAGTGGAAATAAAACTAGGATCAAGATGTTTAGAAGCTAGGCAAATTTTTGTTCTGGTAGCTGGTAACGTGTGCGTTCGAATCAAAAGCCAGAAAAGTTAACAAGAATATTACATGATGAGGATTAGGTGTGAGGCATGCATTCCAGCAAATCTACTTTGTTAAAGCTATCTACGTGTGTCCTATACCAGTGACTCACCCATATCTTTAAAGCAAAGAAGTAAATCGTGTGTAGAAAAATCAGAATTAAATCATAAGCAGACAGGCAACAAAGTTGACTAGGAAATCAATCACTTACCCGCCGAGCGGCCGCACACGGCCCAGAGATTCTGGTCGTTGAGCACCTCGTACATGAGATCCGTGTAGGGATTCTCATGGACCTTAGTTATCTTCAGGTTCATATTGCACACCGTGCGCAGGCGGCACAGCTCGTTCGGCTCCAGCTGAGCCTGGAGCTTGAAGAGGGTTGTGTAATCCACCAGATCGAAGGCACAGCCATACGTCCTCCAGACCTCCGGCTGCGTTAATGTGGCGTACTTAATCACAAAGTGCACTTTAACGATTGGCAACTCATGCTCCGTCTTGAGGGGCTCCACCTGGATTTCATACAAGTACGTGACAGTCAGAGATTTGTAGATTTCCTGCCAGGATTTAAAAAAAAAGGAGCCATTAGCAGCGGTTAAACCTATTTGTTAGTTTTACCTACAATTGGCTGTTGTGTTGCGGGATTCAAGTCCAGTAACTGGACACCGGGAACATCGCACTTGACCTTGGCTTGCTGCAGCAGTAAATGAGCATCCAGACCCTTCATGATCACCTGCAGGAACTTCTGGGTGCCGCAAGTGTGCAGGCGGCAGGTGGCCTCCATGGCAGGCTGAAACTCGACTGGTATCGTCAGTTCCGTGCGTGACCAAGGACAGCTAAGAGCAATGTGATGCTCATGGTGCTTGGACACCTTCCGACCGGGCATATCTGTGAGAACCTCCAGAGGAATGCTGCGCTCCTCGAACGATTTGAAGTTCTGCAGCGGCACCTGAAGTAGGCTCTCAAACGAGGAATCATCATTGGCATTGGCCGTATCGAGAGGTAGTGCCTGGCGTATCCGTAGATTCTTCGAGCAGCGCAGCGAGATCTTGGCATCGGGCGGAAAGATGAAACTGCCACCGGAAACATTTAGGCTAATGGGTTGAACAATGCCCGCTATGAGAGTTTTAAACTCCAGCGAGGCACTGGCCGGCTTCGTGCTAATCTCGAAGCTGGGAGGAGCAAAAGGCAGTTGCTCGGACAGGAACTCCAAGCTGGACATGCTGACACAGAGCTGGGGAATACAAAGGAAATATTCAAATACTTTTGACCAAAAGAAAAGTTAACTCAACCAACCTGCTTGAATTGCCAGCTACCCACTCGAGTGGCCTTTGCCCTCAGCTCGATGAAATTGATACCCGGCTGCAGGGCAATGTTCTCTGCCTGCACAAAGTTGGTAAAGTCTGCTTGGACACTGGGCGACAGCTTCCGCTTGGTGCTGCTGGTGCGGCGCACTGGTTGCTTGCTCTTGGGCATGTCGCAAGCCACAGAGGCCGAGTGCAAACGGTTGTCCTGTTTGTATACGAGCTGCAGGGACACCTTCAAGCGCGATGTTGACTCTTTTACCTTGACCGACACCGGCTGAGCTGTGGTGGTCAGGGAGACATTTTCCATGGCCAACTCCAGAGGAGCCGCTTGCAACTCGTAGCAGAGCTTGATATTTTCGGCCACAATTCCGCGCGGATAGAGACTCTCCACTTTTAGTTGCACTACAATGTGATCGTCCTGTATTATCGGTGTCTTATTGAGGACCTCAATGTCCATGATGCGAAAATGATCCTCCAAGACACAGAAATTGGCATTCTCCATGGACGGCTGAGCCGAAAGCGTTGTTTTGAGAGTTTTTAGCGACTTGAGAAACTCGTCAAAATAGAAAGTTCGTACCAGAGTCTCCAGCTCCATGCAGCAGGAGATGGAACTGCATGTCTTGGTATAGGCCAACGAGTCGCCCATCTTCCGGTAGCAGTTGGCCAGTTCCAGCAGCGTCTGGGAGCTCAGCATATGCCAGTTCTCGGCCTTCAGTTCTCGCAGAAGATCCGTAAAGAATCCAACCGCCTTGTGTGGCTCATTCAAAGCACAGTAGAAGTTACCCAAATCCAGGCCTACCAACCGCGCCGATCGTAAACGGGCCACATGCTTGTAGGTGCTAATGGCCAGCTCCGCCAGCTCCAGGTACAGCTTCTGGAAAGCCTGATTGGAGCCCAGTGCCTCCTTTAGTTGCTCCGCTGCCGATTTCTTTGGTTTCCGGTTGGGCGAACGCTCTCGCAACTGCGGAGTGGCCTGGAGAAATTGCTGCTGCTCCGGCGGGGCGTCTCCAATGCCCGACGACAGCTGCACCACGATGTGTAGCTGCTCTGAGCTTGGCGTGCAGCCCGGCAGAAGTCCACACAGCTTACCCAGTTCATAGAGCTTGTCCTTGGCCAAGTTCCAGATGGGAGCACAGTGCTGGAAACAGGTAACCTCGTTGGGCTCCATGGCCTGTTCGCACAGCTGTAATACCTCCAGGGCACAGACAAACTCCCAGCAGCAGAGGGCTCCCTCCTGGCACTCCAGCTTGATGAACTCCACCTCTCGCAACGTAGAGAAGAGAAAGCTAAGCAGCCTCTTGGCAATCTCCGGGATGTCGTTACAGGTGAGCAGCAGATACGCCTGCCGCTCGAACAGATAGTTGCGGAACTCCAGCAGGGAAACACCCTCGTCGCGAATCTTTGTCCTCATCTCAAACCTGTCCGGCCTGGACAGGCAAATGCCATGAAAGGCGTCCAAGGGCCGCCGAAAGTGACTCGGCCATGGCTGCTTCTCATTGAGACCCGTGTGGGTGACATACTGCGAGAACATGGCGTCCAGTTCATCATACTGTATCAGGGCTTCGGTGGGCAGTTCCAGCTTCTCAAAAATCAGGGCCAGGTCCTCCTGCATGAAGAAGTACTGGCGGAAGTCCCAGCCATCGTGATTCCGCTTCTCGCGCTTGCTCCGTATAAGTTCCTCGTACTTTACTATGTTGCGATTGTAGCTGGCAAGCATCAGGAAGCGGATGCGCTGCACCAGGCAGCGGAATGACTCTGTCGACTTTTGTTCAAATTTGGCTGGGTTCAGAACGGAAATGCAACGATCATCATTTTTACTGCCAAAGTCCAGACGAATCTTATCCAACACCGTGGTGCGCGGCATAAAGTTCTTGGTCTTTCGCATGTCCAGGGTCTCTACCAGCAGAATCATCCAGTCCGAGATGCCATAGCTGGTCAACAGCTTTAGCCAAGTATCGATCTCTTCCCTAATGGTGGCCTTGTATGTGTCCACATCCTGCCAACAGTTGGAAGGAAATGAGCAATTGAACTTTATGGGCAGAAGTAACCTTTCTTACATTGCATTCTGTTACGAAGATGTGCAGTATTGGGTGCTCCAAAATGCTCCAGTCACCCTGCTTGTACTTCTCCAGGGCAGCCACATTGAACTGTTGGGTCTGGGCCTCCAAACGGACATGTTTTGTGGGGCGTTGGAAGGTGCGTCGCCACTCGCAGGTGTCCAGGGGGATGGCATTTAGGATTTGCGACTCCAGCGACCGGAAAAGGGGACACGAGCCGGAATCTAGTGGAAAATAACATTACAACGATTTCTTTAACAATTATTTATAGCTTACATGTAATTATGGGCTTTATCTGCATGTTTTCCCTTATTTTTGTTTACTTTTCATTGGCTATAGAAAGCAGCCCCAACAATCACGGAAACAACAACAACAAACAACAAATCGATATCGATTGCACTTTCGATCTAGCTATATCTAGCTAGATCTAGCTAGCAACAAATTGTTTTTATTTTTAGAAGCTTATTACAATTTATGTAAATTTATAATAAACGTAGCTTAATCACTGACAAATTTTAACGTTATTCTTTTATTGAGTTATCAACAGGTGTTTTTTAGCAGCCCTGGGCATGGACGTAGCCAGAAATGGTTTTAGGAGGGGGTTATTACTTTCTCGTAGCCTCATTTACTATATATAAAACATTCAATTATTATTATGAATTAATGTATTTTATGTATTACAATTGCTTCTTTATTTATTATACAATTAATACATTGCGGGGGTGTCAGTAACCCCGGAACCCTGTCGCTCCACCTCTGTTCTTATTAGACTGGCAAAAAAATCGATTCCACCCACCTATCGCCTATCGAACAGCTGAGAGTGAAATCAGCTTCGGCAGCCAATTGGAAACAATGGAGAAAAATAATTAATTTGTTTTTAACACGCAAACAAAAAAGATACTATTCAAACGCTTTCACTGAATGCTCTGCCCGGGAACCAAGTAGGTAGCCTGGACAATGGACATGGCCAGGAGCATCTTTGGCCGAGATCACGAGGGTTACGTGGGTCGGGAAGAGCATACGGTACGCATACTTCATACGACCAGAAAAGATTGCTTATCACAGTAATTAATATTTATCGTTCCACCTTCCCATTGCCAACAGCGCAAGCTGCAGAACCTGGGCTCGGAAGACGACCTGGGCGAGCTGCCGCCCATGATGGAGGAGCTAAGTGTGGCCGACGGCTTGCGACCGAATCCCGGTGGCCCCTTCTCCGCCCTTACCGCCTCCATGTGGCCGCAGGAGATCTTGGCCAAGCTGGGCGGCGCTGCGGAGCTGGCCTCCGCAGGTCCCAACGACCAGCCCGAGTACCGCTTCGACGAGTTTGGCTTCCGGGTGGAGGAGGAGGATGGCCCCGAGCAGAGCTCCAACAAGCTGCTTAGCATTCCATTTGTAGAGGACGCGCAGCAGCGCCTGCAGTGGATTGCTCATCTGGAGTTCTCGCACAACAAGGAGGCAACTGAGCTAAGCTGGGAGCACGTGGATGTGATGCTGCCGCGCACTGAAAAGCTGCGCAACATGGTCCGCCAGGGAATCCCGCACACGCTGCGTGCCCAGATGTGGATGCGATTGTCGGGAGCGCTGGCCAAAAAGCAGAAGAGTGAGACCAGCTACCAGGACATAGTGAAGGGTAATATCCAACTTGGGGATATAATGGCAGCAAATATTAAAAATCAATTTCGTTTCTTAGCATCTAGCAACGACCAACTGATGACATCAAAGCAGATCGAGAAGGACCTGTTGCGTATCCTGCCGACAAATGCCTGCTTTAGTAATCCGAACGGAACTGGCATTCCCCGCCTGCGCCGCATCCTTAGGGGCATCGCGTGGCTCTTCCCAGACATCGGCTACTGCCAAGGCACCGGCGTTATAGCCGCCTGCCTTCTACTCTTCATGGAGGAGGAGAACGCCTTCTGGATTATGGCTACCATTGTAGAGGATCTGCTGCCCGCCTCCTACTATAGTTCCACGCTCCTGGGCATCCAGGCAGACCAGCGCGTGATGCAGACGCTCATAGCCAACTATCTAAGTAGCGTGGATGAGTCACTGCGGAAACATGACATCGAACTGTCGCTGATCACGCTGCACTGGTTCCTCACCCTCTTCGCCAATGTGGTCCATATGAAGATCCTGGTACGCATCTGGGACTGGTTCTTCTACGAGGGATCAATCGTCCTTTTCCAGCTGACCCTGGGCATGCTGAAGGTGAAGGAGCAGGAACTGAAACACCTGGAGAATTCCGCCCAGATCTTCAACTCGCTTTCGGATATTCCTGGCGAGGTCACTGATGTCGAAGTGCTCTTTCGCCAGGCACTGGAGGTGGGTGGCTCGCTCACCCAGACGGTAATCGATACCCATCGTCGCCGCCATTTGGCATATCTCATGGCGGATCAGGGCCATCAGATAGGAAACCCCGAGGCCGCGCCGAATCTTCCGAAGCAGCAACTAGCCCGGCGGCAAGTCCGCAAGAGCAAGTCGATCCTAGAGGCCTTTCTCTTTCGCGGTGATGCCAGCGATGGGGATCAGCTTAAGAACAAGAACATACGACAGACGGAGATCCTAGTAGACCTCCGGGAGGCCATACTGAAGGTGGGCCGCCACTTTATCACCATCGAGCCGAAGCTGGCCGGACACATTCAGCTGACGGCCAACTACAGCAGCGAGTCGCACGCCAAGGACCACGAAAACTTCATTAACGTGGCTAGGACGCGGAAGCGTCGGGCCAAAGCCCTGCACGACTTTGAGCGGCACGACGACGATGAACTGGGCTTCCGGCGAAACGACATCATTACGATCATCAGCCAAAAGGACGAACACTGCTGGGTGGGCGAACTGAACGGGCTTCGCGGCTGGTTTCCCGCAAAGTTTGTGGAGCTGCTGGACGAGCGAAGCAAGCTGTACACCTCAGCGGGCGACGATGCCATCTCCGAGACGGTGACGGACCTGGTGCGGGGCACTTTGGCGCCGGCCATCAAGGCCTTCCTGGAGCACGGCATGAAACGTCCCACATTCCTGGGTGGACCCATCCACCCCTGGCTGTATATCGAGGAGGCTGCCACCCGTGAGGTGGAGAAGGACTTTGAGTCCGTGTATAGCCGCCTGGTTCTGTGCAAGACGTATCGCTTGGACGAGGATGGCAAGGTCCTGACACCGGAGGAGCTGCTCTACCGCTGCGTCCAGGCCATCAATCAGACACACGACGATGCCCACGCGCAGATGGACGTAAAACTGCGCTCGCTCATCTGCCTGGGCCTCAACGAGCAGGTGCTGCATCTTTGGCTAGAAGTGCTCTGCGCTTGCCAGGAGGTCGTGCAGAAGTGGTACCATTCGTGGAGCTTCATCGATTCTCCCGGCTGGGTACAAATCAAGTGCGAACTACGCATCCTTTCGCAGTTCGCCTTTAATTTGAACCCCGACTGGGAGCTGCCGCCTAAGCGCGGCAAGGAGTCACAGCCGCTCAAGGACGGAGTACGGGACATGCTGGTGAAGCACCATCTCTTCTCGTGGGATCTGTGAGGTCCGCTCTGCCGTTTTGTATAGAGTTCCACAATCTCGTTGGCAATCTGCGTATCTGCGTATCAAATATCTCATTGCGCCGTATTCGTTTTCCAATAATGTCCATGTGCAATCGCATTCTTTTGAATTTAGTAGCTAGCATCCATCCGCTTTTTAAGAACTTCTTTGTTGTCCTGCGCCTCTAACTTAAGTGCTTTACCATAAACTATCTTTAGCTCTAAATATGTATAGCTCGAGCCGTTTGTTTACTTAACGTCCATTCATTATAACTATTATACAGCGTAGACCACACACCAACCAGCAACTCTACTAAATTACAAATGTAACGTACCTTTAAATTGAAATCAAATCTTATAAAGTACATACATATTTATTACTATATACACATAGATGTTTAATTGTCTAAATGCATTTCATTAAAGTTTAAAATATATATTTAAATTGTACACATAAACAGCAGCCGTTTTTAGTTGCACACCAGTCCCAAGTAGTCATCCATCAAGGTGCCAATGGCAAACTGCATTAATTTCAATGAGATTTTTAGGTAAGAAGCCACTTATTCGAATTAAGCCGTCTACTTACGATTCCTGTGGCATCAACACGAGTTCCCACTATCTTTAGCCGTATTTTATCCTCCCCGGAAATGACCACGTCCTCATCTTTGCTCTTGTAGCACGGCGGATTGCCATTAGGACAGAACTGCATGTCGGCGGGAATGGACTGGAAGAGTGGAGCCACATTTTAAAGACGTATACCATCACGGTAACCATAAATACCCACATGGTGTGAAATAAAGCACGACAACGGACCGATCTCGGCAAACATGCCCACTTTGTTGATCTGCTTGACTACCGCGTCCAGCACCTCGCCCTTGAACGGCCGGAAGACAATTGCCTTGTACTTGACCGGGTACACGACGAATCCCTGGCCCGGCTGGATCACACCTGAGCCGATCTGGTCTATCGTCGTGACCGCTATCACGAATCCGTACTTGCCCGTGCAGGTGCCCTCCACCTCGGAGTAGAGTTTCTGCTTCACCGTCTCCAGCAGCTGCGGGCCAAAATAGCGCGGATGCAGCAGGATCTCATGTTCCAGTGAAATCTATGAATGAAGCAATATATTAGCTTCCGCGGCGGTCACAAAAACAACTTTACGTACGTGGTAGAACATTGTTAACTATTTTTACAAAACAAAATACAATAAATAGCCGGGAGCCGCAAAGACGCTAGAGATGAAAAAAAGCCGATTGCACAAAAGCGACTGCATCTTTTGATATCGATAACTTTTAGCAATCGGGCGGAGAATTTAAAAAGGTAACACACGTGATTTTATTTTCTTACAATTCGTTTAATGAAAATACATACGTACGTATTGCCACAATTGGGTATTTATTAATAAATTATATAAAATTCTTAAAACAGCTCAATCTAATCATCCTTGAGTCCCATGGCAAAATCTTGGGCCTCTCCTCCGCTCCGAAAGATGCGCACGTAGGCAGACTTGAAGCCAAACTTCCAAATGGCCATGTAGGGCAAGTAATAGGTAAGCACGTCCACCAGCCAAACGCGAAAGTTCAAATACCACCGCACGACGGCATACCTGTGCAGGTAGGTGACAAGAAACAAGCCGTAGCTGACAATAAAGCGATCCCACCATCCCATGTCGTAGTAGTGCAGTTTTTGCTGCGGATCCCGCACTACACCGTTGCTGTGATCGAAGCTGTAGTACTCGTACCCCTTCACGCAGGCCAGTCGCTTCGTGAAAAATATATTGGCGTCCACCGAAAGCATGGTATTCATATGCCAAAGCCCATTTATCAAGGCCTCGGTCATTACGTAGAAATCCTCGCTGGTATTTTCCAATGCTGGCTCATACACCTTCCTCATGACAATGTCTAAGCGCAGCTTTGATTCCGCCCAGCTCCTGCCACAGATATTGTACTCATCCTTGATACCCAGCAGATGGCCCAGGACTCGCCACATGTGTGAAGTGGCCTCCAGAAAGTCCTCATCGTACAACTGGATTCGATGAGCCCCCATTGTAATGAATCCAATGAACCCAAACTGGGTCAGGGCCAAATCCTTCTGGGTGATCTGGCCAGCTCCCCGACGGGCACAGGCATGACTAGAGCGGGAGTGCGCCCTCCTAACAGCTGCAATGCTAGTCCAGAAACGGCTGCTCCGATCCGATATGTTGTTATTGTACCAGGCCTGCGTGTGGAAAATAGTGCGCACGTAGCGACGGTAGGCGGTGAACGCTGTCGATGATTGGCGTGTGCACGAGAGCACCCTGAGAATAGAGGGAACAGCCAGAACGGCAATGAGCCCCGCCAGCATTCCGGCATTCATCACAAAGCGGTATTCACTGAAATAATGCTGGCCACTGCAGGGAAAAACAATGAAGAAGGTTAATCAAAGTATATTACGAATCCCAGTAAGCAATTAGCTTACCGCCTGAATAGCTGCTCATCAAACCATGGCGGCAGCTCCAGTTCCTCCTCGCTGTCGCCCTCCTGACTGCCGTCCTCCAGCAAATGCTCCAAGTACCTTTCAGGATCCAAGAGCGAGTCCTCCTTTGTCTTGGGTGCCTTATGCCCATCTTTGGAATTCGGCCCCACATGCATTTTCCCACTGTCCACTGGAAAGACCACGCACCAAAGAAAACGATTTTAGACTAATCAAAAGAAAGAGGAAAAGAAAAACGAAACAAACAAATTCGTCGTTGGAGTGCCAAGAGAGAAAGTTTTTTCGGCCGCAGCCGATACCGCTACCCCTTCCACTCTGCACTTACACGTTTCACGCTTTCTGGATGAGCTGCTTGATCCGTCAATGTCCGCAAACTGCATGGCAGCGGCGGCGGCTCAATTATGACTTGTTAATCTAATTGGCAAATACACAATAGTTGAAGCGCTATGTGCAAAAAATACATATTACTCGCCGGGTAGTGGAGGAATATGAATCACGGCTGCCCCACGTCGCAGCTGGCAGGGAACTGAGCTGCAATTTTCGCGGAGGGCCCAACAGATAATGATTGTAGGCCGGTCATTGGCGCGTGAATAGATTTTAAATGAACTTGCTGATAACGAATAAAATAAACAGCTTTTTGTTTATGCAATTTTAACCGGGCTACCACCCCGCGGAAAGTTTGGCGTTGCCACACAGTTCAGATGCCGCAATAATAATAGAGTTATTACACTAAATATCGCGGCCATTAATTCTGCCCTTAATACAGCAAATTGAGTTATATAGAAAATAACAAAATGATAAGAAAATTTAAAAAAAGCATTCATTTCGAAATTGCTTCATAATTTAATATTACAATTTATTTTACTGATATTTTTGCCATTTTAAACAGTGGAAACGCGTCATCGTCATTGCTATCGTTATCGCTATCGAAATGGCAGCCCTGCCAACCCGCAATCGTTTGCATCTCTAGCACCGACGACGCGCTTGCGAAAAAAAAGGAAAAATTGCCATTTCTCCTTTAGCGCTGTAGATGCGCTTGTAAAAGTGTGTACGAATCACCTGGATCTAGTTTAGACGCTCTCGGATCTGTTCCCGGTCAAGCGTCAGCTGCGCCCGCTTTGATACGTGCAAATTTCGTTAGTTTCTGCCGCGGTCTGTGCACGCGTTTTGCCGCTTCGGCTTTTGTTGTTTTGGCGCTCGAATTTTTCGGCAGCCGACTTTTGACGCCATGGTGGATCGCAGTGATAATGGTAAGTGCTGCATTTAAAATTGAAAAATATTAGGTCTAATCGGCTGCGTTCATCCTTAAGCCGCCGAATCCTTTGACGATGCCGTCGAGGAGCGCGTAATTAACGAGGAGTACAAAATATGGAAGAAGAACACTCCGTTTCTGTACGACTTGGTCATGACGCACGCATTGGAGTGGCCCTCACTGACTGCCCAGTGGCTGCCGGACGTGACCAAGCAGGACGGCAAGGACTATTCGGTGCACCGCCTCATTCTGGGCACACACACATCCGACGAACAGAATCATCTGCTCATCGCCAGCGTCCAGCTGCCCAGTGAGGACGCACAATTCGATGGCTCGCACTACGACAACGAGAAGGGCGAGTTTGGCGGCTTTGGCTCTGTGTGTGGCAAGATCGAAATCGAAATCAAGATCAACCACGAGGGAGAGGTGAACCGGGCCCGTTACATGCCTCAGAACGCTTGCGTGATCGCCACCAAGACGCCGTCGAGCGATGTCTTGGTGTTCGACTATACTAAGCACCCCAGCAAGCCGGAGCCTTCCGGGGAATGTCAGCCAGACCTGCGCCTACGCGGCCACCAAAAGGAGGGCTATGGCCTTTCCTGGAACCCCAACCTTAATGGTAAGAAAATATTTTATTTTTGAAATTTGGGTTGTTTCAAATCGACAATATTCACAACCTTTTCAGGCTACTTGCTTTCGGCTTCCGATGATCACACCATCTGCTTGTGGGACATCAATGCCACGCCCAAGGAGCACCGGGTTATTGATGCTAAGAACATCTTCACCGGACACACCGCTGTCGTCGAGGACGTGGCTTGGCATCTGCTTCACGAGTCGCTCTTTGGCTCGGTGGCCGACGACCAGAAACTGATGATCTGGGACACGCGCAACAACAACACCTCCAAGCCCTCGCACACTGTGGACGCCCACACGGCCGAGGTGAACTGCTTGAGCTTTAATCCGTATTCGGAGTTCATACTGGCGACCGGCTCTGCCGACAAGACCGTGGCCCTTTGGGATCTGCGCAATCTGAAGCTAAAACTACATTCCTTCGAGTCGCATAAGGATGAGATCTTCCAGGTGCAGTGGTCGCCGCACAATGAAACCATCTTGGCCTCCTCTGGCACCGACCGCCGCCTGCATGTCTGGGATCTGTCGAAAATCGGTGAAGAGCAGAGTTCAGAGGATGCCGAAGACGGACCGCCCGAACTGCTCTTTATTCACGGCGGCCACACCGCAAAGATTAGCGACTTCTCCTGGAACCCCAATGAACCGTGGATTATCTGCTCAGTGTCCGAGGACAACATTATGCAAGTTTGGCAGATGGCCGAGAATGTCTACAACGACGAGGAGTCCGAGATACCGGCCTCCGAGTTGGAAACCAACACCGCTTAAAGCACCAGTCGCCGGCTCCATTTCCACAGCTCTGAAACTACAACTACAATTATGTTTTGGCCGCGCCCGATGTCAACTATCCAGCCTATCTGGCGAGTGGACACTCATTTTAATTTATATATATTTACATAATTTTAAAAGGTACACAAATAAGTTCACAATTGTCAGCTGCGTACGATCCACGAATCTTTAATTAAAAACGATTTGAAAGACCCCAGAGACTGGCTCTTGGTTTTAAATGCGAAAGATCCCCGGGAATCCCCATATTAGACCACCATATACTTGTGTTTCTTGCCAAACACTTCGATGTCCACACTTAGCGCCCTCACGTCCTCCTTGTGCCGCCGCGATGTAATTTTGCCAGTGATAACATCTCCCGCCTTAACATCCTGCGGCTGGTCAATGAAGAAAACCGTTTGCTTCCAGTGGGTGGGTGTCTCATTGGGTGATGTGCTGAACATAACGGCGGAGGGCAGCTCAAATAGTGTGTCGAAGAATCCAACAAAGGCGGACAGACGACCTTCTTTAATGACCTTCAAGCTAAATGAGTGACTAAAGTTGGGGTAGTTCAGATCGACGGTCATAATGTCAAAGTTTGCAATCTGTTCGGGCTCCGTTAGAGTGAACTGTGCGTCCACCACCTCCATGAGTGGCTCCTCGATGGAGCGCTTACGCAGATCGCTCATGTTCACATCGTACACATCCGACCAGAACTCGACCTGTTCGGCGTAGAGAGTGTCGTTGCCATAGCCCAACAGGCTTAGGGTGCAGCGGCTGGGCAGGATGATGCCGTTCGGGTTAAGGTGGTGCTCGCGGGCATAAATGATGCTGTCCAGCATTGACTCGTACAGGAGGAAGTAGCCCATCCACTCGGAAATGATAATGTCGTACTTGGCCTCTGGCAAATCAGTATCCTCTAGGCGACCCTTGATGAGCTCCACATTCTGGACCTTGTTCTTACGGACAATGTCCATGGCCGTGTAGACGATTTCAGAGTTGTCTATACCAACCACGCGAGAGGCGCCCGCCTTCGAGGCAAAGATGGATAGGATTCCCGTGCCGCAGCCCACATCCAGCACTGTCTTGCCTCGGACCACTGCTTCGTTTTGGAGCAGAGCCGAGCGATACGTGCTGGTCCGCACTTTGTCACTCAGCATCTCATGGTGGATGCCAAAGTGGGAATAGCTGTTGAAGTACTCCTTGTCCAGGTTGGGATTGTTGCGCGGCACGGGATTGTTGGCAACCTTGGAATCGCTGTCGCCATGCACCTTCTGCAGGAGCTCCTTGTAGTCGTTGCGCATGCGCTCCATGTCCTCGTTGGCCTGTTGCAGCAGCCGGGATTGCTCGGCAATGCGCTGCTGCAGTTCGGCCACCGTCGGCTGGGCCTCAGCAGCATCCGTCTTCAATGCTTCGTAGTCATAACACAGCCAGGGCTCATACTCCTGCGGCTTAAGGTACTTCTCGTCCTGCCATAGCTCCTGCTCAGCAGAGAGCACCTGCTCGGCGCTAGTCTTGTTAGCCCTTATAAAATTTATCAGCTTGATGAAGGAGTACTGGTCCATTTGAAATTTGCCTTTAAGCTGCGACAGGTTCACCTTATGCCGGACATCCAGGTGCTCGATGGCGGTCTCTAGTTTCGGGAAGATTTCGGCGCAGAACAGACAAGTAGCAGGCTCTTCGCCTTCGTCCATGGCATCGTCATCATCATCCTCTATGTCATCGTATTCATCTTCGTCGCTGCTAGCATCTGCCGGCTCCTCCTGGTCGTCCTTATCCTTCTGGCGCTCCGCATCCTGTGTGTTTTCTGTCGGGCATTAAAGACATTGTAGACATAGCGTTGGGATTTATGGAATTGCCAGGCTTATACCTTTGATTTCAGTGTCCTTCATGTTGTGACTCCAGTTAAAAACAGTTAAATAATATTAAATTAAAATAAACTTGTTTTCTGAGGCGCCAGCACGTGCGGAGATTCAACAAGAAAGCATTTACGAAAAAAGGGCTAACGCGTTTTAATACATTTTATAAGGTATCACAGGGGATATTAACTATAATCAACTCTATAAATAAAATATTATATAATGTCATTAATGATCTAAAGTTTTGGTTGGCTTTATCTATACTATTAAATAAAAATCGTTATACCTTAGAAAAGGTTTAATTTATATATTAATTATTGACTTATAAATGTTCGACAATAAAACCAGTTGTTAACTTGATATTTATAAACTTTGTGTTACTTATGACGTAATTAAGGAGCTTTTTATTTATTATAAGATTACATTTTTTACACTAAGAGATACGCTTTTATTTCCCCTATTGTATTAAAAAAATACAGGGTGTTCTTAGTGCTATTTAATATTCTGACACTAAAACATACCGAACTTGGTATATACCAAATTTACCTGAAACGCGTTAGGTGAAGCTGTTCCTTGCATAATTCTAGTTGTAAATAAAAAGATGTTGCAGGTATTTCGATTTATTTATTAAAGAAAACAAGAAATAAATATGTAATCTTTGACTCGTAGGCGCTGAAGAGTCTCCGCTGGGCGCAGCCATTGCGGGCGCTGTCCACTAGCACCGCCGGAACACAGCCGATTGTTTCACCAAAGACACCTGCACCGGAGCCGGATAAACTATATAGCAAGTTGGAGATCGAACTCCGGGGGATTGATCCCGCTGTTTTGAAAAGCTACACCTGGTTCGCCACCACCGCTGCAGACCATTTGGGCATTGAGAAGGGCAAGTGGTAAGTGGGGTCACTTATTTCCGTTTACTGGACAAGATCTCTAATGACATCTTCTTCAGCTGGTCACCTCGAAAGGCGCACCACGAGAGAATGACGCTTCTGAAGTCGGTGCACATCTACAAGAAGCATCGTGTGCAGTACGAGGTGCGTACGCACTTCCGCTACATGAACTTCCACAAGCTGACGGGCTCTACGCTGGACACGTTTTTAGAATACATCGAACGCAATCTGCCTGAGGGCGTGGCGCTGCAGGCGTCCAAGACGGAACTGCAGCAGATCCCCGAACACCTACGACAGCCCCCGGAGCAGGTGTAGCAGACCCGAGGAGTTAGCCATTAGTTAATAATAGTTCATCGAGGAGCCATTTAACTGTAGCCCAGAGATTAGGCTAATAAACAACAGAATAAATCGAAAATAGAAGCACCGGCACTCGACACATGAACCTGCGGCGGTAATCGGCCGAAACCGGGCCCCGCCCGCGATTAGCGAAGATAAGTGTTTGGGCTAAATGTTGAAATAAACGTCGTATCTTGACACACACAATGGGATCCACTTGAAGAGTACGCACAAACAAAACCCGGGGTGGGCTCGCACTGGTCCCACAGTAGCCACTCCAAGCCTAACGGAAGAAGATCAGGAGCAGAATGCGGCAGGCACACTTCACTTCCCAGCTCCTGCTGGCCACAGCCATCCTCTACGCTTGTCTGGCACCCGCATCCTGTGTCTACGAATCGGTGATTCTCAATTTCCTTAACGAGTTTCGCATGCGTATGTGCCACCCCATTCCGAACCTGGGACTGCCCGCCCTGGATCCCCTGCAGTTGGGTCCGGCCGAGGCAGCGGTGAACAATAAATATCTTGTGGAGTGAGTTTATAATAGAAAGGGTGCTTTCCTTCAAAGAAAGCTAAACGTGGCTTTGTTTTTGCAGCTTTACTGGATCCATCGATGACTTCAAGTTGCAGGGACTATCCGATTTTGATGTGCCCACTCTTACCCTGAGGCCGGTGATCGGACTGACGAGCACCATGAACATTACCTTTCCCCTCACCCACTTTGAGTCCTTGTACACGGCCAAGGGATCGCTTGCCTACATCCTCAACCTAGCCGGCGATGGCAATGCCGAGTAAGGAGAACAACCTCTAAAGAGCTATCAAGAAAGCCTTCTCATATTAACAATTTGGTTTTAGAGCCTCCATCACTGACTTTTCGATCCGAATCTCCTTCCGAATGAGATCCCTGTCTCCGCTGGGCATCTCGAACCTGCAAATCGCACTGCATCTTGGAGATCTTAAGATCAACTTCGAAAACCTGCTGGAGGAGGAGCGAGTGAATGAGTTTATTCACGCTCTGGTCAACGAAATGGGCGTGGAGCTGCTCGGTGATGTTTGGGACTATGGGCAGGGCACAGTGGTTTCCAAAGTTCAAACTGTAAGTTTGCCATATCGTTGTGTTTTTACTGTGTCCTTATCATCCATGTTCTTGCATATCTTACAGGCTGTCAACCATTTCCTGGGTCAGTTCACATTGTCGGACATAATTTCCATCATAACTGGCGGAGGAAATGGTGAGGAGAGTGCGCCCATATTCGAGGGAGTTGAGCCCGACTGCAAACTTGAGGCCAGCACAAAGAACTAAGACTGAAACCAACCTCTTACATAAGTCCCTATATTAATATAGGCTAAGAAATATACCAACATATGAATATGTATACGACTAGATTGATTGGCCAACATCGGGTTTGCACAAACTACTTGAAAGATACGATTTATGGACCGTTTGACGTTTCAGCCGAGTTTCACTTATCACTGTGATAAGGATGACCGACGGTAACAATGTCCTCATGAAGCTATCAAAACCCCATTTGCATTTAAATTCGTCTGTTATCACACCATCATTGGTATTCCTGATAGCGATGCCCGCGACAAAGGCTATGGCTGCTACATGCGAATACCGAATAATCGGTGTGGGGCCTCGATAAGCCACTTTTTTATAGCCGTTTATTGATTTATGACTATGGTTTGTTGGATTATAAAATGCAGGAGGTATTTTATAATAGATACAGCAGCGAATTGAAGTGGCACTTGCAAGTCTAAGGGGTTTTTCCCAAGGCAAATTCGAAAATAAACCTCAGACATAATCGGGGACAATAGTTCTTTAGATTTTTAAAGAAATACAATACATTTTCTGACTTATTGAATTAATTAATTCTTGTCTGACTCCTGCATTATGGTGCCTAAAGAATTAGCAAATATCTGTCATTAAAATTCATGAATCATACATCTGACCGAATAAGGAGTGTTTTTTAACAATGTATTTATGTATGTGACCTAAACTTTTTGAGCTTGCAAACAACGTCCACCAAGTGGCTATTATTATCTCCAAACTTCTATTCAAACCATTCCATATCTCTCTATAGATTAGCAAATCATTCACATACAACTAAAATACAGTAAAAATCGTAGAACAAAGTTTTGAATGAAAGTTGGTAATAGCGATAGCCGACTTGGAACCCTTTAAACAAAAGTACTTTACTAACCCCATACAAATTTTAATACAAAATAGTAAAAAAAAAATCCATTTATGTTTATAACTGATAACAATTGTGATGTGTACGTTACAATTGTGGATCCCAGCCGGGAAACAGCATACACAAATTACTCGGCAGCGTGGCCTCGTTGATCAATCGTTCCACTTGCGCCTCGACATTTGAGTCACCGCGTGTACTACCCGCCTCCCTGCCCTCCAGTTTGTTCTGCACCAGAAGCAGAGCTCGCTGGGCAACCAGATTAACCGATTCCTCGCCTTAAAAAAAAAGCAGGGAAATGTAACCAGCATAAAAGTTATTAGGTCTTCTTCCTATGAACTTACTGGAATGCTGGGAGTTTGCCTGCGAGGATTGCTTCTTTTTAAGGACTCCCCAAATGAAAAGCGGATCATAGAGTAGCACTTCCAGAATGGTGGTGAAGACGGACTTGTAGCGACGCAGGATATGCATGGTGGCCTCACAGGACTTGGCAAAGACACCCTTTGTGCCGCATATTCCCATGGGCGCCACAAAGTCACGGGTCAGGCGGAAGGGAACAGTTTCTGGGGTTGTTTGGATCTTGCCCTGCTCAAATGCGATGCCTAGGACAAAGAACTATTATTATAAATATTCAATTCGGGGCAGAAACTTACCGAAATCAATATGAATGACTTCAGCCGTCTGCTGGTCTATAAGAATGTTTTGTGTGTGCCGATCGCCCAGTCCGAGAACGTAGCCCACCATTGAGGTGGTAGCCACGCTGTTCGTGTAGGCCAGGCGCCTTTCAAACCACACGCCCGGAATGGGGAACTTCTCCAGCAGGAAGTAGTGGAAAACTGGTTTCATATGCCCGCAAATTAGCTTATATATCTCATAGCGTTTCTCCTTGGGCGACTTCAGATGGTTCTGTAAATATATTCATGTTATTGGCTGAAGATCTGGATGAAATACAGTTAATCCCACCATCGAGAGGCTGCGACACTTGTTGTTTGGCCAATCGCTTGGATGATATCGCATATGAGCGCCGCCTTTGCCCTCACCAACGAGGTAATGGCCCACGGGCATGGAGTTGGTGCACCACTCCAGGATACCGCTTCGCATGGACAGTGGCGTGACCTTATATGTGCGAAGCTGCAGCTTACGTTCGATGAACTCCGAATCCTGTTGCAGTAGCTCATTCACAATTCCGAAAACCTGCTGCATCACCGCATCTTGGCGCAGATCGTCCTTGCCCTTAATCAATTGAGCACGCGTCTGGCCGTCGGAGCAGATGCACATTACCTTGGCGGGAGCGTTTAGGCCGCCGCACTGAGAAATCTCATTGGTCCACTTGATAATGCCTGTGTCGGCGTAAAGGTATGGTTATGGAAACAGTGACCAAGGGACCAGTACATACTTGTTATATTGTAGTTCTTGTTGGGCATCACCGGCAGCTCGAGGGTAGGACAGTGAACGGCGTCCAGATTGCGGATACGTCGCACTTTTTCAAATTGCTTGTAGCGCGCCGAATCCGAAACCCCTTGGTTGTTTTCCGTCTTACCCTCGTTGGCGAATTTGATGAGGACTGAAAGGAAAACAAGAAACAGGTAAAAATACTACCTATTAATGAGTAAATCCCAAAGGGTACCTGGTAGCAGCGACTCCAGCTGCTTGCTGGTTTCAGCTGCCGAGGAATTGTTTTCACAGATTTTGGCAATGATGCGTTGCGCAATCCCCGCTCGCTCCGTATTGCTGTTCTCGCCATCCAGGTGGGCATAGACCAGCGGATACAGCTGGTAAAATATGTGGTGCGGATGATCTCGGCCGCATCGCACCAAGAGCTCCGTCAGCTCCTTGAGTAGGCTGTTGTTTTTGGAATTAAGGCGACCGGTCAGTTGGTTTGCAGCACAAATAAATTTGTAGGTAGGAACTGTGAGGATCTCGTCTTTTACACACTTCTGCAAGTGCTCGTTGGACGCGTTAGTGAACCACAGCGAGATGATGCGGTAGATGGCGGCGCTTGAGAAGCCACTGTCCATTCGGCAGTAGGCCATGTGATTACGGACCGCCGAGCAAAGGTGCTCCGTCAGCTTGGCCTCAATCCGCTGCAACTGGCGCTCATCCAGGCTGGCATATCGCTTCATCTGAATGCCCATGATCCGTTTGTCTTGGTTCTCGCGCTGCGACACCTTCTCGCCCGTTGAGCGGTTCTGCTCGATGATGTCCAGCAGTGTTTGGTAGTCCTGCGAGTGCCGATATTCATACAACTGCTGGTACTCCCTGTCCGCATACTTGGCCATGGCGGCATAGGCAGCTGTTCGATGCCGATTAGCGAAATCCTCGATGTTGTCCCATTGCCCGATATCTAAAGTTTTCACTCTCAGGGCCTCGCGATGCAGTACAAAGTCGTCGATTAGCTTTAGCGAACCGTTAAACTTGTGATGCAGCACCGAACTCAAGCTCTCGGCATTGCAGTCCATGAGAAACTCGCCCTGCATTCGTAGAGCCGGTACCCGCTGGAGGCAGTACATAAACTTATCGTTGGTGGTCACATGCTCCAGAATGGACTTGGCTATCTGATGATTTCCCATCTTTACATTCACCTCGGCATCTTCGAGCAGGACGCTCATCTGAAAAGGGATAAGCAAAATGGCACAAACATTTGGAAATATTAACTTCAGTTTGAAATCCTTCTATTAAGGCAAATGTTTACGATTTATTTACCTTTGTGGACTCGCTAATATCGGGCATTTCACGCAAGATCCCGATATACTTGGCAGCCAGGTTTAGCCTACCCGCTGCCTTGCATTCGCCAATGCCCTTCAATAGGTATGTGTCCACGGGATTCTGCTTGAAGAAATCGGTCAACCGCCGTGTCGCTCGTGTTCCGGCCATCTTGAACAGAGCAATCTGGTGGGCAATGACATGCTCCTTGCAGGTAAAGTTGCCGTAATTGAGCTCCAGTTCCGTCTGCCATTTGCGGAATAGTTGGTTCATCTGGGGAGCAGGTATTTGGGTACCAAACTGAATCTGTATGGCGGAACGAGAGGTAAGCCAAGCTAATTGCACATTCCACATCAAGCCACATCACCTGGCAAAAGTCCTCCGCCTGCTGAAGGGAGCACAGCCAGGTCAAGTATTTGTACACGCTCTGGAGGCACTCTACGCTTATCTCCTGGAGTATGTCGCGCACACAGCTGTATGCCATTTCGATGGCCGACAGGCTGTTCTCCTCCTCCCGCTGGCTAATGCTTCTGAGAGCCACAAAGTGATGCCGATTGAACTCCTGCTCCAAATTGAATGAAGTTCTTGCGCCCAGTTGCTGTTGCTGCTTCGAGTCTGTCAACGAGTCCCATTGCCCTAGGCGCCAAAAGATTTCGTAATCCGGTTCCGTGCTCTGTTGCTGCTGGAGTTTGGCAAAGGACCACAACCCATTGCCCTTCATAATGTCCATGCAGAGTTGGCTGCTGGCCTTATCCAGGTGAGCGGACTCCAACAGGACTGCGGTCAGGTTGTTACTCCGACCAAGGAAGTCCACACGAGAGAGCATGGGATTCACAAAGCCAGGAATAGCGTCCAAGCAGCCAATTGACTCGTAGGCCTGAGAATTTTTGTGATTTTAGGAAATAACTTTTTTAGGAGAGGCTGCTTTCTTAAGTACCTTCTTTGCCGAGGCTTGAAATGATTCGTTGGTTAAGGGCTTGACGCTCTCAGAGCAAGCCCACAGTTCCAGGTACATAATGCTCAGGAAGTAAGCCTGACAGTGGTTACTAGCCATAACCACATTGCTCAGATCCACGGGAATGCTCCAATTATTCACCACTCGTATACACTCGCAGATGTGCAAGAACCTCTTGATGGCGCGCTTGTTGTAAAAGATCTGAGGCATGGAACTTCTTGACTTTGAGCTCACAAAGCATTCGAAAAAGTAATCCAACATTCGGCATAGGCTTTCCAAGTGCTGTTTCTGATTGCTGCCCAACAGTAACTTAATAAACGGCTGCAGGCAGGTCTTGGCAAAGGGCAAAGACTTGGCAGCCAATGCACTAAATTCCAGCCAGCCGCAATTTGTGAAAACGTTCGAAACAAAGGCGCACATCCAGGGCTCATAGGTTAAGTCTTGTGTGGCTTTCAAGCAAGCCAACCAATCGATGCCAGATATCTGCATATACCCATTCAGGACACTCGATTCCGGAGGCGTGACAGCAAAGATTTGTACGTTTTTAAAGCGATCTAAAAAGGCAATTCAATGGGAACAAAGTCATTTATCTTAGGTCAATAGCAGAGTTTTGATTCCTTTTTCAAAGGAGCCCGCGATTAACCTGAAGCTGCGAAATTTTAATGCAATGACAACCAAGCCTGCGAGCTGTACAATGACCATGTAGTGAGTTACTAACCCATAATCCGCAGGCCACACTGGCTATTCACAACTTGAACGACTACGGAAACGAGAGCATCGTGAGTATGAGGATCAAACTGAAACAAAGATTTCTCCAAGGCCTCACAGATGACGTTCAGGAACTGCTCTATAGGCTCCAAATGCTCTGACTGCGCAGAAAAAAGGGTAAAATATGAATATAGAAAGCATTTTTAAGAGAATTACAGAGAATTACCTCCTCCTCGAAGGAATCAAAGTCGGTTTGAAAATAATACGAAACATTTGATAACTTTAACGGCCCGATTTGAGCCAGACACTTTAGAGCGTCCAGGCTGCTCTGCTTGCTAACCGAATCTCTGGCCATTTGAATCAACCTACTAATGACATCAAATAAAATTCGTTCATTTTTCTGAAGACTGTCCTTGTATTCGGCAATCTGTTGGAAAGAATTGTAATAAATAAAATGATGAAATAAGCTTAGATCTCTATAGTTTGGTCTCTTACATAATTTCTCAGGTCTCGCAATCGCTCAGCGGTGGGCCTCTTGAGAAACGAACGTAGATAGTTGTCCACATCAGATGTGTCTTTGTTTGGCTCTTGCTTGGAATTGTATTTCTCTCGCAGAGTTTGCAGAAACTCGCATTCGGTCGTATCCTCCAGAAAGGAATGCATATTGATATGGGAGCGGTGGCAATCCAGAATCATCTTTACGACATCACTGGCCTTCTCCTTTACTTCCTTGGCAACGCATTCCCGTTGAAAGACACTCAATAGCTTGGCTATCTCTGCCATGTGCGTGGTAAACTCCTCAGGGCCAAAAGCTGGCTTCGAGGTCAGCAGTTGTTCAAGGAAGGAAAGAGCACACATTTGTACTTGGCTAGACTTGGCTGCAGTGCGATTCGATAATGTTAACTAAGACTAAAAGGTTGAATACCAATTTAAACTCACTGTGACGAAGATATCGAACCATAAAAAACCAAATATCGCGAACAAATAAGGAGCATTCAGCGATCTTAGCAGCCTTAGTCTTGGCTGCTTCCTCGGCAGCAGCCTCATAAACAGCATCAGCGATTTCGCAGTAAAGAAACAAATAACGCAATGCCTGGCTGGAAAAGCTGGATGTAAAGCAATTGGTTTTCAAGCGACCAAAAAGATCAACCAATATTCGAGGATGTTTGATCTGCAGCGTTGACATGGACTGGATTCGAGTGTCACCTCTAGAAGAAGTTTTATGGGAGCCCTAAAAAGGAATTAAAGTAAGATAAAAGGTAACACAAGAGAGAAAATAATACTTACAATATGCAAGCTAAGACAATTGAAAAGAGATTCCACCGAAAGGTTGTACCAGTTGCTACTGCTGCTTCCAGGCACATTGAATCCGAGTAATCGGTTCATTTCCTGTAGATCGTCTTCAAGCAGACCAATCGCACAGCAAAGGGTATCCACATTGAGCTCAACATCCTTGGCATTTAGCTGGGAGTATCTAAGATTCTCCGAGAGCCGCTGATGATGATCTTGAAACTCCTTACCTTCGCTTTCACTACAAAATGCATTTTTGGCCAGAACGTACGAGCCAAGAAGGGGAAGGGCCACCTACGGAAACGAAAGCAATCACTAAGATCTTAGATCGTATCTATATTGAGTTGTATCAGTACCTCTTCGCTGATTGACTTGCTGTGGCGTTCAATATCCTCAGTTTTGCCGTATAGAAAGACATAAGCCATGATCCTACTAGCATGAGCCTTACGAAAATTATTCTTCTTTTCATAGCACAGAAAATAGGGGAACCTAATGGGCAAGTTACAAGACAGAAGTTTCACTTTTTTAAAAAAAAGCTGCTCACTTGGTTATGGGCCAGCCCTGGGAGCTCCACTTGTGCAGCAGGAAATCCGTATACGGTCGTATAAGATCTAGCATAGTTTGTCCATATCCGGGCACTTTACTGTGCAAAGAGAGAAACTCACCTGTGGGGAGAGTGCAAACCCTTAGACTTTAACTATAAAATTATGGTGTATAAGAAAACTCACTTTCTGGCAGTCTGCGCAGAGCGCAATGGAAAAGCAGCTCCTTGAGAGCGATCTCCTGATGAAACGAACTCCGTAAAAAAATGGCAATCAGCATTTGCACCATAATGGCATTGCTATTCCGTATTGAATCCTCGTCGTCGTTTAACTAGACAAGAAAAATTCCCTGAGCTACAAACCACTAAGGATGCCTTTTCCTCACCGAAAGCTTTTTAAACTCGATGCTATTGTAGAGCTCGCAACAGAATTCCCAGTGAGTCGGAGAGTTCCCGATGGTATCCTTGGTCACACAATTTGTGTTCAGCAGGATGGTAAAGGTGAACAGGGTGGCGAAGCGTACTTCCAATGTGGGCATTGTGATGAACTTTGCCGTAGACTTGCATATCACAGTAAAGTTTTCCAACTGGTAAATGTCCGGACAACGCTGAGCAATTAAGCCCACGCTCCTCACGATTTTCGCCGTTAGCTGGGATGTGTAGGATTTCTTAAGGGCAATCCTTAGCAGAGAATTAAGGGCCATTAGCATATCGTCCAAGTGATGCTCTATGTGGCAAACAAACTGGAAAATTTCTGAAAGGAGCAGCTTTTAAGGATTATGAATTATATAAATGTTTGCAAACGTTACTCACTGGGCAAATGATCGACCACCTTATCGATGACATCCAAATCTAGATAATGTAGCTGAAAGACAGTCTTCAGTTTGCCCACCAGCCATGTGCTGGCTGCATCGGATATACTTGAACAGTTGCACAGTTCCTAAAAAAATATATAGATAGGTTTATCGATTTGAGAGCTGATAGTCCACCTACCTTTGTTACTATAAGCACATCTTGGGGCTGCCATCGCATGGTCACCTTCGCAATGTGCTCAAAGGTTTCGTCCTGGTGTGAACTGCAAGCACACAATCCACCCAAAACGTGCAAGCATTGAGCGGTTATGGTCAAATGATCCGTATTCTCAGAGCGCTCTCGCCGCATGCCTAAAATTTCGTTATAAATTGTAAATAAGGTTTTAAGTCAAATAAATATAAAGAGTACAGTGCAGTTTGAGGGCAGCGCCAATGAATTCCACCATCATTTCTATCGGCTGCCTCTCCAAATAATTGAGTAGGATTGAATTGGATTTAAAGACTTCGAGCACAGCGATTTGAAGCCGCAGAATATCGCGCAAATCGCTCTCATCCAGCATCTCGGAACAGTTGGCCTTGTACTGGAACTATAAGCCACAAATAAATATAAAACAAATTAATTAAAATATAAAATAAATAAATTTGTATATAAAATAAAATAAATATAAATATCAAATCAAAGTTCTTCTTCAGACCCACATACCTCGATGTGACTAAGGAACAGACCGATTCGTTTGATCAGAGGACAGGCCTCAAAGTTTTCGGCATCAAACACCTTGTAATGCAAAAGCCTCTCCATTGTGCAGGTCATCCGATGCAGACTGGTAAGATTCTTTAAGATTGCCGCGGGCTGGTTATCGTTGACACTTTGGTAGTTGAGACTACGCATTAGGCACTCGTAGTTGGTTTGGTATAGGCAGTTCTTTGTCTCGCTCTGAAGCTGAGTAATTGAGACAAAGGGTTGCGCATACTCCCGGTTAAGGCAAACAAACTGCTTGTTATACTTGAATGCCAGCAGATTTTGTTCAGCGGAAATTTCCTTGGACTCTGATTTAGAGAGCTCCTCTAGCTGCTGCTGATCCAAGAAGTTGATGATACTGATCGCAAAGGTGTCCGCTTGCAGCTTGGCATCTATGCTGGCTATATTGTGTATGACTTGAGTAGCGCTAGTCCGCTCCCCACTGCCGTAGGCCCACGCTATAATAGGCTCCATATCCGCTGAGGCCTTGTCCTGACCACACGCACCCGCATGAATGTAGATTTCGCGAATGGTGGCGAAGCATTCATTGCGTTTCATCATTTCATTTGTGGTGATGTTCTGCAGCAGGCTGGTGACCATTTTCGGGCTCAGCTTGTGATGTCTAATCAGCAACTGCAGCACCAGCTGCTTCTCTTTGATCCCCTCGCTGTTGGTGGTGGTCTCTGATATCAGGTGGTTTCCCATTCTTTTCCATAATTCAGCGAGAAAGCCCTCCTGTATCGACTGCGACTTTAACAGCTCCTTTTCCTTTTCTAGCAAACTCCTCAGGCACAGGCGAAGATTCCTTAGATTCCTTGCATTGCCATACATTTGCATTATGTCCGACACTGTGACCAGCGACTGCTGGTAGTTGCCCACATTCAGGATGACGCTGCTTAGCTGCAGCAGTTCGGTGAAGATAGCAAACCAGACGTCGTTAAAAGTGGTCTCTTTCTTGTCAATCAGGACAAAAATTTCATCCATTTTGTCCGAAGGTTTAGGAACCTTTTTGGGCACGTCACCATCTCCATTTTCATCCGGTTTTCTCGCCTCCTCCAAGTGCCAGAGAACCTGCAAGAATCGAAACTAAAGTATACATTTAATTAATGATGCGTTGTTGCTTACACTAAACATGACCAATGCTGACATCTTGATGAAGGTCTCTGAAAACTTGTCATTGCTCAGTTGAGCTGTCTTGTAGCGCGGGAGGGAGTTCTTGCGGATCTCCATGTTCACAATGGTTTTCAGTCGGAGCAGAGTTTGTGGCCACGACTCGTGGACGGGCACTCCGAGTGTGTTGAAATCGCCCATGTCCAGCTTAGGATACAGTGAGCGCAACGACTGTATGACACACTGGAAGAACAGGTTTCGGGTGTCATCGCGGAATACATCTTCGTTGTGGAACTCGCATAGCTTTGGCAGTATCTCCTGCATGTGGATGCACAGCTGGTGATGGTAGTTGACCGAGAGCTGCCGTAAACAGGAGAGTAAGCAGAGATGTATGGTAATTTTAATCCTAAACCCACCTCAGTGGCAAAGATTAAATAGAGACGAACAATCTCTGTCTTCCTTGCCGCATTTGCCGTGCTTGCAAAGCTTTTCAACTCAGGCAGATATTCCACCAGGTCACAGTGCAGCTGAACCCGATCTTTGGCCAGAGTGACGGTCTTAGTAATGCATTTCAGTATTGTGGTGTGGAGAAAATCGTCCCCGCCAACATTCAGCTCGAACAGGTAGGAGAGGATCCCTAAAAAGCCACGAAAAGCCAATTGGTTACACACTTAGATCTAGGAAAGAAATTTCACTTACGGCTGTACTCGTTGATCTTTAGGTCGCGTACATAGCTGGCGGAAGAGTAAATGCCCCGGTCCAGCAGGCTTAGGATGCGGTCACCGAAGTACTTTATCACCACCCGCGACCTGATCATCTCCTCGAACGCATTAAAGAGACTCGCCTTTGCCAGAAAGTGGCCACTTCCAGTCGACTCCAAGCCAGCTGAAGGACACAGAGGTTAGCTAGGCCCAAGAACCCGTTCAATGCTTACCGTCCAAGTTGTATTTGACGATCCTGTCGTAGACATTGCCGTACAAATAAGTCTTGGCCGCCAAAGTCTTGAAGGATTTCTCGTTGGCATCGTGTAAGCTCTGAGCGTGCTGTTTATTAACAAAACTACTGCATAAGATAGTGTTGTAAATTCCGGGAGATGTGTCACAGACCTTAAAGAGTGCCTCCTTGGCCACATCGTACAGTGCGGCCCACGACAAGTCGAATCTTTTATCCAGCAATAGAGCAGTTAAGGCCTCTCTGCAGTTGACAAGTTTCTCCTCCAGCTGCTCGATGGCTTTATTTCGGGTTGCTGGCTTATCCGATCGAACGTCGGCGACGATCCGCTGGACTTCATTTAGCAGAGCGCTCATCCTGTTGGCAGGACATTACTTTTAGTCCCGAAAAGCGAAACTTAAGCTTTGTTATTATTCCCGCGGAAAGCGAAGTGTGCCCGCCGTCTTTTCCGTTAAAAAGTACTCAGAAACAGCGGGTATTTTTGCCTCTAAGGCAGCTGGGTGCACTAAAACGCTAACAGTGCAGCACCGTGGGCTTGGGTCCAGTGTTTTTAGCTAGAAAAGCTAAAAAAATCTAAATTTCAGGGGAAAAAGCTAACAAATAATATGGGTATTCCCTAGACGACTGAATTATTGAAAATAACGCAGTAGTTTGCCGAACTTTCAACTGAAAACGGCTTCTCCCATACAAACTGCAAAAAATATCGGCCAATACATTGCCGATGTTTTCAGTAATTCAGTCGTAGTTTTTTCATTTTCAGATATGCCAGAACTAGCGTGAAATAAGCTAAACTGACAACGTGTAAAGTTAGTTTTGACATTTTACATGAACTTTTCGAGATTTTTTAGGAATTTTCATCCGCCACTACTAGAAAAAACTCGAACGAACAATAAAATTACATTTTACATTCTACATGAGAATTCGACCCCAAGCCATAAAATTTGACACCGTCGTGTAAAGTTTGTTTTTGGGATTTTTTAGGGAGAGCCAAGTTTTCGCCTGGCAACACTTAGAAAAAACGAATAATAAAAGGCCGTGCTTCCCTGTAATTTTTTCGCATTTGAAAAAAAATCTGATCGAACGTGACCGCTCGGCAGAACAAGTGAAGTAGCAATTACACGATTATATTTAGTACTTTCTAACTCAACAACACAAGGTAAGTGCTAAGATTTCAACGCCGTCTTTGTTGTAAAAAGTGCATTCAAAATATTTCGGTATACCGATGAAGAAAAAAAATTGCAGTTAACCACGTGTTTTTCGCCGTCATCGACCCAAGTCTATTGGGCAAAGCCTAATTTCCTCATTCAATCAATACTTGCATAGTAAAAACGAGACTTCTCGAACTTTCGACCCCTAATGAGTAATCTTTCACACACAGCTACGCTTGCATTCACACACCCACGTGTACTTTTTCTGATTTCAAAGAATAATTAAGCAAATGATAGTGTAGCTGTGACTAATTACTTAGAATTTGAAAGAACAACGTGATTGCGCTTATCTGGAATATTCCACTGGGAAATGTGCCGCCTCACAGACGCAGTGCAATTGTATACGGCTCGCGTCTGTATATGTACAAATTCTTGCGTCATCCACCGGGGTCTCGACATTGTGCTTTTAATTATCTTCTTTTAAATCAATGTTTAAATTAGTCATCGTAATTGCTAATTTATTTCGAGTGTCATTGAGCTTTTCTGGAATATTCCAATGGTAAAATGTGCGGCTTCTCACACGCACACCGGCAGACGTCAGCGGCACATGCATACTAAATCATACCCACATAACACACTTCAGAAACATGCTTAATTCCCACCCAGACATGAATGTGTTCTATCTGGCAAACGCGGATGGTTTATAAATAGTCTTAATATCCATAAATTTATATTTATGTGGGTTTTCAAATATATTTAGATAGAAAACACGTTGCCAACCGGCATCCAAAGTACACGCTCGTGTGTGTATATGTGAGTGGGTAAAACTAATACACACGAAAACAGCCCCTTGTCGGCCTCAGCAGTATGGTTGTCTCTTTCCCTCGCATTGTACACGAGTAACCCTCCAAAATGACCTGGCTTCGGCAGCGTGGTTTCCTCCATGTGTGTGTGTGTTTGCTTATTTAGCATTCCAGAATTTTCGTCTTTGTCCATGCGGTTTCTTTACTTTTTTTGCGCACCTTTCTCGGAAAAAGCCATGGCAGCTGCGTCGGCCGCCATTGTTACCGCGTTTTGGCATTGATCTTGCCGTTTTGAACAAAACTCTCGCGTTGATCGCGCGGGCATTAGTCATAACTCGTGATGCGCCAATTTCGTCAACCAGTTTGAGAAATATAGCGAAAAAGCTTGTCAAAACGAAATGCTGGCTGTAAAAGGCGAAATCAGATGGCGCTTATTAGGGGAAATGAAAAACTATGTACTATATTGCCTTGGCGATTATTAAAACATATTAACAACCCTTAGAGACAGTATGTATTACATACTATGTAATAATAATATACGATCACAGATGGCGGTTACTATGCTGTCTTACTAGAACCTCATTATTATAGTATTGTTTGTACATTTCGCACTTATTCGCATTTATTTACATTTATAACAAATTTTGAGAGAAAAATATAAACTAAAAGTTTCCCCCATCAAATTATTTGCAGATGTCTAAAGCTCCTGCTGTTGGTATTGATTTGGGCACCACCTACTCGTGCGTGGGAGTGTTCCAGCATGGCAAGGTCGAGATCATCGCCAACGACCAGGGTAATCGTACCACACCATCCTATGTTGCCTTCACCGATACGGAGCGTCTGATCGGCGATGCCGCCAAGAACCAGGTGGCAATGAACCCGACCCAGACGATCTTCGATGCCAAGCGTCTCATTGGCCGCAAGTTCGACGACTCTGCCGTGCAGTCTGACATGAAGCACTGGCCCTTCGAGGTTGTCAGCGTTGATGGCAAGCCCAAAATCGAGGTGACCTACAAGGACGAGAAGAAGACCTTCTTCCCCGAGGAGATCTCCTCGATGGTGCTCACCAAGATGAAGGAGACTGCCGAGGCCTATCTGGGCAAGACTGTGACCAACGCGGTCATCACCGTGCCGGCCTACTTCAACGACTCCCAGCGTCAGGCCACCAAGGATGCCGGAACCATCGCCGGTCTGAATGTGCTTCGTATCATTAACGAGCCCACGGCTGCGGCCATTGCCTACGGTCTGGACAAGAAGGCTGTTGGCGAGCGCAACGTTCTCATCTTCGATCTGGGTGGCGGCACCTTCGATGTGTCCATTCTGTCCATCGACGACGGCATCTTTGAGGTCAAGTCCACCGCCGGTGATACCCATTTGGGTGGCGAGGATTTCGACAACCGTCTGGTCACGCATTTCGTGCAGGAGTTCAAGCGCAAGCACAAGAAGGATCTGACCACCAACAAGCGTGCCCTGCGTCGTCTGCGCACTGCCTGCGAGCGTGCAAAGCGCACCCTCTCTTCCTCCACCCAGGCCAGCATTGAGATCGACTCTCTGTTCGAGGGAACCGATTTCTACACCTCGATCACCCGTGCCCGTTTCGAGGAGCTGAACGCCGATCTGTTCCGCAGCACCATGGACCCTGTGGAGAAGGCTCTGCGCGACGCCAAGCTGGACAAGTCTGCCATCCACGACATCGTGCTGGTCGGTGGATCCACTCGTATCCCCAAGGTGCAGCGCCTGCTGCAGGATCTGTTCAACGGCAAGGAGCTGAACAAGTCGATCAACCCCGATGAGGCTGTCGCTTATGGTGCCGCCGTCCAGGCCGCCATTCTGCACGGTGACAAGTCGCAGGAGGTGCAGGATCTGCTGCTGCTCGATGTTACCCCTCTGTCGCTGGGTATCGAGACCGCCGGCGGTGTGATGAGCGTGCTGATCAAGCGCAACACCACCATCCCGACCAAGCAGACCCAAACCTTCACCACCTACTCCGACAACCAGCCCGGTGTGCTGATCCAGGTGTACGAGGGCGAGCGCGCCATGACCAAGGACAACAACCTGCTGGGCAAGTTCGAGCTGTCGGGCATTCCTCCCGCACCCCGTGGCGTGCCCCAGATTGAGGTCACCTTCGACATTGATGCCAACGGCATCTTGAACGTGACTGCCCTGGAGCGTTCGACCAACAAGGAGAACAAGATCACCATTACCAACGACAAGGGCCGTCTGTCCAAGGAGGACATCGAGCGCATGGTCAACGAGGCCGAGAAATACCGTAACGAGGATGAGAAGCAGAAGGAGACCATCGCCGCCAAGAACGGTCTGGAGTCGTACTGCTTCAACATGAAGGCCACCCTCGATGAGGACAATCTGAAGACTAAGATCTCCGACTCTGACCGCACCGTCATTCTGGACAAGTGCAACGAGACAATCAAATGGCTCGATGCCAACCAGCTGGCCGACAAGGAGGAGTACGAGCACCGCCAGAAGGAGCTGGAGGGTGTGTGCAACCCGATCATCACCAAGCTCTACCAGAGCGCTGGCGGTGCTCCCGGTGGCATGCCCGGCGGTCCTGGAGGCATGCCGGGAGCAGCTGGTGCTCCTGGAGCTGCCGGTGCCGGCGGTGCTGGCCCCACCATCGAGGAGGTCGACTAATTCAATCGCCCCACATGCAGCCCACACAGTAACAATTCTCCCAGCTACAAAATACCAACCAAACAGTAGAAGAGTTGCTTAAACAAAACTTGGATTCTAAATTAGAAAATGACTACAAAACATAAATCAGCCACCAAATCAAATCGGGACGAACGACAACTGCTTCCGAGAATCATTTATAATATTATTTCATACTAGAACAAAACCAAACACTGCTCCATAATAATATATATTATATTATTGTCATCGATCGATCATCCAAACAATATTTGCTTGTACTTGAATTCAATTAATAAATTTGAGAATTGCAAACTATGGTCTTGTTTATTAATACAGTTTGGGGGAGCTACAAAGTTTTACCAACTTTGATGTTTTAAACATAAATTTGTTGGTTTAATTGTTAAATAGGTTGCACTGTACTTGGTTTGGTGTGGCTATCTCGTTTGCTATTTGTTCCAGATTATTATCTTATCTTTGATTTTATCTCTATTTAAGCATAGACTAGGTGTGCTTTTAGCTTTGGTAGAGTGGGAAACAACAGGTGTGGCCGATGAAGAGAGATTAAGTGCATTAAGTTCTAGAAGACTAATATAGGACCATGTTTCCATTTCACTAATTTCGTTCAATTTTTATTCTATTGTAAACCGTCCTATATTTTTCCTTTTCATGAAATTGAAAGGAACATTCGAGTTAATTGTTGTACAACATTAAGAATACTAAGGGAAAATTGCTCTAGTCGAGTGTTATAGAATAATTCTTCTGCAATTTGTTGCATATTTCTAGGCGGCAAAATTAATTTCTCAACTCTTAATCCTACGATCTAAAATTCGAGACTCGAAAAAATCTTTAAAGCGCTAATGCTTAATTTCTCATCCTTAATTTTTATGTGTAAATGTATTTGCTCTATATTAATCCACCCAAGCAAAGTTGGGGTCCTTTTCCTGCTTCGATGATGGCCCACCGATGACTGGCAGGTCACTATTGTTGGGCCTGTACAGGCCACCGCTAAAATTGTCCCGGGCGGGAAGGCGCCGGCTGAAGACGTTCCCCGCTGTCCTGGGCTTGAAAATAATGTCTCGACCGGCATCCGACTTAAGGTGGTTTGATTTGGGAGCATTCACCTGGTCGAGATACGATTGCCATTGCTGCAGCTTGTCCTCCGCTGCCCGCAACTGTTCAATACTGCGCTCGTGGCCAGGATTAATGCCAATGGGCTGGATGCCGGCGATCTCCTTCAGATCCACCTTAATGGGTGCCAGAGCCGATATGGCCCGCGACAAGCCTATTTGGGAGTGTCGGATTCGGTGCTCGGTGAGATCGGCGCCCAGCAGCTCCTCGTGCGGATCCATGCGTATGGGTATTATTTTGTTTATCACAAAGAGCAGCAGAAAAGTGGAACAGATTCCCCAGCAGACCAAGCATAAAGCTGACAGGGTTTGAATTCCTAGAAGGTACCAACCACCGCCCTTGAACAATCCGCTGCGACCGTTGGTCGTGTCCAGGGGAATGGGATTGTCGGCAAAAAGACCCACGGCAATGACGCCCCAGATGCCGCATACTCCGTGCACTGCACTTGCCCCCACTGGATCATCCACACCCATGCGGTCGAACAATGGCATGGCCAACACGCAGAACAGTGAACCGATGGCTCCGATCACCAGTGCCTCCCAGGCGCGATACAGGAAACAGCCAGCTGTGATTGACACCAGAGAACCAAGCACCCCATTAATAAGGTCCATGATGTCCATGCCGCCTCCATGGCGCCAGAAGGAGTAGCTTTAGAAAGATTAAGACCATGATAACTTAATTAATAGGTTACTACAAAAATCTTAAGAAATAAGTACTTACATAGAGCTTATAAATCCCCCGCCAAAGGAGCCCATCATGGTCATAACAGCCGCCCTTGCTGCATACTGCCATTTGGCCCCACTAACACCGTAGGTGCTGCCCGAGTTGAAGGCCAGCCAGCCCCACCAGAGAACGAAGAGACCCATGCAGGCGTTGACGGGATTGCCCAGTGGCAGGGGGTCGTTGCCCTCGGAATAGCGGCCCAGGCGAGGTCCCAGCATGGCGGCCGAGGCGAAAGCAGAGGCCCCTCCAATCAAGTGAACCGGTCCACTTCCCGCAATGTCCACGGCGCCTAGCTTGTTAAGGAACCCGTGCTCTCCCCAAACCCAGCCCGCGGGTATGCAGTAGACTGCGGTGTTTAGGAACGAAAAGAGACAGTATGCTTTAAAGTTGCAGCTGGAAGGAAGAGATATATTCGATTATTAAAACATAAAAGTTATAAATGTAAAGTCAAACCCACCGTTCTGCCATGGCACCGCTAACAATCGTTGTGGCTGTGGTGGCAAACGATAACTGGAACAGGAAGGCCGCAAAGATCTGTCCCATCAGGGCATCGCCTACCGGCGGATCGAGCAGAAAATCACCAATAGCGATGAAGGGATTGGAGAGAGGGCCCCGGCCAAAGCTCATTCCATACCCGAATAGCCAGTAGGTAAAGCCACCCAGTACAATGTCGATCACATTCTTCATCATAATGTTCACCTCGTTCTTTATACTCACGCAGCCGGACTCCAGCATTCCAAAGCCCGTTTGCATGGTGAAAATGATGAAGGAGGAGGTCAGCACCCAGTTGGTGTCCTCAACAGACAGATCGTACATTCCTGGTATTACATAGGTGCTATGATTCCTCACGGCTCCCTTTGCCGCTGCCAGTGTGGGTGTGGCGGCATCCATGTCCGTTGACTCCCTCGGGTGTTTGCTGACTGCCAAACTCGGAGACCAATTGGCAGGAGCAGCTGCCTGCGACTAAATGAAAGTTACAAATTACCCTGCATTTGCTTTAAATGCAACTTAATCGCCGTTCAGCAATAGCAGATTATTCCGTGTGCGTGTTGTTTGCGCACCCTCCAATCTGTTGATGTTGTTGTTGTCTGACCCTTAAAGCTTAAACTTGACTTTGGGGTCGCATGCCAAATGCATTTTGCAAAATTAATGAGCGCATTTTGGGTAAATTGAATTTAACAACTATCAGATGAATACGATAGGTGCTTTGCATGCCTCAATAAAATGAAATTCTTTTAAAATCACAATTGTTTTTGTTGAACTAGAGAATAAGTTATCAGGGGTCCCACTAAAGTTGCAACAGAATTAGAACTCAGTGTAAGCTACGGGCTGTTTTAAATTCTATGCTAATTTCTAAAAAAATGGAAAGCATAATGGAATAGCTCCTAAGGTTGGTCTTAAATTACATGTTAAGTTTTATTGGACTAATTGTCGTATTAACAGATTCGGCAAGTATACTTGATTATCTGAACTAATTCCTTGGTTCTAAATAGAATTCCTATATCATCGATCTCATTTTTAGGTAATCAATTATAATAATATTGACTTTACTTGAATATAAAACCTTCATTGAATTTTTTCCCTGCCCCGATGAACACCAACGGAAAACTTTTGAACTGCAACCGTTACAAGTTCAAAGGACTCCCACGCAAACGACTCACGCAGCCCTGGAACTTGACACGTCCAGTGGTTCCAAGCAGGCAACGGTAATTTAACGGGAACCCTGGAAGCGAAACTTCTGAGCGAAAACTCTCGTTCGGTTCGTCGTCGTCGGTGGTTGTTGGTATTGCTCGAACGTTCGCAAAAAACTGTTGAAAATACTTGGATAAAATACTTGTGTGACAAAATAGCAATTAAACAATTAATTCTGTTGTGTGAAGAGTTTTAAATAGCGTGTGCAAAATGTATTTTTTGGCATTGCTTGCGTTCATTGGAAATGCCAAAGGTAACGGGAACGGTCCAGTGGGGAAAACTAATGTGAAAAATTTTATACACACACACAGACAAACGAACATGCAAATTCAGCCCCACATCCTGGCGATGCGAAAAAGGTTAAGCTTTATAATGTGGGAAATCTGTCGATTAAAAGGATGTAAACTCCTTGAGAGTGAACACAAGGATTTTCAGCAAAATCAATTTCGATTGCTCGGATTGCTCCTTCAGCGATAATTGGAAATATGGTCCATGGCCACAGAGTTCACAATTTATGGGACACGGGGCACACACACACACACACACACAGTCAGAGCCAGCACTCACCAATACCAACCCATATTCTGCGCTTCGTTTCGCTCTTTTTCTCAGCGGAGCAGAAGCAGAATCAGACTCAGAGAGGGAGAGAGAGAAAAGGGGCATAACGGTTTTTTGGGTGGGGAAATGGAAATGGCAATACGAAGGAAGTGGCCTGCAAAATTTAGCTTTGCTCCTGTATGTACATATATATGTATGTATGTATATGTACATGTGTGTCTGCTTTGTGGTGGGCGGTTGTTTGGGGGTGTGTGTGTGTATGGTGTTTATTTTTTGCATGTATACTTGCCTCCTCTGTATGGGTGTGAACTGGGTGTGTATGTGATACGCTCGTATGTATATGTCACACACACATACACACTAATTTCACTTGGAAACTCTCGAATGAACGGCAACATTTTTTTTTTTTGCGATATTTTTCCTTTTTTGTTGCGGGGGCGTAACGCACGCCTGTTTGCCATTTTCGTTCGTGCGTTTCCTGCCCAGAAATTCGCTTTCACCTCTTCCGCCCCCTGCCAATCTAACGGTCCTTCGCTGCATACCCATGTACCTATGTATGTATATTGCTGAGAGTGTATGTGCATGTATATTTGTTTTTAATTTGAATTTCCTTTTGCTGTTTAACATTTAAATGATGTCGAAAATGTTATGCGTTTGCATTTAATTTCATTCAAGTGATAAATATTGTGGCCTTTCCTCGCGTCTCTCTCTCTCTCTTTCTCATTTTCACTGATTTACCCTTCCTGGCCCTCGATTGAGCACAGGATTTACAGCACCTGCTGCACTTTGTCATTGCATCTGTATGTGTTCCTTCTGTTTATGTATGTGTAAGTGTGGTTTGGTGGCGCAATTTAAAATCGGCAAAGGAGAAAGTTGGTCAAGTGTGCCAAAATAAAGAATTCAGCTTCCAAGCTTCGAGTGTGCCGTTATAGGTGCATGTTTGGGCTTCTGTCTCAAGTCTCGCATATTTCAGATCCTTCGAACACTGAAGATTTTAACTGAGTTTTTCGCCAACATGTAAATAAATACATACATATGTAATACATATTATGTATTGTATATGCACAAATGTATTTAATTTCAATTAGCTTTATAACATTTTATACTTTAAATGCGAATATGCAACACATGATTAGAAACATCCGGATGGGTTAGGAAATCAAAAAGCTGGAGTTCAAATGAATCCTACAAATATTTAACAATTCTGGGATTGCTTTCTTATTCATTGCGATATCTATGGCAGTACTGCTAGTCCAATGAGATGTCATTTTCGATATTAAAGATTTTAATTCGTTCTGACTTCAACAATTGCAAATGTATTTATTAAAATATACATACAAAAATACATCAATTTGAAATCCTTTTTGCATATATTAAAAATGTGTTATATTATTTTAAAACCAAAAGGAGGGGTAGTACCTTTTATCGTAAGATTTAATATTTTGTAGCATACTTATTTGCATGCTTTTAGATTTTAAAACCTCCGATTTTCCTATTAAAAAGGAATCTCATTTAGCACACAATCGTTTGTGGGATATAGTATAGGTAAAGACAAAGAATTTTAAAAATACTTTTGGCAACAAATTACATAAAACAGCTTGATCCGATTTCTTGCAATTTCTGCAGATGGAAACGCGGTGAGCTCGAGTCTAGTTCCCGGTGGCCACTGCCGGGACTACAACGGGAAGCTGTACGAGACGGGCATGCACTACATGCCTGGACCCGACTCCTGCCGTCTGTGCACCTGCGACAGCGGACTACCCAAGGCCTGCAAGATGGTGCTCTGCGAGGCGTTCAGCAAGTGCAAGTCGTTTCAGACTGTTGGCAGCGGCAATAACTGCTGCGAGGTTATCTGCCTGGATGACCAGTTCAGCGACGGGAGCACCGACTTTGGCATTTGACTGGTGGCCAGTGGCATTACGGCCACGCTCTCTCTATCATTGCTCTTCTTCCTGGTGAATCGGTTGCGGCAACGCAAGATGCGAGCGCGGGAGAATCGCCAGAATGCTGAGGATCAGCGCAGCATAGTGGGGAGCATTGGGTAAGAATTCCATTTATTTTGTGTTCAAGGAGGTGATCTGATGTTGTTCTTTGGCCCTTCAGCTACATTGCCGGCAACATGGGCTACATGGAGGGTAATCTAAGCGCCATTGACTATTCCTATGGCGGCGCTGCTACTCACTATCCCCTGTGGAAGCCTCATTTTCCGCGAGGTGAAGCTCCGCCGCCATACGAGGAAGCGGTGGCCATTTCACAAGCGGAGGCTCTAAGCGCCCAGTGCACGGTGAGTCTGCCAGCCAGCAGCTCCCAAAGAGCAGTAGCTACAGTCAGCCAGCAACAGCAACAGGCGGTGGCCCAAGCCCAGGCTCAGGCGCAACAGCAGCAACAGATCCAGGCGCAGGTACAGGCCCACCAGCATCTGCAGCAGCACACGCTCCAACTCCACACCCAGCCGCAGCAGCACCACCAGCCGTATACCCAACAGCTGGTAGCGCATCCGCATCCACAGCACGCCCACCAGTTGACTGCTGCCGCTCCAGTGCTGCCCCAATCGAACCAGTACACTCAGAGCACCACAAACCTGATTAACATCAATATCAACAGTGGCGGAGTGACCACTATAGCTACCGGGGAGAACCACCAACCGCCTTACAGCTTGCAGAGTGAGCAGCAGCAGCAGCTTACCTTGGAGCAGCATCATCAGCAGCAGCAGCAGCAGCAACATCTTATGCAGCCTCCGGTAAGCAGTGGATCTATTTGTCTGCAGGCCATGCCCAAGCCGCCGGTCTCCGCTGAGTGTAGCTACAAGAACTGCCATCTCAACATCAGCGCCAGCGTGACCACAGCAGCGGCCAGTTCGAGTTCGGCTGCCTACTCGACTGGGCGCAGGACGACGCCTCGCGGATCGCAAGAGCTCCTTCACCAGCTGCCTCAGCAGCAGCAGCAACAGTATCTCACCGTGGCTGATGTGGAAATAAATGCCAGCGCCAGTGCAGCTAGCTATCATTCCCTGCCAGCAGCCAGTGGGGAACTTCAGGCCACGCCCACTCACGCTCAGGTGTTGCAGCATCAGCAACAGCAGCAGCAACATCTGCTGGCGGCCATATCCTCCCCGGCAATGGAGCTCCTGCAACCTCTGGAGATCGCAACGATCTCAGCTACACCAGCGTCCAGCACAGCGGATTCGGTGACCCAGACAACACAAATGCCTGTGCATGGAACCCTTAAGAACAGCCAACAGCAACAACAACAGCAGCAGCTCAGCAAGACACCATCCAGTTCGCGTCGATACCATCGCACGATTCCGCGATATTTCGCTGTGGCCGACCCTCTGCAGGTGAAGCCCAAGACCAGCAACAGCTCCACATCCACATCGGAAGTGGCCGGAAAGCCGGCCAATAAGAAGCCCATGTGCCAGTGCCCCATCCAGCACGTACCGATGTCCTACATGGGGAGCAATGCCAATGCCAATGCCAATGCCTTTCTCGGCGGAGCTGGCAAGTTGTTTGCCACCACCTCAAGCAGCAGCAGCTCCACGCCCACCTGCTCCCTGTCACCGGGAGCGGCAACATCTGGCGGCGTCCGGCATGCGGCCACCTTGGCCTATGGACAGCGAGCAAAATCATCGACAAATCTGCAGCAGCACGCCCAGGACTTAATAACGGCGGCCGCGGGTGGAGGGACTCTAAGGCGGAGCGGATGTGGCCACGAGCCAAAGATAGCCACCATCTCCAAGCAGGTGGGCGATGAGACTCACAGCCCGCATGCCGGATCCGGTGGCGGGGTCAATGTGTCCGCCATTATTCCACCGCCTCCGCTGCAGCATCCCGAAGAGGTATCGGCCCCTCCCATTGTCCTGGGACGCGTTCAGAAGCGCTCATCCAGCAGCTCGGCGGAAAGGGGCCGGAGTACGAGCGGAGGGAGCGGAAGCGCTAATGGGGGACGTAGTGCGTCCAGCGGAGGCGGCGATTCCCTCTCCAGCGCCTACTTGAATCGAAAGGTGAGTTCGAAATGTAAGTAATCCCTTTGTGAGAGCTTGACATGGCGGGGAATGAGATCGCGCAGTCGAAATTGCAGCAGGGCTACTCAGATTGGTTTCCGAAGATTATCTCTCTGGTTTCATTCCTCGATTTGGGTTTATCTAGTCTTGTCCCGCGGCTAATCCATCGGTCTCTTTCAGGTTGATGCCTACTTGAGTTTGACGCAGAAACAGCAGCAACATTTCTTTAACCAACAACAACAGCAGCAGCATCATCATCAAGATCTAAGCAATCCGACTTTACCACCGAAACTCTACAAAAGCCTAACGAATTTAAAGAGCGCCACCGTGGTCACCACATCCTCCTCCTCCTCGTCCGCCAGCGGGAGCAACGCCGTGTCCACCATCTACACGCTGAGCAAGCCGTCCTCCAGTGGTCAGCGCAAGGAGCAGACGCCCACGCTGACACTGCCGCCGGCAAGCCCGGCCACTGGATGCGGGGAGAAGCTGGCCAGCGGAAAGATCAACTCGAGCACTTTCTATCCGCTGGCCAACCACGTCACTTATACACTGCCCAAGAACATCAGCGGGAAGGTATCCCTGAACAGCACCATCAACAGTGTGGTCAGCAAGGTGCCATCAGTGATCAGCATTCCGCCGGACAGCAGCTCGATTGGCCAGGGAGGAGCTGCTGCGAAAAGCACCACACTGCCAAAGATACTGCGCGTGAAGCGAGAGACTGGAGCAGGAACTGCCACGAGTCCGGCGATTGCCCATTGCCAGATGCCAACGTATCCGCTTGCGCCAAAGAGCAACAGCAGCGGCAGCGGCACTGCGGTATCCAGCAGAAGATCGCCCAACAAACAGTTACCCGTGTGTACCACGTCGAAGAACTGCCTGAACCCCAAGGAGCACTTTCTGCCCAACGACACCAGCCTGGACGATGACTACCTAAGTGAGTGCGAGAACTGCAAGATAGCACAGAGTGCCAAGTACTATTTGGATGCGGAATTGAACGGCGGAAGCTCTACGGCCTCGCACCAGGAGACGATGACCCTGCAGCGCAAGTCGCTTGAGGAAACCATGGAAGAGCCGCACGACAGCTACTACCGAAACTCGCACACTCTGCCCAGTAATGCCAAGAAGCATGGGTAAGTCATACATATTTCCTCCAAGTACAAATTGAAAATAATACAACTCGAATTCCTCTTACAGTTCAGTGAGCAAAAACAACAGGGAGTCCTGGCAGTTCTCGACCATTCCCGCTGCCAGCTCATCCGAAGAGGATGTCAACGAATGAGATTTAAGCCATTTTCTTTAAGATGCCCGATCGATCCCATGCCCCGAAGCGCATCCTAAAGAAAACGCAGGCTCCAAACACATCCCAATAGTATCCCAATTCCCCGAAAAGGCAAAGATAAAACTTCAAATTGCTGCTGCAATGAGGGAGAGAAATCCTGTATATAAAACTTAAATCTAAACTATGGCATTAAATATATGTGAGTAGGAGGTGGCAGAGTAACCAAATGTTAGATATTAACCATGGCGATATGCAGCAACCCGCGTGTTTGTTATATGCACACCTGTATGTATATCTCTGTATGTATGTAATTGAATCTGTATATTACGCAATCGAATAAGAGGGGGAGAGTTAGGCCGAGGAAATAAATCAATTATAGCCCATGCATTATTAGCGGAACTGTTGAATATTTAGCATATATGTATATGAAATTGATAATTAGGATGTCAAGCCCAACTGCCATCTGCCATTTTGCCAATGTTAACTGTCAATAATTGTGTATGTATGTAATATCTAAAGAACTTTTTATATACTATATAGGTACTGACCAAAAGTCAAGGTATTCTTCCCCTGCAGCTGCACCGATCATTGCACATAAGAAGTTGTAGAATAAACCAATTGACATGCATACATATATAGAGGAAGAAATAGAATACGTATTAGAATTGAAAGCTCATTCCGACATTGCTCATTCCATCCCATTCGCCCCGCTTTATAAATACCAAACTAAATTGTCATTTCCTTTCCAAACTAACTCGTAATGAATGTACCATATAAAATAAAACGAAACTAAGTCAGTTTATAGGAGTAAGAAATCGTTTTTCAAACATGCTAGGCGTAGGCGGGGAGAAGGTTTATAGACATTAGACGGTTTCTTGATCGATAACGAAGGACTTGCTAGAGAATAACTTTCGTTTGCTTCTTAACGACAGTCTAATGCCAACGATACGAGCACGATATACATATAAGCATCTATATATAAATGTATATGGAATACAGGTAGAGGAGCATGAGAGTCTAGAAATGAGTGGCTCTCTATTGATGAATGAATTGTCTGATTTAATCAATTTTCAAAAACTAATCGATACTAAGCCAGGAGTTACACAAGCAATTAGTCGAAGCCAAAGCTAACCGAGAAGAAATTCCCCTGATTTTAGTCTTAGTTCTCTTATATATGATATAGAATACTTGACTTCTGACATTCTCCAAGGACAAGGACAGAAACTTGGCAATGGTTTTTGTTCCGCTTTTGGTTGTAATCGATCTCAGACCTGATAAACTGTATTGTGTTCAACGGATGCTCAAAATAGCTGTAATTTCATTCTGATAAGTGTAAATGGTACAATTTGTTGTTTAAGTTCGTACTTACTGCATATTGTATGTTCAACGAAGACTTGCTGTTATCAAATGCTCAAAGCGTGTACTGACCACAACGCAATCGTGTCGCCCCAAGTACCCGGGGAGTGTAGTTTAGCGAACAGGAAAAATATAAGTATTACAGAACTTACTCAATAGTATTAAATAAACAAAAATCAAACGTTTTTCAATACATACTTATTAGTCGAGTCGAGTCGAGTCGTTTATCAAAATTTAGTTTCCAACTATTTAATGAACAGAAAAAGAACAGAAAACCAACAACATATGTACATCACGGCTAAGTACGAATTTTTATTCAATAAGCTACAAATATATTTACTATTAAACGACGGCTCAAGAAAACCAAATATATATTGAATTAACAACCAAAAATACTTGGTAATGGTAGTATAATAATTGCAAACCATAAACAAGACATTATAATTAAACTAGTGTGTGCGATATAGTTAAAAACAAATTTACCAAAATCGAATAAAAACCAAACTCGTTTCAACAAACAAATTATTCAATACAATTCAAGTCGATATTGAGATTTGTATGGATAATTGCTTAAACAAACAAAAAATATTACGAGTATCAATGTGTTAATTGAACAAAGTCGTATTGTAACTATTTAAATTTAATTGCAACTAAAAACTGAAAAATAAATTGGTCTATAATGAAAAATAATAAATCTGAGAGTGTGTTTTGTTCTGTATTCTATGGTTTAGGGTTTGGTATATCGAAGGGGAGATTTTTATTACGTTGTTGGTTTTTAAATAAAATAGATAAAATTGCTTTTGTTTTTAATTTTGAATTAAATAATTTTTTCAATTGTTTTTAAAATGAAAACTTCTTAAATGTCATTACTAAGCCCTGAATATTTTTTTCAATTAACAAAATAGCTCATTGAGTTTAAATTAAAAAGAAAAAAAATCTATATATAATTTTTTTCTTATTATTTTAATTATAAATTTATATTGTAATTTTTGAAAATTTCAATAATAAGAAATTGGTAATTCGATGCTGATCAAGAATTAATGAAGTTTTTGTTCCCACACATGGCTTTGAATAATTGCAACTCTCTACCAAGATTCCCAAAATAAGAAGTCAGTTGTTGAGGTTTTAATTGTAAAAAATGCAATACAATTTGTTACGTGTTTTTTGTTTTTTTCGTTTCTTTCGTTTTTGTTTTGTATTTTTAAATCATAAAAACAATTTTACGATGTATCAGATGTTTGTTTGCCTTTAGTTTATATAATATGTAAGGTATAACCTATTAGTTGTTGTTTTGTAATGCCTGATTCTGCTATTAATGCAAAAACACTCGCAAGCGGCGATATTAGTGAATTCCTCTTTTATATTTATATACATACTCGACAACAAAATTAAATAAATTAAGTTATGTATGTATTTTCCTTTCATTTGTTTTGTTTCGGTTTGCTTGATCAACGGACACGGCGGTGGAAGGGAACGATGGAGAGCTGGAGCTAGAGGACAAATAAGAGCCAAGGGCAAAGAGGCCTAATAAAGATGATGCTGCTACTGCCGTCGCTGCTAAAAGTAGAACCGTTCGGAGGATTCTAGCCTAGTTCTACTTCTTCGACGGCTGACTATCCAGCACGGGTGTGATTGTCTTGCCTCCAAAGATCTGGCCCCAACCGATCAGGCTGCAAGTGGAAAGAGCGGGTTTAATTAATGCGAATTAAAAAATGTAGATGCTTTAGTTGTCGCTAACTCACCGCCAATGGTTCTCCACACGTCTGCTAAGGGCTATCTTTTCACCCTTTTCCGTGCACACTGGCGTCGTGAGCACAATCTTGGCCAGATCACCCTTGGTGGCCGAGATGCGACCGCCGGTGCTCAAGGATCCAATGTTAACCAACAGGATCTCGTTTTTCTGCAGCTTCTCTACGCGCGCTCCCTTCTTGTCGCCATCGGTACGAACGCCCAGAAGACGGCGCAGCAGGTAGTACGAGATTTCCAGCTCCTGATAGATGTCCGGCAGCTGGCCAACAGCACCCAGCACTTGGCCGACCAAACGATCGGCACGGCACAGCGTCGGATCGATTTTGGTGCCCACACCAATCAGACCACCGGGAACGGCATACTGCAGCTCATTCTGCTCGGCAAAGAGCGAGACGATGCGTGAGAAGATCGGGCGGCAAGTGATGTTGCCATCACTGTCCTTGGTCACAACTCCCGGACGCACTTCGATCTCCTGGCCAACTTTGAGCACACCGCTCAGGATGGAGCCACCGGCCACGCCGCCCTTCAGGTCCGCCACTTCGCAGCCGGGCTTGTTGACGTCAAAGGACCGAATGACGATCAGACGAGGCGGGGCATTGAAGTCACGCGGCGGCACAGGGATCTTGTTTACAATGTACTCGCAGAGCACATCGATGTTGTACTTAAGCTGGGCAGAGATCGGGATGATCGGTGCGCCCTCGGCGACGGTGCCTTGGACGAACTTGGTGATCTCCTCGTACTGTTCCTTCGCCTGGCTCTCCTTGATCAGATCAATCTTGTTTTGCAAAATCAAAATCTGTTTCAGTTTCATAATCTCAATGGCAGCCAAATGCTCAGAGGTTTGCGGTTGTGGGCAGGATTCATTGCCTGAAAAAGAAAGAACACAATGAGTTAGTCTGCGTTTAAAAATGATATGCATGTGGGCATCACTCACCAGCAATGAGCAGCAGGGCAGCGTCCATCACAGCGGCGCCGTTCAACATGGTGGCCATGAGAATGTCGTGACCGGGGCAATCAACAAAGCTAACGTGTCGCACCAATCTGAAGTTGCCAGAGCAGGCGGGACGGGTGCAGGGTAAGCTGTCGTCCTTGCTCGATGCGTCCGATACAAAGCTAGCCGGTCGTGGGCACTTGGGGTTGTCGCACTTGTAGATTTTGGCATTGGCATAACCTGAAGAACAGACAATGGGAAATGGGACATGAGATTGTGAATCAATCGAGGCCACAAAAGAGTGAAGTGTGGAAAAACCATTTGTTTAATAATGATATGTTAATACGTTTTAATGTAAATAATATTTATAATGTTGAGCTCGGACGTATGATTATAATTAAGGAATAATAAACGAAATTTACATTCACACTTTCCCTCAAGTCAATGAAAAGTCGCATCACTTAATTAATAAAGATATTTATTGGGAAACTGTAAGCTTAGTATTTATACACTTATTAAAATACATAATTTCTGGGTGTCAAATTCAGTAAATAATCATGATAATGTATATACTTCGGTTACTCGAGCACATCTCGTGACGTCCTAATGCAAACTTAACATTCAAAGCAATTCAACACCGTCATTTCCATTTGCAATTGGTGCAAAAAGTTAAAAAATTAAATTTTTAAAATGTCAATCGATCTATTTTGTATTGCTGGAATCCAAAACTAATAATTGTAAATGTATGTATATATATATAAAAAAAAATACAATTCGATGGGGCAGTGAACAATCTAAGGAGAAGTATTTAAGGAATGTCCAGTTCCATCCTTAAAAAAGAACCTTCCGGCAATTGGCCGCCCCACAGCGACACTCGACGCGCGCAGCGGTCGATAGGTTCTCATAGGGCACATCTTCGTTGTCCGCCCGAATGTAGTCGAAGCTCAGCTCCTCGCCAGCTCGAATCTGACGCAGCGTGAAAAATACAAGGTGGGGAAGCGCCACATTCAAGTGCTCGATCCAGCAGGGAAACACTGCCAGATTGGGATCGCATGAGTGGTTAATGAAATGCGAGATATTGCCATAGTTGGCCGCATCGATGGTGAACTCGCTCTCCTGGGCCGTATTGTAGTCAAGGTCAAAGAGATAGGTTCTGCCCTTGTCATCGTACGCCTTTCCGCGCTCGTTTGCCTCGTCGCTGGTTATGATCTCACCAATGTACTCGCACACAAACTCCCCCTTGCGCAGTACGACCGGTGTGCGGACTCCCCAACCACTCCCGTTGCTGGTCTTGAACAGAACCAGCGGATGCTGGCGTCCATGCTGCACCACTCGATTGGAGCAGTTCGGACCGCATGAGCAGCGGCTATTGCACTCGAAGATGGCACTGCCAGGACGAATACGCAGGCGCCGCGTGCTTCGATCATAAGCAAACAATTCGCTGGCCATGCGGGCACAGCACTTTGTGGAAGCAGTGCACTCCTCGGCTCCGTCTTCGCTCGTGCATTTGCAACCCAGGACGGACGGTTCCGGCTCGGGCACTCCCTCGCCGATTATGTTGTTCCGAATGTATACGAAATTGCTATCTATGGTCTCCAGGTCCACCATGTTCTCTACGCGTATCGGCGGCGATGACCCCTCCACGGTGTTCATGATGTTCTCAAACAGGGCGAGATCCACAATCTGCTTTTGTCGCAAAAGCTTCGCCCGCTTGATGTGCATACTGCGCAGGGCTCGCTCTTCGATCCTACCCCGCTCCCGCTGGCTTCGACTGCCGGCTGCCCGATATTGGGCCAGGAGTACTAGATCAATCTGCATCTTTAGCGGCTCAAATGCTTCTACCTCGGCCACAGATACGTTTTCTGTCGGCGGTATGGCTTTCAGCTGCTCCTCAAGCTCACTGGTCACAGCGACTATGTACTTCTCGAAGAGCTGCATTTGCCGATCCACAAACTCCTCCATTTTGGCACAGTCGGCTAAATTGTCAAAGCTCTCCCATGTGTTTTGGCTGGCATTATAGCCCAGCCATTTAACAAAGAAAACAGGCTGCAACTGGACCACTTCGACGTACTCGATGCGCTCCACAATGTACTCGCCCTTGGGTGGCTTTTTAACCATTACTCCCTCGTTATTCTTTGAACGCTTGTGACCGGGAGCGGTTGGAGAATTCATGCCGCTGCTGCGTCGCCGCTTCAGATCAGCAGATCCTTTTAGTGCAAATTGGACCATGTCATGCTCATCGCAGCCCAGGGCACTGCCATAGCCACTGCTGCTCCGTCGGCTAGTGCGTCTCTGCAGGCTGGTAGGCGTAACCGTAGCCGATGTCGTCGACGTTGGTGGTGCCGGCATGGAGCTGCGCAAGCTGCGTCTATGGCAACGCAATTCGGCAAGATGGCGAAGGCGATGGAACTGTTTGATCTCATATTGCTGTCGGTGCTGCTTGGAGTTCAAAAGTATTTGGATTTTCTTTTCGCTTAAGCGTTCTGCAAAGGACAAGGTTTGGACATTTTTGGATTGTGGGTGGTGGGTGTGGTGTGGTTTTTGTGGACGCGTCGCAACCGAAGCAAACGAAAAACACCGGAAGAAAATGTGGGAAAAAAAGAAGAAAAAGATTGGGCAATTAATTAAATTGCTGGATTATCAGTGGTATTAATCAAAATAACAATCAGTTCAAGACTAAGAATACAGGAAAAAAAGAGAGATTCTTAATAAAACGATTTCTTTTTAATTGTTTACTAAGGCGACGACACACCTTGAGAGGCAAGGCAACGCGTATTAATCCAGCAATTTAAATAAATAACATACACGAAAAGGAGTCAACAATACAAGATAGATACAAAATCATTCACAGAACGCTTTTACACCCGGCAAATCGATCCAAAGCAACGACAGATACATAGATCGGAGGAGTAGAGCTCCCCCTTGATTACACGGTGTGCCGTCGTCGGTACAGGTTTTTCTTAAGATTAGGGAGCCTTACTGGAAAACGGGATTTAAATGGAGGAAGTTAGGGTTTCTTCGGCCAGCCGAAAGCATTGTGGATGATAATATACATATGTATGTTCATTCAAGGCTCAGAGGCTGCGAAACTACGGGATTACAGGTATGTGGAGTGTGTAGGAGAGAGCAATATACAGCTAACTTATACTAGGAGGATCACATTTATGCATTCTTCAAGGATCGCTTTGCTGTGTCCACTTACCGAGCTTAATTGTAATGTTGCGCTCCAGCTCGTTTTTAAAGCGCACAGTCTGCACGCCGGAGATGGCTTTCACCACCGTCGATTTGCCGTGAGCTACATGACCGATAGTGCCAATGTTGATGGTCGCCTGCCGCGAGATCACCTCCGGGGAGAGGGGTGTAAGTTTGCTGATTTCCTGCAACGAAACCAAATTGACACAGTTAAGTGTTGGAGCCGGCAATTATGGAATTTCAAACAATAGTTATTACCACCCCCAAACCTCCCGAGAAAACGCGTCGCCTCAGATGCATGACGGTGCGCGGGTGTGTGTGTGTATAACCGTGAACTTTGAGGTTAGAATATCGGTTGAATTGCATCAGCTAAATAGATGGCAACAGTTCAGACACTCTGCCGAAACTGAATCGCTTGCCATATTGCACGTCTTGCCTAGGCACACATACGGTCCGTTAGACTGACAAAAAACCCTGGGAAAAACGCCCAGGCAAAAATGTAGCGCCACGTGCTGCATTTTGCGTGTTTCCCTCGGCCCCGGGCGAGTGACAACAAAAGGCTGTTGGGCATTGCAAAGCAGACTTAGATGATTGGAAGCTACAGATGCTTTAGGGTCCGAAGACCGCCCACGGTCATATGGGTGCGTCCTTGCCGCCCGCGACCCGCCGTTTTCCTGGGAAGCGGCACAATAATGACGACGCGTACACTTTCACACACGGAAAAAGAGGCGGCGTCTGGCGAGAGCCTTTCCAGCTGCTTACCAAATTGCTGAGGTCCTGCTTCTGCAAGTTTCGGTTCACACCGATCTGGGCTTCAGCCGTGGCCATGATGCTGATGTTTTTGAAAACGATGTGTGTACAAAATTATAAAATTAATTTTCAGCTATTATAGCTCGGCATCAAATGTTGTCCGCGCGTGTTGTAAAGGACCGAAAACGCGCCGTAATCCAGAACAACAGTGTTGCGCAGCGTCGTCAGGCATCGATTGCACACTATCGATAGAAAATACTATCAAGCCCAGTGTTTAGCGTATTTCACGCTAGATCTAGTATATCTAAAATGCTTAAAAAAGTGGCGACTAGTTATACTAGATTCGACTTTTTCGTGCATTATTGTTCGTGGCGCGATCCATCAATTAAAAACGTGAAAAAACTGCAAAAGAGATCGAGAGGCTTTTAGCTTTTAATCATTTTTGCAACCCGCTTTGAAACTAACATTTTTTATCGTCGCGTACTTTTGTGGACTGCTGGATTTTTTAGGGCGAAATCTCCACTGCTTAAGATTTTTTACGAGCAAGGCCACATTTCTACCTGGCAACACTGTTTTTCGTTTTCAACGCAAGTTAAGAATCCGCTTCTGCTCAACTGTACCGCGGTTATTTGGCAAATTTTCCGCAAATTACGACAGAAAACACCGGAAAAGCAAGCAGAATGTCGAGCGTGCCCAAGCGAGCCAAGCTGGACGGAGCCCCCGCCGATGGCATCACATCCGCCGGCAACAACGAGGAGGAGTCGGAGGCGCTGGAGCAGATCGATGCGGTGCAGAATGAGATCGACGCAATGAACGAGAAGGCCAGCGAGGAGATCCTTAAGGTGGAGCAGAAGTACAATAAACTGCGCAAACCCTGCTATGAGAGGCGCAGCGAGCTGGTCAAGAAGATCTCCAACTTCTGGGTCACTTCGGTAAGTTCCTGCGAGCATGATTTGCATTTGTGCAGGAATTCCCAGTACGCGGTTTGGGGATAAAGCAGCGCGCCAACGATGCAACTTGGCGGGGCCTGAAAATGTAATTGATTTTGTCTCCAAAGCACACGTACAAGAAATTTTCTCTATTCGAGGAATTTTTTTCTTGTTCATATTTCACTGCAAAGCCGCCGGCATCCCGCCTCCCCGCTTTTTCCCCGTGAGAACGTGTAATAGTTATCGATAGCCGTCTGGATGGCCGCTCGGGAAATACACAAATTTTCCGAGCTGCTGCAGCTCAAACGCGGCAAAGAAATATAAATATGTGTATGTATTTTCCGCACGTGTGAAAAAATCTCCATAAATTCAAGTACTTACTTCTCCTGGAAGCCGTAAAAAACGTGCACCTTTGTTATCGATTGGCATGCAAAACGCGTCTCCACATCCCCGTGCTAATCCGACTCCCGTTTTTTGCAGTTCATCAACCACCCGCAAGTGTCCGGTATCCTAGACGAAGAGGAGGAGGAATGCCTGCACTCACTAAAGAAACTGGAGGTGGAGGAGTTCGAGGACATAAAATCGGGTTACCGCATCAACTTCCACTTCGATGAAAATCCTTATTTCGAGAACAAGGTACTCACCAAGGAGTTCCACTTGAATTCCGCGGGTATGTACACCAGGAGCGCCGTGCCAAGAATATTACTCACCCTCATGTATTTCTCTTTTGCGATGCAGCAGCGGCTTCCGAGAACGGGGAATGGCCCGCGTCCACTAGCACGCCAATCAAGTGGAAGGAGGGCAAGAACCTGCTCAAACAGCTGCTGACGAAGCCCTATGGCAACAAGAAGAAGCGGAACTCAGAATACAAGACCTTCTTTGACTGGTTCTCGGATAACACCGATCCCGTCAACGACGAGATCGCAGAACTGATAAAGGACGACCTTTGGCCAAATCCACTGCAGTATTATCTGGTACCTGATATTGAGGTGGAGCCCGAGGATGAGGAGGATAACGATGACAATGAGGAGGAGGGATTCGATGACGAGGACGGTGAGGATGGCGAGGGCGAGGAAGAAGAAGACGGAGAGGATGAGGGTAAGAGACCGCACATAGTTCTCCTTAAAAACGTTTGTTAGCAGCGTATTTGTTTTCCAGATGACAAGTAAACTACGATGATGCATACAATTTAAATTCGATCCCAACCGAAAGCCCCAAGTGTTTGCAAGCCACCCGCAACTATAGTTTCCCGTGTGGTTTTACCGACTTCACATATTCGCAACCATTTCAGACAGTTTAGATTTTTAAGTAAACGAGTTTTTGAACTATAAATAAAAAAGACGTGAATCCGAATCTCCAAAATAATTGTTTTGAATGTACCAAATTCATTTGGTCAAGCGTTTTTAAGCCATCTTGCCAAATAAATATTTCTCAAAATATTTAAAATAAAAATAGATTTTAGCATTAATCGATAGGTTTTTGACCAGCCCTGGCCGATACTTATCGCAATGGCTGAAAGCAGCCCTCGTACTGCTATCGAAGTGTAACGGAACCCTGGTCACAGCTGCGATTTTTAGCTGAAAAATTCTCGGGATAAACGATGGCCTCCGTTAACAAATTGGCAATTTTGGTAGGTTTCAAGGGAATCCATCGATTAATAGTAGATTCTCCTCAGTGAAATGAATCCCTTTCGTGTACTGTGCGTAAGAACAGCGCGAGGACAGACGGACATTGCATACTCCATTATCTAACGCGCTTTTCTTGGTTATGTAATTTTTGGCCACTGTAACCCACAAGCCAATGACCGTTTTGGTTTATTGAGCCCAAGAATGTACTAATGAAGTGATTGTTTGCCACTCCCGCAGAGCCGCACCCTTAGCTCCGCCGCCGCCTCAGCTCCGGTTAAGCCCCCAGTGCAGGTGTTCGGCTTGGAGGGTCGCTATGCCACCGCCTTGTATTCGGCCGCCTCGAAACTGAGCCAGTTGGACCAAGTGGAGAAGGACCTGACTGCTCTGCAAGCCACCATCAAGGGCGACAAGAAGCTGCGCGAGTATGTGACCAGCCCGATCATCAACAAGAAGGTCATGGCCACCGCCCTGAAGGAGGCTTCGGAAAAGCTGCGTTTCGCTCCGGCCACCGCCAATCTGCTGGGTCTGCTGGCCGACAACGGACGCTTGAAGAAGCTGGACACCGTTATCAATGCCTACAAGACCATCATGGCCGCTCATCGCGGTGAGGTCGTTTGCGAGGTTGTGTCCGCCAAACCCTTGGATGCCTCCCAAAGCAAGCAGCTGGAGGGTGCCCTCAAGGTAGCTACTCTAGATTTAAAAAAATGTTTGTGACTCCATTTTACGACTTCTTTGCTTATTTTCCAGTCCTTCCTGAAGGGCAACCAGTCGCTGAAGATCACCTCCCGCGTGGACCCCAGCATCATTGGTGGCCTGATCGTTTCCATTGGCGACAAGTACGTCGACATGAGCATTGCCAGCAAGGTAAAGCTGTACACCGATGTCATTCAGTCAGCCGCCTAGACCCGTAAGGATTAGCTCTTGATATTTAGATGCGTCAAACTAAAAGTTTGGAATTGGAATTCAAGCGGTAATTGCGAATAAACCACTCCTCAAAACCCTAAAACAAACAATTGAAAAGTATATTGCTATTTTTTATTAGCGCTTTTAGCCGGCTCTTGGCACTGCAATTCTGCCATCCTTGCCTGGATGGTCTGCTGCAGCACAATATGTTGCTGCAACAGATTCTCCAGCTCATTGATGCGTGACCTCTGCAGTTCCAGAACTTTGTTGTAGTTGGCTGCCCCTGGTGAATTGATCCAGTTGTCACCAAATTGCCCGGGTTGAATCCCATGGTCTGTACACCGCTTAATGCTTTTACTTTCCGACTGTTGCAGCTTACTTTGGTTCTGGTTTGAATTCATTCCTTCCAAGAACTGTTGTTCACTCCGACTCTCCCCCTGGGGACTTTTGTCTTCGGGGCTGCAAACATCCAAGCGACCCTCTTCAAGAACCAGGACATTGGCTTCGTCCTCGTCATCCTGTTTACCATTGGCATTGGATTGATCTGAGGTGGCAGCCCGACACACTCGGTAGCTGGGCTTGTCGACTTCCGGGAAAATGGCTCGTTCGTTGCAATCTGCCAGGTCAGACTCCTGTACGCAGATCTCTGGGTTAGGGTTATCATATTTATTTTGGCGGGAGCCGTTCATTAGGAGCACATTGACGGCATAGATGGAATATTCTTTTTCCCCTCCGCCATATCCAAAGCTAGACATATTCATGCCGTATTTCGACGCTAAACTAGATGATCGCTGGCTGGAACGATAAGTTCTAATGGAAGAGAGGCCCTTAGAACTTATGGTCCTGTCGCAAGTGCGTCCCGTTGAGATTGAGCTGGCTTTTAGCTGCGTGCTAGGGCGAGGACTCGCGACCGCTGAAGAAGCCTTACGTTTTAAAGTGTGCTGGGAACATTGCGACTCCTGATCCCTCAACTGGCAGTTGAAGCATGCCTGGCAGCACTTGTTCCTCACATCCGGCATTCTTTCCCGGTGACTATCATTTGTCGTTGTACTTGGAGCAGTGCTGGTGGTAGTTGAGCTATGCGAATCATCTTTTTTCTGATTCTGCTTTTGACTATAAGCGTAACAGGAGAGTCGATCACAGGATCTGGGTTTCTGGGTGTTATTTTGCGCTCTTTGATTACTGTTGGAATAGCGCTGCTGCTGCGGCTTGTTCACAGAATTCACAGAGGGCGCAGGACTTGAGCGGGGCCGCGTCAAAGGACACGTGGATTCGTTCGGCGCAGCCTTGAAGCTCTTCAGCATTGGACAGTTGACACAGGCGCAAAGTTTCGGAAGAATTGACTGGTTCCGTCGCGGCTCATTGCCGTCGGTTGGCCCAGTTGCTTGTTGACGTGAATAGTTCTTCCGCATTTGGGAATACAGATTTCCCTGAATCATGGCTCCGCGACATCGGTCGAGTCCAATGTTGTAGATGCTTTTCATTTGCATCCCAACGTTTGGTTTCTTATTGGTGATATAGGGACAACATCCTTGTGGTGTAGATGGCGGACACCGCCGATCCGTTTCCACATGGTTCCACTTGACGCTAGGACGCTGGTATTGCTCTGATATCTGGTCGCTTGCACGTCTCGGTGGACAAACTGCGTCAGACTTTCCCCCTAGATCCGAGCTGCATTTATGGTTCCTGTTTAAGTGCATAGCACAAACACAGCCGTGCTGGTACAAGGATTCCGTGTCCACAGCGAACTTGCCGAGGTTAGCCAGATTTTGCCATCGTCGCGCCTCCGCCATGTCGCGCGGATATACACATTGTTTGCCTGGCTCCTGGCCACAGATAATGCAACGACGATGCATTTTCAAAAACGGACACCAACTACATAAGCGGTCGAATTTTGAATTTGATTTTTCAAACACTTTACAATATAAATAACATTTTTCGAAATGGTTTCTATGTACATATATTAGAGCCCTTTTTATTAGGCCGCGATATTTAATACCATTTATAAAAAAATATGTTTATAAAATCAAATTATTTAGTGTTCCATACTTTTAGGAGGGTTGATGAATTAACGGTACATATTATAAATTCTTATTGGTATTTTTTTGTGGTTTCTTGTTGCCCCAACTGGGATATCTTGGCGATTCCCATTCAGGGTCATACTAGGGGTGAAGCGCAACTGTGTTTACTCGGTTTAGTTTAAAAATAGTAAATGCAACGAACTTTTTAATCTTGGCAGCTGAACAATAAGTTTGGCAAACGAAACTTTCGGCATGAGCCCCACCATTTCGGCTGCCACGGATCGTGGCGACCGAGAGAAGGTTTTGGCCATGCTGGTCCTGGGACTAGGCAGCCTTTTGTCAGGCATGTTGCCTGCTTTTATTTCGGAGCGGAATCGTCAGAGGTTTCCTTTGACCACCTCCATACTCCTTTGCTATGGAGCTGGAATCCTTCTGGCCACGGCGTTGGTTCACATTCTGCCAGAGGTGAGTTTTTCGGCTGGATTTAGGGAATTTGTGTAACCAGAGATACTGATATCTGATACTGCAACAGGTGCGCGAGCAAATGGACTCGAAATTCGCTGAGGTAGCCATGTGCGGCGGCTTCTTCGTAATCTACTTCATCGACGAGTTTATCCACTACTTCTTTGGTGAGGCCATTCAGCACACTCATTCGCATCCCGAACCCGTGCCGGAGCCTGAACCTATTAGGCAGAGCAATGGCTATGGCGCAGTGGGTGAGCGGGCACCCTTGCTATCAGCGGAGCCAACGTCACATACATCCCACTCGCAGTAGGTCGCCGATTGTCGTTCATTACCCATTCCCCAATTGATTGCTTTATGTTTTGCTTTCGATCAGCGTTCATGACCAAGATCACCCGTACAGCGCATCCGGATGTGATGACGCCAGCGTTGAGGACGCCAATGCCCGCATATGCCACACCAGTCACACGGAGCCCTGTGTCCAATCGATGACAGGCACTTTGGGCCTTTTTGTGGCCCTGTCTCTGCACTCCGCCATCGAAGGGCTGGCGATTGGGGTCCAGAACTCATCCACTAAGGTCGGTCGGTGCCTTGACATGGTTACTCTCTAGACATAAAGTGCGCGCAATCTAGAGCAAATATTGAAGCAGAGCAACGCGCTGGCTTAGTCTAATAACATAGATAACCGGAATCGGCTTTGTCTCGTTTTAGGTTCTATTTCTGCTTGGGGCCGTTGCTTGCCACAAGTTCGTGATGGGCTTCTGTTTGGGTCTGGAGTTCCGATCCAATCCGCGGACTAGTTTTCGCGCCCAGTTAGTCGGCATCTCAGTGTTCGCAGTGGGCGCTGTCATGGGAATCGGCCTTGGCATGCTTATCGTGGATGTGCCCGCTGCTTGGTCCACTAAAACGCTGCCTGTTATCCAAGCGCTGGCGGGCGGCACTCTCTTTTACGTCACCGTCTGTGAAGTGATACCGCGGGAGAAGGCGCGCTGGCACTCTAATCAAACGCGGCGCTGGGCGGGATTTGCCCAGTTTGCGACTGTCGTGGCCGGATTTGCGACCATGTGCATTATAAACTTTTATCTATCTGGTACTTGACATACAATTTTCGACTTTTTTCTTTGCTAATGACCTGCCACGCTTCCAGATGACGAGTAGGAAGGAGTTTTTATCGATGGGATTCTTGCGCTGTGACCGATTGTTGTGCCTCTGTATTTTTAGGATGTGTGATGGGTGTGCTTTAATGGATTTGGCAGCTGTTAAGTGTTCAATGTTAGGATAAGACCACCATTCTTGTGTATTTTTAACGAATCTTGATTTAGCATAATGTATTATAATCTGTCGATAAAGATATACAATAAGTAAAAACCATTCAATTCATACAATAGTCTTTAGTCTAAACTTATATTTTTAGCTTTTTCCAGTGTATTTGTAATTGATTTCTTCTTTTGTTTTATATATAATAAATCTTACAAGCTACGGGTCGGTAATCAAAAAATGGGGCTTCTTCTTTGTTATGTTTTGTTTAATGTCACTAATTACAATCGTAAAACATCATCAGTTACTTAATAATCCGCGTTTATTTTACTCTTTGTTTTAAACCAATTAAAACAACATCCATATAACTACATACATCTACTAAAATGTATGTATCGGTATATATGTATACTAAATATGCATATATGTATTTATAAGGTGTTTTCCTAATTGTGAAATGTTGGTTGCTTGCTCCTCTGTTGGTGGTGTGTTGCTTGGGGGTGAACTAAACTGACACTCATAAATAGCGCAAGGCTGAGTGGAATTGGTCTCTAATCATTCATTCAAGTTACGAACATAAATGGGATGGAAAGGGGCATTGGATTTACAATTACGTGAGATGTGCAGATTAGATCTTATACACTTAGGCCTGTGCATATGGGTATCTTATCTTCAACTCAATTCTCGTTAACAATTTAATTTACAATAGAAACCGAAAATTCGTGCCGCGCTGACTGGTCTGCGTCTGCCGAACTTAGAACATAAATAAATCTAGTAATTATAGCTCCTCCTTCGCTGCCGCACTAACACCATTCTCATCCTCCTCCTCCTCGTCGTCCCCCCACTCGCTAATGAGACTCTTGACCTTTTCCGCTTCACTCGCTCCTCCAGCGGCAGACGCCGCTCCTTCAGTTTCCGCTACTGTCGTAGAAACTAGTGCCGCCTTGTCTGTGCTTGCTACTTCATCGCATTTGTTTGGCTTATCTTCCACGATCTCCTTTTTGTCCGACGCCTTGGAACCTTCTTCGTTCTTGGCAACCTTTTTTTGATGTTTCGGTTCCTCACTTTCAGCTGGATGATCGGCAGCAGGCTCATGATCTTCTTCTTTTGTAGCTCTTGCTGTAGGAGCGGACACCTCTGTCGTTGCTGTCTGCTCAGAGTGGGCCTCATTCTTTTCCTCATCCTCCTCCTCCTGATGGGGCTTTTCGGACTCTGCTATCAACTCCTCTAGAAGTTCTTTGCGTATATTCTCCGCCTCCATGTGAACATCAACTTCGCCTTCGGTGGCAGCTGCAGCTTCGCTTGATTCTGCCTCAGCAACCTCTGCCTCAGGTTCGGGGTCTACTGTGGTCGGATCCTCCTTGATAAATTCCTCTTCCTCGGCATCCAACTCGGCCTCTTTCTTTATCCTGACTACGGCAGACTCTGGACTCTTATCTTTTTTGGTCTCTTGGACATCGACTTCCATTTGCTCGGGCTGACTATTTATGCCAGCGGCCGAATCTACCGCTTCATCGCCAGCTTCCTCGTTAGTCTTTGTCGCAGATGAATCTTCAGGTCCCTTGTGAAGGGACTTAAGGGCCAAGTCAATGTCGTCTTCTTCGTCCTCGTGGATTTGACCACCGGTTGTTGGTTCTGACTGCTTCGCGGCAAGTTCTCCTTCTAGCTCTGCTGTAGCGGGCCTGTTATTATCGGCTTCTTCATCGTTCTCATCCTCGGTCCAATCACCCGTTAGCTCCTTAAGCTTTTCGCTAATGTCATCGCGAGACTTTTCCGATTTTGGCTGTAAATTGGAGATATTTACCCAGTACATTTTAAGATGTGGAGATGACCCAACTTACCTCCTTATTGCTCTGCTCCTCGGACTCGGCAATTAAGTTTTCGGCCCATTCCAGATTATCCATGGACTCCTTGCTCTCATCGGCGACACTCTTCTTGCTACTCTCCACAGAGTCGGCGGCAGCCAGCTCACTGTAAATTTGGCTGTCGTCGTACTCTTCCTCAGTGCCAGCCATGGATTTGGCATCAGTCTCCTGCTTAGCGGTCTCTGCTTCTGGCTCACTGAGCACCATCACAACACCGCCGGCGGCGGCACCGGCTTGTTGCTGATTGAGCTGCGATAGGATTTCCTTGCGCTGCTCGTCCGTAAGCTCAACCTCATTGCCGTCAGCTCCCACAAATTTCACCTCTTGCTGCTGCACCTGATCTTGTTCCTGCTCCAACTGCTCCTGCAGCTGCTGTTGGTCGGCGGCTTGCTGCACTGCAATGGCACTAGTGGTTGGCGGTAGACTGATGTCCGAAAGGATGCGTACTTTGCCGGTCTGCTCCGGTTCTTGTTCCTCCTCGCCTTCATCCTCCTCGTCCTGTGAGCCAAGGAACTCCTCATCGGTCTCATCAATAATGCCATCTTCTAGGGCCTGCTCCTTGTGGTAGCTCTTCATGTGTCTGTACAATTGAAGCTCCTGCTCGAATACCTTGTTGCAATATATGCACTGCTGCTTATTGTCATCCGTGTGCGCCTCATTAATGTGTGCCTCCAGCTCGCTCTTTGTCAGATACGACTGGTTGCACAATGCGCATTCGGCGAAGGTGTACAGCAGCGATTTGACCTGATGCTCTGTGTACATGTGGAAGTGCAGTTCCCGATTGTTGCTCGACCGCCAACCGCAGTGTTCGCAGAGCGCAGGATCGATGGTCTCCTTGTGCGTATTGATTAGATGGCGTCGGAAGCCTCGATACGACGGAATGCTGATGGGACGTCCATTGACACCGCATCTCAGACAAAGCCATGGACCTAGTAGCAAAACAGTAATGATTAGTTTAAAAACACAGGAAACATACAAGGTGTTCATCCTTTATTGAACATCACTTACCAGTGGTATTCTCCGCTCCTTGGGCAATTAAGGCGTGCATTGTCTTGCTGTCGATGCGTCGCTTCTGTTGTGAGCCTGCATTTCCAGCTTGGTTCGGCGCTGCTGCCTGGGAGCCGCCTGAAGACTGCGTGTTTGTATTCGTTTTCTGCTGAGAACTCGCGGCCTTCTGCTGGGCAGTGATCAGAGGCGTCGTCTTGTCTGCCTTAAATGACACATGCAGCTTCTTATGCGGCGATGTTGATGACGATGGTGGATTCGAGCCGGTTTGCACCGGGGATCCACGTTTAACTTGCGCTGGAGACTTCTCAGCGGGTGTGGCTGGTGTATTGGGCATTATCTTCAGCTTGATGTTCTTGTGACCCTTGACTATATGCGGATACTGGCGGAGCACTTCAGCAATGATCTTGGTGTGATTCAGCTTGGCATTTGAAGAATCCTTCACAATTATCGTGGGCGTCTGGCTGGGTGAGTCCTGCTTTAGGATTATTGTGGTGGAGCCGTGCTCCAGCTGAGTCTGTGTGCCCTGCGGTGATGCTGTCAACTGCTGCTGTTTGGACGTAGAGGGCTGAGGTGGCATATCGTCGTCGTCATCGTCCCCTGCATGGACATCGTCGTAAAGCATGCCGCTGTCATACTCGGGGTCGTGATCTCCAAACTCTGCAGCTATTTGTTTGCGCATCCGTTGTTGTTCTGCAAACTCCTTGACCTCCTCCAAACTAGGCTTCTTCGAGGGCGGCGATAGCAGGCTGGTCTGTGCCGGTCGCTTGTTGTTATTGTATCCCTTGCGGAGCTGCTCGAATGGAGAGGTCTCCTGCTTAACGATGGTGTTGACGCTTCGAATCATGGAGTTGCCTATGGGCCCCCGCTGAGTGTTGGGTCGCAGAGGGGTTGTTCCCACATTGGTCATCCCACGGCCCTGTGGCGATGTTCCCATAACACGCTGCTGTGGAGTTCCCGAATTGGTCTGTCCAACGACGCGTCGGCGGATGCCCTTTGGACTGGGCGGCTACAAAAAGACACACAAATTTGTGTAAGTAACTGATGGCAAGTACAGAAAATGTTTGACTCACCCTTTGTTGGCGATTCACGTTCTCCATGGTCCGCCGATGTGCCTCAAGAAGCTTCAGCAGAACGGTCATATTCATTTCCTTGGCGGTGCGCAACAGCTTGCCGTACATCTTCAACTCGAACTCCAGCGTGCCTGTGTACATAAAGTTGACGATGGGCACCACAACGTCCGCCTGGAACTCATTGGGCATGATGAGGGCATCGTCGACGATCTCGCACGTCTGCTCCAGCACATTGAAGTAGTCCGTGCAGGCGCTGAGCACCAGGCGGTGCACCTTTAGCTGTGAGTTGTCGCGAAACTGGAGCGTCAGATCGCAGTAGTCCGTCTTGTTGAAGAAGTTCTGCAGCTTCTGCAGGAAGAAGACGCCCCAGTTGTCCACCTTTACCGATTTCACTTCACCCATCTCGCCGATGCTGATGTCCTGTATCCTGTGGCCTTGGCAAGTACTTGTTTTCTTTTGCGCGCCCTCCCCGTTGTTTTGCTTGCTCTGGCTTGGTGGCGCAACTGTACTCCGCAGGGGTGAGGAGCGCCGGAGTTAGGGGGCGGGAAATGCGAATTAGGACACGCCGCAGGCAACAAGGAGAGACCGGGAAAGAAGTAAAACAAGAACAATTAGAATTAGTGAATTTCGGGACGTTACATTTAAATGCACAGCGCGTCAATTGATTTTCGGTTATTTTTCCTTGCGGCCACGGCGCGCAATGCAGCTCACATATATCGATATACGCGTGTGTGTGCCCGAGTTGCTAGCGTATGTGTGGGTGCGTTGTGCGCGTCGCCAGGCTTTCTTTTATTATTCCATCTCCACAGCTAATCGTCAGCTAGTCCAGAATGATTCTAGGTCAACTTCGTTGTCCAAGCATCACTTGGTTTGCTGCATCTTCTGCGCTTTTTTTGGCGCCTCCCCACTTCACACAACAACGCGTTTTTGGAGGCTCACAGTTGCCTACACCGCCTCGGTTTCTGGTTATCTTCGCGATAATCACATTTAAGTGTTACGTATCGGGAGTTTACACGTTTAATACGTACATTTATTCGTATTGCACTCTATTTTTGCCGGAAAAAAATTTATTTAATTCCTTCTCCAGTTCAGGCAGCCATGTTCTTTTCCAATCATCGTTTGCGTGACAGGGTTGTGTGGAGGGTTATCGATAGGCAAGCGATTGCGGCTTTGCCGCCGACATGACGCTGTTAAGGTGACGCACGGCTGGAAACCGTTAAACTCTGATTTGAAATTTGAAACTTGTCTAAAAGTTAAAAATAAGGCTTGTACAAGCAATGCCCGTTGAATAGGATAGAATAAAGGAATTTTATATTAATACAATTTGGAATGCGTTTTATAAACAGTTATTTGGAATATTAATTTTTGGGCCTGGGATATTTTCGTACCAAAATAAAAGTATACTTTGGCTTGCGTTATTAAGGTAGTAACCACGACACTTTCTTAAATAACCTTGTGAAATGTATATATTTTACTCTTGATGTTTTCCATTTCTTAAATAAATGACGTCACAAATCCACGAATTCAATTTCATTGCGCCACCTTTTAATGCAAACAAAATAACGAAAATAACGGGTTGGCAGCTCTGTCACCACGAGATTCTGAAAAACAACAAGTTGTATATTTTAGTTTTAAATCGAAATGAGTGGCCGGAATAGAGGCAAAGGGAAGAGAGGCGGAGGTCCCTACCGCAATGTCAAGTCGAATCACAATTGCGCCCGTAGCTTCGCCCAGCAAGCCAACGAACTGGCTGGTAGCAGCGAAGGCGACAGCTCGGATTCGGACTCCTCTGGAGCAGGTGGCCGGGATGATCTCGGCCAACCGCCGGAGTTTGCAGTGGCTATGTGGGACCTTAACCATTGCGATCCCAAGAAGTGCTCGGGCAGAAAGTTGGCTCGCTTGGGACTGATCTCAAATCTCCGCCTGGGACAAAAGTTTGCCGGTCTCGTCCTGTCTCCCGTTGGTCAGCTATGCGTCAGTCCGCTGGATCGGGATATTGTGGCCTCCTCTGGCGTGGCCGTCATCGATTGTTCGTGGGCCAAGCTGGACGAAACGCCATTTAGCAGGATGCGTAGCCCTCATCCGCGCCTGCTGCCATTCCTCGTGGCCGCCAATCCCATAAACTACGGCAAACCATGCAAACTCAGCTGCGTGGAGGCCATCGCTGCGACACTGTACATCTGTGGCTTCACAGATGAGGCGCGTTGGTTCCTGGGAAAATTCTCCTGGGGCCACGCTTTCATCGAGCTCAACGAAAAGCTCCTCAACGCATACGCGACGTGCAAGAGCAGCGACGAGATTCTCAAGGTGCAAAACGAGTATCTTGAAAGAGAGCAGCAGGAGCGGGATAAGCCCCGAGATCTGCGCGACTTTTATCCCACCAGCAGCAGTAGCAGCGAGGCGGAAAGTGAAGAAAGCGATGCTGACGAGGCGGAGGCTAAAGCCAAGGGCTAATTTTTACAAGGTGCTGACATTTTATTAGCATTACATTTAGCTTATTACAAAACTTGTTAGTGCGTTTTTTAATTTACAAACCAGTTGTGAAGAGCAACTAAAGAATTATTGCAAACTGTTTGGATGAAATATTCACTTCCTAGTCTTTCCATCAAGTCAAAGGGAGAGAGAGAGAGATGTTTGATTGTCTGAGGGCCAACGACTACTGTGAATTTCGCACGTATTCGGGGTCCACGTTGATGAAGTTGCTCATGCTGAAGTACATGGCGCTATTCTTTACCAGGAACTTCAGGAAGTCCTGTAGGTGTAGAATCAGGTTTTGCATGGACTGCTGGTCCAACGCCGAGTAACTGAGCATGGAGCCCAGGCGCACAAAAAGCCGCAACAAGTGGAAGGAGCCATACAGCTCTGACAGCGGAGTGTCTGGATGCTTTTGCATCACATCAGAGTACTGGGCGCGCTCGAATTTATACAGCAACTGGGAGCCGAGCATGACATTAAAATACTCCACAATGCCATCCAGAACATCGTTAATGGCCACCTCCTTGCTGGCACTGGTCGACTTCACCGACTTCTTGTGCGCCAAATACTGTTCTGCGATCTGCTGCACTGTCACCTTGGCCGGTAGCTCCAATAGTTTGTGCTCCCGCACCACCGCATACCAGTCGTCGGTCAGATAGTGCTTTAGCTCGTCGGGTATCTTGATCTTTACCTCTACCTTTGCGGCGTAGGCTTCCTCGCTTTCCACACACGTTGCGGACTCCGCAGTAGGTGTGGATGGTGTGGTGGGTGCCGGCGCCGGCTTTTCCGCTGCAACATCGCTGCCTGTCAGCGACGGCCGCTGTTCGCTCATTCGCTTCTTTTTCGGCGCCACCGGTGTGGCTGCCTCGTCCTCTGTGATCTCCGCCGTCGTGTTGGCATCTTCCTTTTTGTCAACTGGCGTGCCGGGCGTAGCTACGACAGCTGCAGATTGTGTGGATTTTCGATTGGCCCGACTGGTGGAGGTGGTGGTGACGGCACTATTGCTGGTCGTGTTGGAGGTGCTACCGGCATCCGACTTGGTCGTCGGCCCCGCACTGGTCGTTGGTGTGCTACTGGCGGTCGTTTGCAATGTGTTGCTGTCCTTGGAGGGTGTGGAGGCACGAGATTCGTTCCGTATCTGCTCCATTTTCTTTGCCTTGGCGCTGCCTTTTATTGGGAAATGGATTTTATTAGTGGTTTGACTACAACCGCGAGGAGAACGCACCTTTCTTATTGTCCTTCTTTGAGGGGGCGCTTTGGCTCGCCAGTAGCTCCTGGCGGCGCTTGACATTGTCCTCGTTGTACTTCAGCACTCGGGTTTCGGGCACCCACTCGTCCCAGCTGAAATCAAAAGGATATTCATGCAGAGCGGTTTCTTTTTTACAAATCCCTCGCATACTTTTTGCTCCAGCCTGCGTAGTGGATGTAGTACTCTACCGGCGTCGCATCAGGCTTTGTTTTCAGCACCTTCGCCTCGTAAATGAGCGGGCCGTGGAAGCACAGCACCCGTTCACCTGGAAGGCGGGAGAATTGGTTAGAGGAACTTATGTATAGCCCGAGGGGGTCTCACCATCCGCAAACAGCGTGTTTGCATCGGATGTTCCTGTGCTCCAGTTTTCCACTTTTGCGGGTTTTACTTCTCCCATTTTATTTTGGAAAATAGAAAATATTAGAGATCAGTGTGACCGTGGTGGTAGCAGAGCAATAAGGCCAACGGTTGGGAACCAAAAAATACCGTATATCCTATCAGTATTATTTGTGCTATCGGGCTTAGTTTTATAATTCTTTTGTTTTGGTTGTTTTTATTTTGATTTCCTAGCTTTATAAAAACCCTGTTAATAAAACTATCATTTAGGTTTAAAAAACAATTTTCATATATTTATTTAAGACTATATATACAACAAACAGTCTGCTTTCAGCAAGTCCTCAACATGAATAACATTTCCTAGGGACGAATTATTTGCTTCCTGGGGAAAAAATTGCGAAGACAGGGTGCAAAATGGTTCCAGAATAACGTAATAGTTAATGTTTTGCCGCCGTCGCCAGACCCTCCTCCTCCCAGGGGCGCGGACCACGCTTGTTTTCCCAATTATCGATGTCCACGGCTTTCACCTTATCGTACTCCGTTTCCAGCGTCACCTCCTGCCGTTTCTTCATGTTTACACCGTACTTTTTCATCTCCTCCGGGGTCACCGGCTGTTTCTTGGAGTACTGATACCTGCAAAACGTGCAAGTTCGGGGTTACAGCATGGATTTCCGGTGATTTCTGAATGCTAACCTGAGGTTCGAGAACTGCTGCAGGCCAAAAGAGCCGGCGACCATCATAACCAGGAAGGGAATCCCATATCGAAACGATTTTCGTTTACTGTAATGGTTTAATTTTTCGGCGAAAGACATAACTATTAGAGATGTCAAAACATTGATGTCACTTCGATACCAACGATGATTTTAAAAAGTCGATAGATCTTTTATGTTTTTTAAAAATGAAAATACCAAATAAAACAAAACGTGAGTTATTTAGTTTTTCTCCAAACGGTCACATTGCAATATACACTGTAAAAATTATTTAAGCTTTGCTTAAAATTTTAAGCAAAAAATTGGAGACATTGATAAAAAAAGTACATCTTTTCTGAAAAGCATTTAAAAACGAAAATATTTTCATCTACTTTGGGATGCGGCCATTTTGTGTTTTTTTTAAATTTCGGTTTAAATTTTATGAAAATCCGACGACTTACATATGATATAATTATCATAGGATCAATCGGCTGATGTAGAGAATAATTTAAAGCAGAAAATGTAAAACTGTAACTGTAAACCTGTAAAAATACAAACCAAGTACTTTTGACCTTCACCTCTATTAAACAATTTAAATAACGAATCATCATTCATTCATATATTTTAAAATGTAAATTACCAACACGATTTTCGGAATATAAGAAACCCAAGACGAAACGCCGAAGCTAATTTTCTCCAACAGAACTCTTATTATAGTTTTTGTTAATATCTTCCAATACGAGTCAAAAGATTGCGTATTTAAAAATGCAAAATTTGTTCTATTTTAAAATTCGTTTCATTTTGTTGCCTACTTATCGATACCTTTTCCATGGATTTCGAAACCATAAGATCCTAATCATTTTGTCCCAAAATCTTTACAAAAGCTTACACCAAATTTAATCGGAAACATTTATAATTAATTTTTTATTTTAGTTCACATTTGTTTACAATTCCTTAAAATTAAGCTTCACCACTTTTGTTCATGTCAATCACTTTCTGCAGCTGTTCCCAAGCATGAAAATAGCGCTGTCCTTGAATGCGAATGCGAATCAAGAGGTTTGTGCGCCCTGCCAAGTGCGAGAATAATCGGAATCTCTAAACAACAATTGTTTTCCGGCGCTCGTCTAATTTATATATTTACATGCGGTTTGGCGATAAGTTCAAGGTCTCGAGTGTCTCTTTAATTCTCAAATAATTGACACTGACAATGTTGATGAGCGCCAAAACGCTGTTCACAAGCACACCACACATGACATTCGATCCCAGCTCACCTTGGCCACTTTTGCAAACTTTGGGAAGGCAAGTAGCTGCAGCTTGCAGCGAGGATTTCCTTTTGGCACCAGAAAGCTCCCCAACCAGAACCAGTTCTCGCATTCGCTTCATTCACAAGGAGCCGGCGCCAATTGAGTCATCAATAGCATAGCCCACACCCCCCAAAAACACTCCTAGATGCCGGCTGCGTACTCCAGCAGTCCACAGATTATATTTCATTATTCGTGGCACCCTACCCGCTGTTCACTGAGCATTCATTTGCAAATTTAAATTATTTCAAAGACAAAATCACCTCGCGTGATATGTGTAACAAAAGACTTAGGAGATTTTAATATAAATAAATTTTAATATGAAATTGTTCAAATTTTCGGCAATCAATAGTATGGATTTACTATTGATTGCCAAAAATTTGAACAATTTCACAATGGTTTTAAGTCATCAATTATTTTGACTGGGCAACACTTATTCGAAAAATTTTAGTTAAGAATATTCAAAGGATTCGCTGAAAAATGGGCGATGCTTGGAGTTACCTTGAAATTGTGTTTAAAAATTTCATTAATAACCATTTTCTGAGATTTTAACTTACTTAAAATGTATTTACAAAGAAATGTTTAAAGGAGAAAATTCCAATATCTTTCTTATCTGTAGGTTTGATTTTTAACATTTTTTGTTTAAAAAAAAACTAATCTGTTTAATATCTCGAAACTTTATTATCTATAAGGAAGCTTTTTATTTTTATCACCTTGATACTTTTTGAACCAAAGGTAACCTCTTTAATTTAAATACAATTTAAAGTATAATAAAATGTTTTAATAATATTGAGATATTTTTTCAATATTATGATATTTTCGCTCTTGATAAACCTAATATTAATATTCGACTTTGAGTAATCGACTCTACTTGTTTTCGACTTTTGTAAGTCGTCTATGCCCCTAGGTCACGTTGCACTTTTCCATGCTATTTTTGCCAAATATGGTTTCGATTTTTCCAGCAAGATTTCGTGCACTTGACTGAGCTAAGTTGAGAAATACATACAGCTGTGTTCACTGAAATAGCAGTGCGACAGAGGAACAACTTCAAAACGTTTTTTTGTACATATTCCTTTTTGCAAGCTGATCTATTGCACATTGTTTTTGTAAAATGGAACATAAAGATAAGAATCGAGAAAAAATTCCGTTAGATTTGCTCTATTTTTATGTTTTATTGATATTTTTTCACATATGCAGCTCGTTTTGGCCGATCACTGAAATAGCAGTATTTAATTTTCTTTCGCAAAAAGTGCCGAAATTTCTTTTAATTTTGTAAAAAATGAGTTTAATTACGGTCGTTATTATAGTTTATACTATAATACACCTTTACAACGCAAAAAAATTATTTTCGTGGGCGCAGGACCTCACTGCTCCATGAGAGAAAGGTATTAGATTACTTAGCCTAGAAAGAAGGGCAAAACATGTAAAGAGACTCCAAATCTTTCAGATTGTTATTTTAGAATAGTTTATAAATCATAAAATATGAACCGAACCCAAAAAAACCGAGGTACGATTCGCAAAACCACAGTTGTACAGGCTCGACGCGTACTTCGCTTCAGCAAAGCTCGTCCTTTTGCATCCTCTAGGGATATATGAGCGGGAATTGGCATGGGAATCAGTCATGGGACCATTCGCCGGGGACTTATTGAATAAATTTTAGATTCGCGAAGTCCATGGAAAATGTCACTGCTTGGTTACAGGCATATCAAGGCCAGATCCGAGTTCGCCAATAGTCACTTGAACTGCCACTATTCAAATGGCGTAATATCCTTTGGACAAATGACTCCAAACTGGTTTTATTTGGTGGAATAGGACAAGACAATATGTCCGTCGACCTCCAAATACAAAGTACCACCCAAACCATACGCTGAAGACAGTAAAACATGGTGGCCTAAAAATCATGGTTTGGGTATACTTTTCATACAACGTTTTAGGTCCCGTATATATGATCTGTCGGATCAAAGACCATTATGTTTATGTCGAAATATTAAAAACTGTCTTGCAGACGTATCCTGATGAAAATATGCCATTAATTTGGACATTTCAGCAGGACAGTGACCCTAATCATACCAGCAAGGTGGCCAAGGAGTGGGTTCTTAATGAAAAAGTGGATGCACTGTCATGGCCTGCACAGTACCCGGATATTATTCCGATCGAAAACTTATGGGGGACATCAAGGGCTACGTATTAAAGAAGTTTCCGACTTCTAAGCCGCAGCTTTGGCGATTTGTGCAGGAGGAATGAGACCATAATCCCCTCAAGCGTTGCTAAGACTTGGTGGACTCCATGCCACCCAGGTATGAGGCTGTGATAGCTTCGAAAGGCTATTTAACAAAATATTAGATCATAGTTAATTAGAATTTAAGAAGAAATAGGTTTCTTATACGATATTTTTAAATTTATGAAGAATTTTAGTTTTTCACTGCTATTTCAATGAACGGCATAATATAGACCTTTTTTGTTGTTATTAGCTATATCTTCTAAAGGGTTTATGTTACCTAAATTAAATGATTGTGGTATTGTTAATAATTAAATATACTAAGCTTTTATGAAAAAAAAATTTATGAAAATAGTGTTTGTAACAGGATTTTCCGATCTTAAACGTGCAGGTCGTGGGGCACTGCTATTTCCGTGAACACAGCTGTATGTACATATGTACATACATACATTGATACATACATAGGTATGTATACTTGTACCTATTATTTGGAATTATGAAAACTTTTGGTTTTCCATAACTAACACATGTTAGCAGCTTCGTTGACCATGATTTTGTTTTCTTATTTAGCAAGTTGCTTTGACGTTTTCGCTGTTTTTACAATATTTTTCAACTTTTCTCAAGGGCCTTTCTCATGAATCCTCCTTTTCGTGAGTATAAAAAATATATATTGATCTAGTTTACTTTTTCACAATTTTTTTGTTTTGAATGAAAACAATTACGTCATTATGTGGGTGTTTGCTATATTTAATTATAAACTTTTTCAGCGCCTCGGTGCTGCCAAAAAAAAAAAAAAAAACATAATTTCTCCAAGACCGACGACAAACAAGAAAAAGGAGGAGTACGTTTTCTTATATCAATTTAGCTGATATTTATAGGTGGGTTGGTTGCAATCAAAAGACTATTAGGCGATATTTTATATAAAGACGTAATTATAGCAAATTTAGTTACTTTTAATATTTAAATGCTTATATCAACTTTCTTACGTTTTTGAAAATAATGATATTGATTTGTTTTAAGACACTTGTTATAACATTTCACAAATGGGACAACTTTAGATTTAATTTAATTTAAATAGATTTATTTAATTTTGACTACTAATCCATATTGATTTGCCTACATTTTATAAATATAATATGCGAAATCTTTTGTTTTATTTATACATCTAAATATTTGACAAGTGATTTTTCATTTTTTTAGCAAAGTAATATAATACCAAGTATGTAATTAAATTACTGAAATATTTATTATTCAGAATTGAATTGAACTATTCTATTGTTATTTGTAGATAATATTCAGAATCCAATCATTCAGAAAATCTTTACAAGTTCCACAATTTATCTGAAATCATTTTATAAAATATGTAGCGAATATCAAGAAGAAAAGTGAGCGTGACCAAGTGGTCGAAAAAGAATCTACAAGGCTAAAGATTCATTTATATGTACGTTTCTTGAGATTGGATCTGATTTTGAGGAAATTGCATTCAAAAGATTTTCACGTCTTGAATTCTTACGATGAATCATTGATGCGTTTCTTTCCGAGACAGTTACAAAAATCGTATACCTTCATCTGAGACATAAATGATTGCCAAGCAAAATGTTTTCCGTTCAGAGACATGACGTTGAAAAATCTATAGAAATCGCATA